GCTTAATATCTAGAAATTATTTAATTATTTTTATAAACTTAAAATTAATAAAAGTATATCTATTTATTCTAGTATTAATAAGAAAAGAAGTCTTAATACCTAATTTATTATTACTAATTATATAAGGAAATATAAATACTTTATTTCCTAGTAGCTAGCTTAAATTAACTTCTATTATATCTATATAATATAGCCTTAAAGAGGAAACTTCTTTTAGGGGTTCTTATTTCCCTATTCTATATCCTTAGATAGCTTACTTATAGTAAGTACTACTAGCTTGGCTACTAAGACTTGCTTTATATATTCGGTTTTAGGCTCTAGATAGCTTCTAGATATATAACTAAATTTATTATAGTTATAGTATTTGAGATCTAAGGATCCGGGCTTTAGGATAGTAAGCTTATCTATTACTAGGGTCTTGGGAGCGGGCTTTATATAAGGGGCGCCTCCTGAACTTGACTTATTTATATCTTTATTAGCTTTCTTAGATACCTAATCTTTCTTTTTATAATAAGCTCGGATCTATTAGTTATTTATAGTATAGTATTATATAAACTCTATAATACGAATAGCCGGGTTATTATAGTATATAGCTATGGCCTCTTAGAGCTTCCAGGTAAGCTTATTATTCAGGTCGTTCTTAAGGTCTTATGAATTAATATTTCTATCTGCTATATATTTTAGAAATAAGATATAGAATTCCTAAAAAATCTGGCCCTTTTTTATAAATAGCTCCTTAAAAGCTTGCCAAGTATTATATTCCTTATTTGAGTTACTATATAGCTTCTCTAGGTAAATATATAGTTCTCTAATAGTCTCGTATATATATTAACTATCCTGGTTCAGGTAAAGAGAGATTAGTATAAAGATATAGCTATTTATATAGCCGGAAATATAGATAATCTTGAGGTCCTCTATCTAGTAAGTATTAGAATTACTATAGAGCTTATTCTTAATCTGAACTAACTAATTATTAAAGGTAATACTGTTCTTAGTTATATCTTTAAAGATAAGAGGGTCAGGGAGTTTAACTAAATATCTACTTTCTGAAGCAAGGGAACCGGTTATCTCTATGGGCTATATAATGAGTTTCTTAATAATAGCTTCGTTTTTTATAGGGCTTGCTTGGTTTCTTTTAGCTAATTATAATAATTCTTGCTATAAGTAAGAATATTATATATCTTTAGAATTAGCTCGATAATCTCCTCGTATAAAGCCTCTGGGCTTTAAAGTAACTCTTGGAAGTCCGCCTTTAATAGGGCAGGTCTCTCTTTTTCCTCGGCTCTCTAAAAGAGAGTATCTCTCCTATTATGAGTATTAATAAGATATTCGGACCCCTCAGGAAACTCAATAAGAGGTTCTGGTCTATCTTCTAGTAATATACTAGTAGTATCTCGTACTATAGCTCCTTCTGACTTGCCTAGTTATTCCGGGACTTGCTTTCTTATAGATCTTTGTTTAGTAATAAGGTTACTGGCCTATTCGCTTGCCTAGTCTTTCGTAGGGCTTTCTTTTGTTCTGGCGTTAGTTAACCGGTACAGGAGTAGCTATAGTGTATTACGTCTGTACTCGTCGAAAACCGATCGGGTAAATATTATTTAAATCCTCTGCAGGATTAAGAAGTGAGTAAGCTTTGAATTATATTACAAGTATAAGATCTAGGACCTGGAAGGCATAGTTAGACTATCTCTATTTCAATGATTTAAAGCTAAAGAGAGAAGAGGATCTCGAAGGAGCCTCGGATCTAAATAATCGCAAGTTATATACAGGCTTATATACTAGCTTAAGCTCCGGGTTACATATAATAATCAGGTAACTATAGATGCCTTGCTCAGATACCAGATGCCTCTCTAGCTCTAGTCTAACTCCTACTAGTACCGTATATTATAATAACCGTAACAGAAATATATATATAAATATTATTATTTATAATTTATAATTCGCCTATTATTTAGCTTATTCTATAATATTATTATTAGTTTACTAGTAATATATAATATATATATAAAATATTTAATATATAAATTTAGTAAAGTAATTAATTTAGAAATAAGAATTATAATATTATAATATTAATATATAATTCCTAAATCTATTAAATCTAATTAGAACTAATTTATTAATTAAATTATATATATAATATAAGCTTATATAACTAGTTATATAATTAGGAAATTCGTAATATAGCTATTCTAATAATTATAAATAATTATATAATAAATAAAGCCAAGCTTTTTATATATATAAATAACTTAATAATTAAAGCTATATAGCTATAATTTTTAAGATTCTTAAATATTTTCATATTTGTATTTTCTAAATTATATAGAATTATAATTTATATATAAAAGAAAAATATATTTATTATTATAATTATTATTGAATTATATATAAATTAACTAAGATTTTATATAAATCTTTTAATTTATTTATAATTTCTTTTTAATTAATATTTATATAAGCCTATTTAGTAATGGCTTTATAATATAATAATAGATTTATAAAAAGTCATAGTATTATTTTAATAAAATTTACTAAATTACTCGAATAATAGTATTTTTATATAATTTTATTAATTAATTATTAAAAAAAGTAATTAGCCGGCTTTTTAGTTAGTTTAATAATTTAATTTTCTTATTTCTAATCTCGGGAACATTAATAAAGTTATTAGACCTTATTAATTGTATTATTCTAGAAGGACTTATAGCCTATAATTATCTATTTATAATAATTTATAATAAATACTTAACTTTATATTATATTACTCGGCCTAATTTTGGCACGATTTTATGCGGTAATATGGGTTCTTACTTTATTAATTAGACAAGTAATTAGCCTTACTATTATTGTATTATCCAAGCCGAAAGTCACATGTGGGTGCTATACCCTCTAATTAGGAATTCTGCCTTGGGGGGGTGGGTGTGTGCGGGACGCCAGTGCGAAAATCAAAAAATCAGAAAATCACTTTTCGCTTCTCGGATTGTCCGCTAGCTAGGTCTGGGCCTCAGTAAGTGAAATGGCTTGTGATTCGGTGTGACTTGCTGCCAGATGCTCATCGTCTAAAGACCATCTAAAGACCATTACATTTCTGGCGGCAACTAGAATCGCTTCCTGTTGCCCCTTCCCTCTGGCAATCGAGCCTCCAACTGCAGTTGTTGAAACAACCATCCGAATAACAGTCTGTATAATTGGTGGTAGCACCATATTCTCCTTAGTCAAACTCTACTACTGCGCCGTGCCCCTCCCCTTGGCAAACAGTTTCCGTAGCCGTATTGTTTGGCGTTCCTTTGCTATCTTGACAATGACAACTGAGATAGTGAGAGCATGTAGAAGCGAAAGATACTCTTAGAGTAAGAAGTAGAATTCGTGTCGCCTTCATAGCAAGTAGATATTGCAGTAAATGCGGTTGTATTATAATATAATCAGATATCGAAGGAAGAGAGGTGTGGCGCGGAAGGCCAGAGCTTAAATACAGTGAGTATGGTCACGTGAGGACAGGTTACGTGGCCAGCCTGTAGTTGCCATGCAATAGTAGATTCGACCACAATTGCAATTCTTAAAATCTATTAATATATTAAAGAGCTATTAAAAACATATATACCTACTAATAATAAATAGCTCTTACTTATAAGAGTATTTAAAAAGCTAGAGGGTATTTTATTATCTTAATAAAGCAAAGTTCAAAGTAGCTGTGACGGCGGGATCAATGCAATGGTCGAAGGCTCAAAGTTCAAAGAATCTCATGTATTGGAAAATACTAAGCTGTGGAACAAAGTAGGGAGGATGCCTCGACCTTTAGTATTGTTCCGTCCAAGCAATTCCGGCTTAGCTTCGTTTTGTGCCTGTTTCCGATATCCTGTCCTTGGCAGATCATGCCCTTACGCCAGCCGTCACAGTAGCTTTATAGAGAAGTAAAAGAAGTAAGCATAATATCTAAGAGAGCCTTATAGATGTTTTTGCAACTACTTTTAGCTCGGACCGAATTGCATCCCGAGGCCTGCGGCATTTAAATAGGATAACGACAATAAGTACAAATCCACAAAATCCACTAGTCTATAAGCCACCTGGCTGCCTTAGGCACTACAATCATGGCAACCCACGCGCTTCCAGGTAGTTGTAATACACCGAAATCCGGGCCGAAAATCAACGTTTTCTATATTAACTCCAATAATAATGGCAATTAAATTTTTATAATTTTATAGAGGGCACCCCTATAGATGCGCATTAATTAATATTGTTTTTTAAAGGAACCTAAGTGTGCTAGCTATTAAAGAAATTAACCAGGGGTCTGATTTTCAGGCTGGATTCGCTAATAACTTTAACATGTGTATGTGGGAATATATAAAACGATACCCCCGGGTGTCAATTAGGGTGTCGATTGGGGCAGGGGTGTTAACGACTTGTAATCGGCTATCTAAGCTCTTTAAAAATCTTAAGTTAGATTTTTTAAATATAAGTATAAGCTAGTATATTATAACCCTTATATTATAATTATATGCTTTCTAACCTATAATAAAAAGATTCCTTAAAATGGTTTTTTAATTTAAGGGAGTTTAAATACTAATTAATTAGGTTCCAGTTCTAGGCCCTATAGGGCCCTATAAATTATAGGCTTATAGGGCTCTCATATCTGCTTTTAGGGACTTATCCGCTAAATTTCCAGGCTTTCTTAAGCTTACCTTTGGGCTATAAAATGTGGAATTTTTAACTACTTTAATTTAAAGAGTTATTACTAATCTTAATTTTATAAAAATTTATGTTTGAATAGCCCTTAATTAGTGCTATAAGTAAATAAATAAGTATTAATTTATATTAATTCCTTATAAAATTAAATTAAATTAAATTAAAGAAAAAGCTAGAGTTTTGATGTTCCTGTCCGAGCGCCTCCACTTTGGGTTAGTGGCTAGTCTGGCCCCCGATCGACACCCCTAATCGACACCGGCGGGGGTCGTTTTACATATTCCCGTGTGTATCACGACTAAGCGGAGGCGCGTGGCAATTTTCAACAAGCCGTGCACACGACGGTCAATCGATCAGCAATCCACAACGTCATTGAAACCACTCAATAACATATATATTCGGTCGGCTTTCGCTTCCATGTATTATTATATCCTCCTTGCAGTTTCGGCGGCCATTTTCAAGCCGTCATGAAGGATTTTGCAGCCAAAATCATTGTCAGCCTCGTCAGGCGATGAAAGCTCCTCGACCTTCTTGAGCCGCAACAGTGTGTTGGCCCATCGATCAGCTCCAGTAGCTACGCTGTCTAGGATGAGGAAATCTGTGAAAAGGGTTAAGACAGGATGCCGGACTTGCAAGCATGTGAATTTCCGGATCCACCTACTCTACCCCGCTTCGAATGTGCTTTGGTTAACTTGTTCTAATCGTAGGGTCCGGCGAGTTAAATGCGACGAGTCAAAACCCCATTGTCAGAGATGTATAGTGTTTGGGGTCGTGTGTGCTGGCTACGGGCCCCTTGTGGACGTTCCACCAAGGGAGCCAAGGCTACAAACGACACAATCGAAAATACTGCTCCCAACGCTTGCAACTTTGCAAGCTGTCCCAATATATAGACTAAACTGTGGAGCTGGATTCGAAGACGAATTAAGTGGCCGTTGCTTTCGTATATACCTCGAGGAGATCGCAAGGCAGATCAACGGACCATTTCCCAATCCGCTCTGGGCAAAGCTGATTCCCCAGATCAGTGAAATGGAGCCGTTCGTACGAGATGCAATCATAGCCATTGGAGCCCTGGGAAAGCATAGCAAGTCACAGCTCCCACGCAAAATGTCGGGTCCTAGCTTTCAAGGGGACGATTATCAGTATGCTTTGAAGCTTTATGGAAAATCTCTTCGAGGCATGAGAGACGCTATAGCGAGAGGGAAACACGACCTTCACAACGCACTCATCGCTTGTCTCTTAGTGTTCATTTTTGAAGGGATGTTAGGGAATCAAGCAGCGGCAGCAGTTCATGCAGAGAGTGGGCTGAACCTACTATTTAAATTTGCAACTGGCGACAATCCAGGAAAGTCGTGCAAAATCCAGGCAACCTCTACGCATCAGAACTTCGAAGAGGACCTCCTGCTGGCTCTCAGTAATCTTGATTTACAGGTTCTGTTGTTCATCGACAGAAGGAGCAAGGAAACCCATGAGCAAATAAAATTCTTCCAAACCAGCATCATTAGGAATTTGCCAGCAGAATTTAAAGACCTGCAGGAGGCACGGCACTTTTGGCAGATCATTATGAACCGAAATTACCACTTCTTAAAATCGCTCCAATCGCTGGATATGGACGTATTACGGGATGAGAGACTCTTAACGGAAGAAGGGTCGTCAAACATGCAAGCAGATGAATTGCTGCTGAGCGATCCTAAAGAAGGTCCAATGACACAAAATGAAGAGTGTCTTCGTTATCGGATTGACATTGGTCGTTGGACATGTATGCATACTCTCAATTTACATTTCTTTTCCCAAAGTCCCACCAGCTGTGGCACATTCAAAGCTCCTTGTCGTTCTAAATTTACTTCGTTCCATGGAGTATTACGCCACTAACTTTTTCTCTATTTGCACACCTGTATCGCTATATTTTCCCTGCCAGTGCAATGCTGACTATTATGGTTTACAGCAGCAGCAGCTCGCCCCTTCGATGAGATCGCTAAAGGCGAGGATGAGCGCGAGAAAGCTGGTGCGGCTCTGCTGATGGCACAATCCAAGATCTCCCACATCATGCTCTCTGGAACTTTCTTCACCGTTGAGACTGCCTACGATCTATTCCTGCCCGAGTTCACTGCCATCCTCAACCTAGCCGAAACAATCTTACCATATCTCACATCAGCCCATCGGGGCGGAGATCCACGCTTTTCAATCGACATAGGGATCGTTGCTGGCATCTTTCTCGTAGCGTCGCGCTGTCGATTCGACCACGTGAGGGAGCGAGCAATTGAAATGCTCTTGTCGTGCAATCTACGCGAAGGTACTTGGGATGCTCTTGCTATAGCCCATGTTGCGAAATGGTTGAGGAGCCTTGAACTGGAAGGACTGGCAGAAGGTGACCCAGTTCCCGAGGAGAAAAGAGCAGTTCTGAGCACCGTTACCATGGATTTGCATAACAAGAGGGCGGAACTAAGTGCTATCCAGAGAGCGAAAACGGGGGTTATACTGAGAGAGACTTCGATTGCCTGGTAGTTGATTCAGCTGCTTCGCCAAAAGTGGTCGGTACATTGGCCAAGAGTCAATATGAGAAACTGAGAATGACCGGCAATTGGATCTGTGAACTATGCTTTTATTATTAATGTACAAGTTCATGGGGAGTCTCAAGATGCATCACTAAGCCAGAAGTAAATATTAATCCCACAAAATGCATTCCTCAATGTACGCAAGCGCCCTGAGACAAGTGCAAGGTAATATCCGCTGTTTGATTTATCTGTCATATTCTTGCTCACCGACTAACTCTTTCGCCTACGCAGAATTACATTGTACTTCTCAGAAGGTTTCAAAATCGTGAACTCTTTCGTTTCGAGTACCAAACCCGGATTCTCCAGCTCAATTTTATACCTCAGCAATAAAGTCGCGATCATCTTAGTGATAAACTGCGTTGCAACGTTGCGTCCAATGCATTGCCGGCTTCCGAACCCGAAACCAAGGAAGCAAGTCTTCATCATGGCCATGTCTGCCGTCTCATCTGACCACCTTTCTGGATCCCACTTGTCCGGGTTCTTATAAACCATGGGATGACGGCCGATGGTTGCCGCTGGCACGCCAACGGCGACTCCTCCTGGAACGAAAATTCCGCAGATGATGGCGCCTCCTAGTGGGGTGTCTCGAGGCATGGCATAGCCGATTGGTGGGTGCAAACGAAGGCACTCGATCTCAGCAGACTCGAGGAGACTTAATTTATTCAACTTCGTGAAAGGAGTTGGCTTGCTGCCGTCCAGATTGTTAGGAAACATAATTTCAAGCTCCTTCTCGATCCGGGATTTGATATCCGGGTTCTTACACAGATAATAAATCATCCAACTCATCGTGACGCTGCCCGTCGACGCTCCGGCGACCCTAAGAAATGGTGAGTCAATGTCTCATGAGAACGAAAAGGAGAAACTGACATCAGCGAGGATGCCTCGGCACGGAGCTCAGCGAAATCCATCTTGACACCAGTTTCTGGATCTTGTGCCTCAATGAAACGCTGCATAATATCTTGACGTGGCTTTCCAGTAGGGGTCACTTGTCTGCGATCATCCTGGAATCTCTTCTGAAGTGCTAGTCTTGCATATTCCAAATATTCCACTCTGGCTTTCCAGAGTTTCTGGACATAAGGAAGAGGCACCCAGCTCAGAGTTTTCACACTGCTCTTGCCAAATGGAAGGAGGCCACTGAGATTTCCAAACCGTTGTGACTGCTCGACGAGAGTGGAGTACCTCGCAGGCTCTCCAGCTTCTATGACACCGAAGTTGTTTCCCAATGCCAGTTCGCCCATCAGATCCATAGTAAAGAGCTCAAACCAGAAGTATATGTCAAATGGCTCCCCTCTTTCGGCAAAACCGTCCATCTTTTTGATGAATTTCTCCAGCATTTTGTCCGCGAAAGGCTCAAATAGCAAGAGACTCTGAGCGCTGAACCCGTGTGCAACCATCCTCCGCTTCATAGCATGACGTTTCTTCGACCGCGTGGAGAAGAGACTTTCCCCAGTTGTGGAGAAGGAGTCATACCAGCTCGACTTGCCAAACTCATCGAAGCCTTTTCCATGGCCTACAAAAATCAGCAAACGGAAGGATCCAAAAAGGACAAATGGCGACCTACCATAAATTGCCTTCACAGCATCAGGATGATTGAACGAAACGGAACTGGGTCCAGTTCTCACTGCAACCGCGCCAGGATTCTGCTCGAATAACTCGCTGACCCATCGAGTCCTACGCTGCTCCTTCAGGGCATTGACTTCCAAGAGACTGCTTATCCTAGTCTGCCATGGCCCAGGGATTTTGCTCAAGGGTGAGAAGAACAACCTATAAATTAAGATATAAAGAGTGTACGAAATTGTAGTTAGCAGAGCGAGCGGTATGACGAGCCCTCGATCCAAACTCGAAATGTTGATGACCACCATTCTGATCGATGGACAGGAGTTCAGGTGCTTTCCGAAAGGCGTCAGCTACCCCTCGCTGATTTGTATATCACAAGCTCGCTCTCAACGGGGCCCGCATCCCCAAAGCCACTACCGGTGGCTGGGGTCACGGCAGTGAAACATCCGAAGGGACTACCAGGACCCCGGCGCTACTCGAACAGGAAGACTACTGTAGCTGTGCAGATGAACCCACTTCAGGGCCCCACATGACAGTTGGGGTGCAACGCCAAAGCACCAGGACCGCGTTTCAGCAAAGAGGAGAACTTGTTATGTTTGCTCTTAGTTTCTTGTAGGTTCAAGTCCAGCTGGCGACAGAAGTCGACAAACGTGGAATATATTAAAAGTCTACACACTTTCCTCGCCTACATTGGGGAGTTCTCGCCCAGAACCAGGGGACTCGCAACCCAATTACTATCCGCTCGGGGATTTCACTCCCGAACTTTTGTGATTTAAGCTTTCACGCCCTCTAAGCCTCTCCCCTTGTACCTCGCTAAAATTCTCACTAAAGACGTGGCAATCTTCACTTCCGGCGATCTGTCGTCAGATCCTAATTTTGACGTTACTGTATTTATCAAATCGGAAGCTTGGTGAGATCTAAGACTTTCTTCTCGGGGAGGAAGAGGAGAAGCTTTAAGACCTTGAAGTTGGGTAACCTTACGAAGGTCACGGTCAGAAGTCAGGTAATAGCGTCGAAGCGCTGTAACGCCCTGTAATCTTCCCCTAAGGACACTAAAAGTCCATAAATAAGCCTCTAGCCTGTAAGGTTCCGAGACGTAATTTCGTTAATTTCGCACAGACAACGCTACAGCGCAATACTGGCTAAAACTGCCTGTAATACGCTACAGTTTTAGCCGTAACCCCCTGCCCTACAGGGCCTTTAGGGGCCAATACCCTGTATTACCCAGAGTTCTCACAGTGACCTTCATCCCCACCTGGCTGCCTGTGGGGCCCCATTTCGTATTACTCGACCTCCATTTTGATCAAAGCTTTACCCAAGCTCCGTGGACCTTCAGAATACATCCCTCAAGTTTATAATTACTTTTTAGTAGCCAATTGTTCCGGAATAGTAAGATGAAGGAGACTCCCGCCATCCACCATGAAATGGAGGATGAGATGGAGCAAGCCCATCTCGAGCACCGCGAACTCCCTTTGGGCTATGAAGATCCACACAAAGCTGCTCTCGAAGACAATCCGGAGCAAGCAGAGAAGTTGACATGGGCTGTTATCCTATCTGCCATCTTTTTGGGAACCTCGTTCACTGGACCCATCATCTTCGGTTTTATTCTAGCTACGCCGATTCTTGTTCAGCTTGGTGAAAAGTTAGGAGGCGCCAACATTAGCTTTTGGTGAGTGCTTGAAGTGTTCTCTCCTGCATCGCTGTCTTCGCAAGTCATCTTCCCCCATTTGGGAGCAGACTGCCCAGAAGTTAATGCCTCGACTGAATATGCTACCTGGTTGAGATAATACTGACCTGAGAGTCTCGGATTGTAGGATTCCTTCTGGTTGGGGAGCTGCCGCTGCTGTAGGATTTTCCATTGCTGGACGTCTTTCAGACATTTTCGGACGCCGATATGTTATCCTTTTCGGTCAAACCCTCACCATTATTGGGGGCATCGTTGCCTGTACCGCAAAAACTATGAATGCACTTATTGCGGGCGAAGTTATTCTCGGGGCGTCTATTGGAACTATCTCCGTTGCCTATGCCGGTAAGCTTGGATGGCTACTCTAATTACAAACTGAGAAGTCGTCTAACTCGAGCAGGCTTGTCCGAAATACTCCCTAATAAGTACCGTGGCATGGGCCTGGCATGGACCGAATTCAACTTATCAAGTTGGGCTATCGCGGGCACTCTTCTTGCCAACACAATGCTCACCAAAGCAAGCTGGAGAGTCATGTTTTATATTGCCACTGGCTATGGAGCATTTTCATTAATAGGCACAGCGTGTGTCTATTTCCCGCCTAGCCATCCTCGACCAGACGGGAAGACAAAGTGGCAAGAGTTCAAGGAGTTGGATTTCATTGGCGCAATCCTATTCGTTGCTGGACTGGCCGTGTTTCTCTACGGTCTTAATTCAGGCGGAAACACATACCCATGGAAGGCAGCTGGTACCCTTGCACCTCTGATCTTGGGATTGGTCGTCTTCCTCGGCGTTTTTATCTACGACTTCTTCATTCCAAAGGATCCCTTATTTCCTTGGTAGTAAGTGACCTGGCAGCAACACATTTTCCTGGCTTGAAATGACTCGCGACGACCTTGCATACAATTACTGACTTTGCCATTTTCCATAGCCTATTCAAAAACTTTCGCGAATTCAGCTCTCTTTTATCCCTGGTGTTTGTCGCTGGCATGGTTTTCTCTGCAGGTAAGACCTGTCCGAAGCTCAACCCCCTCGTAGTTTTTGTCGTCTGTCTAAAGCTAATGGCTTGGCAGCATCTGCACTTAATGCGGAGACGATCTTATACCTCTTCAACGCCGATGCTATAAAGATTGGTATTTATGTGGGTCCTCTTTGCTTCGTCTTAATGTAAATATCTAATCTTTTTGACAGAGTCTTCCATCAGGCGCGGGCCAGATTGTTGGTGGAGGTAAGACCTATTCTCACTCTAAATGGTATATCTTTGTATAAGAGACGAGGGCTAGGGAGCTGCTCTGCAAGCCTTCATGATGACACTTTGTCCATGTGTCTCAACAAGCAAGACGGCTCCAAAGCTCTCGAAAGCCCTGACTTTTTCTCCTTGGATTTCCACAGTGCTAATTCTCTCGGCAGTCCTCATACCAGCCTTGTAGGTATTTGGGAAGAACTCCTTCCCATCTCTGACTATGGCATGAATTTCTCCCCACATAATCCCCGGTTCTGTCGAAGCCATCTTCATCTAGCAATTACTGAACTCCTCCGCTCCATAGGGTCCACTATATCAAGCATGTCCATCTCCAGCTCACCTTCGCCGTCTTCATGCAAACGTAAGTCGCACTTTCTCACTGCTTTATTTCCACTTGCGGCTTGTCTACTCCCTAGATAATTTTGTCTGAAGGATAGACCACTCACGAGACATTGTCTGGGGTCCAACTTCTACTCTGTAAAGGCAATACTAATTCGAGATACGGCGGTTAAGGCTTTTCTTTGGCCTTGCAGCTCTGATTACGCCGACCAATATCAATTGGTTAATGGTATGAACACTCAAGTTCTTATTTATTTGCTCCCAGACTCTGCACCACTCACAATTCCGAAAGAGCCTCCATCAACACATGGCAATTTCGACCTTTTGCTCTTTTTTATTCTTACGCTTGCTCTTGGGACATTCTGAAATCTCTTGCTCTCATTGTTCGATATGCTCCCGAGACATTTTGAAACGAAAATACGCTGACTCTGAATCCCCGTTATTCTAGGCATGTCAATTCTTAGCCATGCTTCCTTTCGGCTGGATCACCCTGAATTGCTATACAACAGCCTCACTTCACGTTCCTCAACGAGATCTCGGAGTTGCCATTGGCTTGATAGGGACGTTTAGATCTCTCGGCGGTGCCGTTGGCTCCGTCATATTCAGCTCAATCTTCACTCAGGTAGGAGCAAAGTCAATCGCAACCCGAGTCGGCGAGACGGTTGCTGCAGCCAATCTTCCTTCGGACTTAACCCCAGGCCTCGTCGCAGCAACAAGACTCACCATTCTCGGAGTGCCTGGTCAAGCTGCACAGTTCCCCAATGTCCCCTCTTCAGTTTACGCGGCATGTGTGTCAGCATCTCGGTTGGGCTACGCGTACGGATTCCGCATTACGTGGCTGGCTTCGATCCCATTTGGAGTTATTGCGTGCCTGTGTGCAGTGGCCGTACGAGACCCGTCAAAATACTTTACAAATCAGTACGTAATACTTTCCGAGCCCTTAATTTCCCTTTCAGATGTGCTGCGAGGTATTTCGATTCTGCAGACATGTCTTCAGATGAAATAACTCGTGGTACATTGCTGCAGCCCTCAAAATTCCTGCCTATCAGGTAACACTGACTCAGAACATCTAGTGTGGAAGTCCATCTCGAAAGAGACATCGGTGGGAAACAACGAGAAGGGAAGATCTTCAAGGAAGATCACGACGAGGAGACACATGCAGCAGGGCCTGTAGTAGAGGAGAAACAAACCGAGAATGGGAGTCAAGTCTGATATTCAGAGATAAAACCACGTTCATCAGTTTTGCGATGATAAGGAAACACGTACGTAGACCGCGGCATAAAGTGACGGGAATTCAGGGCATTTGTGCTCGCTCAGGACTTAAGGGGACTACAGCGTGTAATTTGGGGGGCTTGCCCTAAACCATAAGTCTAGGCCTTACGCCCTAGATTAGAGTTATAAGACATTTACAACATACTAGAAGATCTTCAAGGGTTGGCGCTGCTGGCGGGGCAACTATGGCGCTCGGACGCTATCAAGGCTATTCTTTAGGGCGCTGTAGAGAGGCTACTCCTGTAACCACAGGGGATAGGCCTCAAAAGGTGTCGGTACCCCCTACTTGCGGCTATTGAATATTTTCAGGGCAGTGGCCGAGAAATATAGGGGTTCTTAGTGGTTAATCATCGTATAAAATAGTCTGAAAGTTGGGCTTTTTACACAACTGCCCTGTATTTCTGTTACTTTATGCCGCAGCGTGCATAATTGAGAGGGTCCAATCAGATTTGAAATCCAGTCTGCTTCACACTACGTCAAAGCAAATAAGCACAAGCAACACTCAAGTTCCCCCTCTTACTCCAACCTAAACACCCCAGAAAGTATAGTACAAGCACAGTGTTCTCGCATTCTGCCATCTCTCGTAATGTCTATACTAACACTCCAACAGCTTCAGTAAATTCAGCAACTGCCTCAGCCTGACATGATCTCGTTCGCCTTTCCCAGACGACCGTCCCCACTATCTTACTGATTTTCATCAATGGTGGTTTGGAGGAGGCTCCACGACTCATTGACAAGTTTCGGCGCAGCATCGAATTCACGACAGTGATCCTTAAATACTGCCGGTGGTGAGTCACGTGACAGACGAAAACGGTCACCGCCCTTTGACCCTGTTCCACAATATCCGACTCCACCCCATCGCCCTGTTTGACGATCGCCTTAAACTTCACCTCCGCAAATACGGAACCCCAAGGGAACAACAATGCCACAGAGCAGTTATTAATGGGTATATCCGTTGTGCTTCTTAGGGTTATCTTCTGGAAGTGACTTGATCAGCTAGAGTCGCAGCGCAAGGCCACTACCGGAGAACTCAAGTGGACAGTTCAGCAGCAACTGCATTCCAACGATCATTTACATGGTCATGTTCTTCATTGTTCTGATTTTCAGATGCGCTTAATCTGTATCAACATCTGATTAGATGCTTTAAGCTTAATCGCATGAATCTTTTTTAAAAATTATTTCAAGTTCCTCCTCCAGATTTGAACAAGTTCGTCCGAGGCTGATGCGTAGAGCACGGAAACCCCCTGAAACTGTAAAGGGGTCGTCAACGAAACCGTTCGAGGCTCGTTATCAGAACCCCGTTACCCCAATAAAAATTCTCCGCAAAATTTCCATCCGAACATCTGTGGCCCCCGAGTCGATGCTGGACGAAATTTTCGATTGACCTGCGCCAAGCAAACTACCAGATCCGACGGTGACCCAATGGTAACCGCTATTGCTTAATCTTCTCGTCCACCCAGCTGCAATGCGCTAGATGTGGTAACTCATCATTCGAACCAACCTCCACTGCTTCAGAATGTAAGATTATTGTTCATAAGACGAAAACCTTTGCGATGGCCTCATGTTTATGCAGTTTGATCACCGAGAATTCTGTTGACCGGTGGGAGTTGACCTCAAGCTGCTCAACGGGCGGTTCAGACTTCCGCTGGGGCGTTGATGAACCACTTTATAGAACATCATTCATGCTCTCGTGGAATGATATCTATACTCTCTTTCAGACTGTAACTTAGAGTTATCCATCTTCTTTCATTTCTACACGCTCCTTTTCTTCCGTTTCGGCTGTACCGGTCGTTCAAGTCACTCGTTTTGTTAAATCAGTAATATTCTAATAGTCATCATGCAATTCACCAGCCTTTTCTTGGCCGTTCTGATCACTTTGGCCGTCATCGCAGATGGGAGAGCTGAACTGAGCAGGGGGAAGCATCACCACTGCCACCACCATCACCATAAAAAAGGGAAGCTTGAACGAAAGTGTGACGAGCTCTTTTTCCTCGAGAAATTGGACAACCTCGTCTCAAACACAACTGCACTTGCAGAGAAGACCCTGAACAACGCCACGAAGATCGCTGATCTCCAAGCCAAAGCCTCCAAAGATGCCTCCAAGTTCGCTGACCTGAAGAGCAATCACGTGGAGTGCAGATCCTTGCGGCAGAAAGAAACTCGAACGTGACTGCTTTGGGCTCTTGAAGCTTGAATGGTTGCTCAAGTTTGCCTCCAATGCCAGCGAAGTATCCACCGGAGCCAAGAACAACGACACCTAGATCACCGAAATCGCAGCAGAAGCCTCAAAGAGCGCTACCAAGTTTCAAGGTCCCCAGAGCAACACAACCCTGGTATCTCTATGCCTCATCGTCGACGCGCACAAGAAGGAGAAGCCCCAATGCGAAGAAATCAAAGGGTTTCAGAAGTTCCTTGCCTTTGCCGACAACTCTACTGCTATATCCCACAAGACGAAGAACACAGCTACGAAGATCGATGAGGTCAAAGCCAAGTCTTCGAAGGCTACTACTCGCTTGGCAAAATTGCAGAGCAATGCAACTCCTGTTTCTGACTGCGCTGCATTTGACCACCCTCTTGTCAATGTTGACGCTCAAGCTGGTAGGTTTTCTTCCTCTGACTGACCTTGATCTGAACGAATAGTACGACTAGCCCCGCGATGACAACCCAGGCGGCGATGAGCGCGACCGGTGGTCGGTTGATAGTCAAGCTAGGCGTTATATCCTCGATTGGCGTCCCGGCTGGAGGGATGATGTTGCTGTAGATTCATCCACGATGTTGTCAATCTCTTGCCGAACACAACATCTGGAGATTGAGAGTTGCGGCGCCCCTCTGAGGCATCGAGTGACCTGGCACCATGAATGTTGAGTTTTTGTACATCATATTAGTTAGGAGACTGTGCTGGTCATTCGTTTCCTTGCATATTGAGCACAGTCTAGAAGATAATGCTTAGTAGCCTACGAAGTAATAGACGATTCTTAAGTCCTGTTGCTTTTCAAATTTCCATGATCACAGTTGCAATCGTTGCCAAGATCGTAGTTGCACACTCAGAACACTTTTCTTGCGATACAATGTCCATGATAAAACGATCAGGCCTTGCTTTCCCTGCACTCGAGCGAAGTTTGGGGCTCGCTAGGATTAGGCCCGAATAAAGTTCTCCGACCCTGAGGAATCGATCGCTCTTAACCACTACGTACTCTATTGGAAGACAGCCTGTCAGCGCCTATTTCTTCGGTACGAGAGTAGCGCCGTGTGAAAAGCGTACTTCATTGAATAAAGTCAATGTCATTCAGAAATGCCTGCTAGCCTCGGAGATTCAGATCCAGGTTGCATCACACTGTATACTATGGGCAATCCGAAGCAGTTTTTGATGTCTTGGGTGCTCTGTTACTTCATTTCCTCGCTTCCAAAAACGATACGAGGGTTGGGTAGCGGATTTACGCAACTCCCGGATGACAACCCTTTTACATGAAAAGAAGGGGAAGCAGCAACGGCCACATGGTCCCATAGGTCAACATAGGAACCAATACCGCCTCTACCTGCTGTATGCTGACTGCGAGAAGGAGCAGGACAAGGCATTTGGTTTGTGGTCTCTAGCTATGAGCTACTGCCAAACCAATGTCCCTATCGATTATTCGTTATCCTTAGAACAAGTTCCAAAACAGGTTCTTGGTCATCGGCAGTTGCATCACCATCATACTTCAGGATGTTTTGGGGGACCTCAAGGCGATATTTGGGATTGGTGTATTGTCCCCAGAGCCGGCTCCCATACTTACAACATGACAGAACCAAAACAGCCTCCAGGATCCGAAGCATGAGTTCTATCCGAAGCGTGATTTCTTCCGAATTTCTTCCTCAGACTTGATATCTGGACGGAAGAATTTTCTGAGGGGGACTATATCGCGAATTTCCGCCGATGATGATGTCGAATCACAAGGATAATAATAGCCGGTTCGTCCTCTTTGCTCGCTTCGCTCGCAGTCGGGGAAAGTAAGTGTCCCGGCTCAAATTAGTATAAGAAACCCCACCAAAAAAACAGTTCTTAATATTCATACCTAAAATATACAGGAATTTATTATAAAACAGTCTTAAATTAATAATTAAATACTTTAAATTTTATTTTAGCTTAATATAAGTATTATTCTATATATAAACTTATATACAAAAATTTATTAGGTCATATATCGTAAGAAGGGTAGAGTTATTCTTACTTTTAGAGCGTTACTTCTTGGGCCTCCCACAAAACCTTACAACCATTGACAAACCAGCCACTCCACTCTTCCAGGTCACAGAGGTGGACAAGTGGATGACCCGTCAAAGTCAGACCCCAGCGATTGAACTTTCGAGAGTTGAAAGCTGATATTTGAGGACAAAGAACGGACTTCTGAGTTGCAGAGAAAGCTTGAAGCGAGCTCGGGAAGTGGGCAGCCGAGCAGCCGAGAAAGGGGGTTGTTGGCATTGAGCAAGCGAGGGATCCCAATTTAAGAGCAAGGTGGACAGTGATCTCCGTCTAGCAACCCTAAAGGCAACGAGGATGAAGCACTTATGAATTGGTTTGAAGAGGGGCCGAAGGGCACAGAGTCTGTGATGACATGATTTGCCCATTGAGGCATCGGACAATTTGAGGCGCGGCCTCTTCACATGGGACGAACGGTAGCTAACTTAGAGCTGGTCTTGATCTTCTTGCACGTACAAAATAAAGCTAAAGCCCTGGACATGGAGAAAGGACTCGGTGCTGCAGTCAAAATTTTCTATCAATTTCGAAGTAAGTTTGAAAGTCTAGTTTTGAAGAGAAATATCGCTGATGGACATCAAAAAGGACTAGTGAAACTTGTACGATCATGCACTTGCCACTTCTCTTGTCAGTTGCGTCGCTTCTGGTAGCAACAACAACAGTCTCCATACCCTCCGAGATGAAAATTGTATGCTCACCGCTCGAGATTCGTCCCACATGCTTCTAACAACTCCAAAGCGGCAATCATCTACCAACCCCATCAACACCACACCCCTTCTCCTTGGCGCATGTCTCGCAATGGGAATGTGCTATTACGGCACTGACCAGAAAGGCTACTACACCTCCGCTTGCAGCAGCATGAGCAATATTGGAGGGGTTTGCTTCGGCAACGCGGATGTTCAAGCTGCTCTCAGTGTGCAGGTTGAAAAGGGACATGCACTGTGGCCTGCCAAGTGCCCTTACTCGTAATTGCCCCACTTAGGTGATGGCCATTCGGATGGGTAAATAGAGGAGAACGAGATGAGGGAAAACGAGAGGCGAAGGAATTGTATGCAAGCTGAGAAGCCAGAAATTCGTTCGTAATAAGAACTAGGACAACTGTTCGTTTCCAATTGCGCCAGACTCCGCGCTATAAGCAAGAAATTCGTACAGTCTCCCTGTCCCATTCCAAATCCTTCGTGATCCATCGGTTCATCTCAGGTAATGTAACACAAGCCAGCAAAAGCCAAAGAATATCAGCACTCCGGCCCAGAATATCCACTTATCCTGCTTCGCCCGCCGCTCGATCATGCGTATCGTATCACCACTCACACCCAGCGTATTCGCCACACTATACAGTCTCTTTTGCGTCCCCTTCAGAATCTCCCTCTGTTGACCCAGATCTCCTAGCACAGCCTGTCCTCTAGCCAGGTATTCATCAAGCGCCGTATGTGTATTCGCAAAGAAGTTCTGCTCTCTCAACGCATGTGTCTCCCTCGTGTAGTCCCCAGACCCCATACTCAGCGACCCGTCCTTTGGCGCCCAGACACTGGGACTCGCTTTGATCTCCGCATTTGCGTACGGATTATCAGGTGTTGCAGTATTATGCGGCCTTCTTCCTAATAACTCTTGTCTGTTCACACTCGACTGTACTTCCTCGTTCTGGAGTTTGAGCTCTTTTAGCTCTTCGCGGAAGGATTGTAGTTCGGCGCGAAATGAGGTGATTCTCTCTCTCGCCTTCTCTTTTTTTGCGGGGTTCAGCTCGGTTTTCTCAAGGTCGGCATAGGCGTCAAGTGTTCTGGCGAAGGAGGTAAGGGAGACGGAGATTTGGCCGAGAAGAGAGGGTGAGAGTGGTTGGCCTGGAAGATTCGATGAGAGGTCTCGTTTGAGGGCTGTGGATTGCTTAAGAGCTGTGTTGAACAGTGTGTTCTGTGTACATTAGAGAGGGGATAGCTGGAGGGAATGGAGAGCCTTACCATTGTGACGAGATCTGCAGCTTACTCCGAGCTCCAAGAGATGCAAAGCGCGTTGAAGGGAGATGTTGTGGCCACAATGGTCCTTACGAAGTTTGCTTCAACAAAAATTGAAGTCAGGAGCCTCGTCCGTTGTCCACACGTGGCTGGACCGTTTCCGAGATGTGGCTTGGAATGTCGGCGGCTTTTGCGCCGCTCGCTAAGCCCAAAGTGAGGCCGCACGTCATTATTCACACCGCCTATCGATCTTCAGGGGTCAGGCAGGACCCTGAAAAGCTGAGGCGATGGCAACGGGCCGGATGCTTTTTGCCAGAGTGCACTGATCGAATTCTTGGACTTGGGAGCGTATCACAGCTCTCCAAGGCCTCGGCAGGGAAGCAACCGCAGAAACACATGCAAAAAGATGGGGGATGTGGTGAATGGGCCAATCGATTTCTTGGAGAGAAAACTTGCGTGCTGCATGGTTCCTTGGGACAGCCAAACTGGGAAGTAGCCCGCTCCATTTCTCCCCGTTACGCCGGCCAGATGGTTCCTTGTCCATCCGGATTGCATTTCGTTGCTGCCTCCCTTTGATCTGATTTCCACCTTTCGCCATCAGCATCCTCAACATACCCATTGTTGCTGGACAATTGACGTTCGCTGCGCTGTGCTTGTATCTTTTTGCTGCGCCTCCAGAGCGCCTTGGCCCACCGTGTCTCACAAAATTCTCGCAAATCGTCACCGTCTGAAGAGATAGCGGGGTCTTTCGTCGAAGTCAACCACAATTTGGAGAAATCATTCACATAGACTCGCTCCGATCATCGCACAAAGACAAACACAGTCTAGGCCGTGTGCTACCCTTGCGCAACCTCGACATCAAGATAGGCAACAGATCTTGTACCCCGCGCAGTACCTGGGCCCAACACTTTCTTGGATTCTCTCAAGACGATAACCAATTGCTTTGAGCCATAGACTTCGACTCCAACCTGCCAGGGAGGATAGATCAGATCAGTCCAAATGTCTCTGTAGGCACCCGTCCTTCCATCTCGAAGCTGCAACTGACCACTGTAGAAAACTCCCAACAATCACGAAAATGCCGAACCTCAGTACCTCCTACCTGCTTCCCGCTGTCCTCCTCAACCCCGCCTTCGTCCTCCATTTGATCAATACCTACGTCTCACATATGTGGCCTCCTCCTCCCACTATCTCACACTCTCCACACACAATTATGGAAAGCCTTGGTCCTCTGCCTGGCTCGACGCCGTATCTCGACATGCACGCCGACGATAAGCTATGCTGGAGATACACAATCGTCATGGTTATCGTCCAACTGTTCTCCTTTATTCGAGTCTCGGACAACAGAGGACGAAGAAGAAGTGCTCGGGAGGCAGCGAAACTCGAGAGGGAAAGAATTCGGAAGGAAAAATCAGAGCAGATAGAACAAATGAAGATGCATGTTGTGTCGCAGGTGTCTGGTACAGGCAGCTACTTGGATGGCGCCTGCGATTTCCCCGACGAACCCTACACGAATGATATTGCGCGTGGAGAAGAAAATGGAGTAGTTGAGATTGGAAACGCGGACCAGCGGAGGATTGAGTCTAGCAGTGAAGAGAGCCTCACAGAGACGAGCGAGGAGGAAATTATCATATGACATTGGTTTGAATGACTTGTCGTGGCGCTGAATGGATAGATTGATTGAATTGGTGGTGTAACAGCATGGCGTTATGGATGGGCGGCATGCATTTATCCGCGGCAATGGCGTTTGATGGGTGCGGATAAAAGACATAGAGAAGATTGCCAGAGGCAATAAAACGAATATGAATGTCTCAAAAGTCTTGATCAGAAGTGAAGTAAGTTTCAACCGAAGTAGATTCTGGAGAAGGCCGAAATTTCCGGGTTAGTCTACGTGCATTACTAATGTTCTAGATTCGGGATTCACTTGCTTCAGATAAATGCATCCATCGCTCTCAAAACTCTCGAGTGGCAATAAGAGAGTCACGTATTTCAGAGTGGTTTGGAGAATAGTTTCCAACCAGGCACATTAGCTTTGCTCCTTTTCAAACAGAGTGAAATCCTCAATCACGTGCAGAGCACTGCAACTTCCTCACCCTTGGTATCCTCTCAGCCACAGCTTAAACGTCTCCAACCACGACCTCACATTGACCAATACCCACCTCCCCACCTATCCCAATGTTCTCACCCCGTCGGAACAACGCTACCCTCTCAGCAGCCCCAGAACTCCCACCCACAAACTCTACCCTCCATCCCTACCCAAAATCACGCAAACGGCACCACCAAGCCCCCCTCTCCTCATCGCCGCACCCAAAACGCATGAATATCAAAGATCAACGTCGAGGATTGACACAGCATCATCTCCAACCTCCCGCGAGATGAGCTCGAGAAGCTATTGCTAGATGCCGCGCTGGGCAACGCGGGAATTATGAGAGAGGTTATTAGGGTTAATGGAGTGAAGCGTAACGATTCTGCTTTAGAAACTTCTAGAGAGGCGGAGAGCGTGAGGGATGGGATGTTGGAGCATGAAAGTCAAGATGTCGCTGCGTCAGGTGATAATTCAGTTCAAAATGGAATGGATGGCGGTGTGAATAGGGAAGATGAGAGTCCGGGGAGCGTTGTCACTATTGTGAATGTGAATATGAAGATGGATGAAATTCCGGGTATGGAGAATGGGCCGTTGCAGTTCCATCATGTTACGCAGAGGCAGTTCGAAGTGAGGAAGGCGAGGATTATGGAGATTTTAAAGCGGGAGTCTGATCAAGGGACTCATCGTTGAGATCAAGGCTCCTCAGGGAACCCTCTTAGACGGGCAATACGGATCGAGGAACGTAGTCTATTTGATGAGGGGGCCAGACTTGCTCGAATGTCGGGGACAGAGTAGGATCTAGTTTCTGGCGAGTGTACAGCAAACTGAATGGCATTTAGCCTGCATCTCCTGGGATCTGACCGCCTCGGCCACACCCTCAGTGGCCTTGGAGGGAGGTTTGGCGACAATGACTGAAAGATATCCTGAAGTTGGAATTTTAGATAAGTGGGATATCTTCAAGCCCTTACGAAAGTTATAACTCTCCATTGAGAATGTTCAGTTGGAGATACTTGTTACAAAGATGGGAAGGTCTTTGAAGCTGCATGGATCTAGAAAGAGGAGTCGGAAGCTGAGCTATTGACAAAGGTGTTTGTACTTACATCCCTCTTCTCTCACTCTCTCAAAAGCGCAGCCTCGGTCACTGTGTCACAAGTATAACTTTTGTTCCCGCTACTCCTTCACGTACGGGATCCGCTCCAATTCTTTCAGATTCTTTTTCAATCATGTTCAGTTTCCGCCTTCGGATCCTCGTGAAGATAATCTGGAAGGCTCGAGGGGTATCGACAGCCTCGCGTCCCACAGCTGCCATTTGGTCGGGAGCAAAAGCATTGGACCTGGGGGATTGAGATTGATCCGACTATTCTAAGGTCACCGGCCAGTGCCGATTGCTTTCTCCTTTCTGTGCAACCACGCGAAACGAGCAAGCCCGTCTTGGCATGGCGGAGGACGCCCGACCAAAAGACGTTGTTGGTGCCTGAGCAGAGACATTGGGCTTGAATACGCAGGCTTTGTAGTCGTGCGCAGGTGTTTTTTGGGATTTGCAAAAGAGTCATTAAAGGCCTAGAGCAGAAGAATGTTCTATTTCGAGTCCTTCGTTTCACGAGTTACCCTCTACAGCCACAACTGCACCTCCAACATGTCACCAGCCCAATCATACCAGTTGTTTTTTTCAATATGGCCGGAGGATCGCCCGAGAAAGCAGGGATACAGTTTCGGTTTTGGTGAGGCTTTTTCAGTTGCTCTTCGAGGGTTGGGCGTGAATGCAGTTGCAGGTACCCGCTGCCCCTGAAAATGGCTGATCTTCTCGTCCATTACGTTGACGATGACATTGTGGCCTCGTATATGGCTGCCTGACTTACTGCAGCCATCAGTGAGCTCACATATAAATACATGTTATTCCCCTCAGCATCAGTTTTACTTCTGCATCTTGCATTATGGGCGCCTCTTGGTCCCTCATTTCCGGCTGGAAGATAAGTCTCGAGCCACGTTGCCAAGTGGAGTCTAACATCGGCATTTCAGGTCTTCTGGTAGGAGTCTCTAGCCAATTGGCGCTGATTTTTTCTAACATTGTTGTATAGGGAAGGATTGCATTCGCTCTCATCGCGATTTCAGCCATCATCATCAGCATCATCCTCGGCTCAACATACAGGAGCAAAAGCCCTTCAACCAACAAGCTCCGAGAGAAGCTCAAAACAAGCTTTAAGGATATAGCAGCCTTGCAACTTATTGTGGCTGACGCTTATCTGGTTACCGCCTTGATGAATCAGGATCATACCAGCTGGTTCCACTTCCGCTTTCTTGAAGATGCCGCGATCCAGGCTTGTCTATCGGCCGCGATTCTCTCCCTCCACTTTCGGCGTACGGGAATTGAATTTTGGCTACATCTCTTAAACGTATTTGTGTTCATCGGCCTCTTCCTCGCCTCTGGTATCATCTACGTCAATAAAGTGGCCGAAGCACTAAAGCAAGCTCCCGGCTGCTACGACGAGCGATTCCAGACGTTCTGCACACCCTTTGATATCGGTTTCGGGATCCTCATCATCCTTCCCCTTCTCATCCCAGCTTGTATTCCAGCCAAGTTCAAGCTACGCCGCCGGTTCAAAGTCCCTCTCTGTGTAATGAGTAGCTTGTTGATTATTGTCGATGATTACCTCCAGTTTACGGACTATGAGGTGATGAAGGTTCTGCTTAAGAGTCCGGAGACGGGGGCGGACGTTGGGCAGACTTACACGTTGTTGTCCGCCGTCTTGGCGCTGCTTTATAGCCTGTATCAATGCTTTAGTAAGTCTCCTATTTCCAAACGTTGTTTGATCGCAACTTGAAACTAACCCAGAGTATTGTCATAGTTCCTCAACAGGTGGAAGCAGAGGAGGAGTTTGGGATGCATCCTATTGTGTAATATCCCAATCGGGCCAGGAATAAGCAAACAACAAGATGAAAACCCCTCATTTGCACTGGTGCACGAACGCTTTCAAATATACAAGAGTTCGGCCCCGAGAGTTGCACCTCTGGATATGGATGAATTGGATTCTGTAATATTAATCTTGGTTTAAGGAAGGACCTGCATGCTGGACTTTTGTTTGCAATTTGGAACTGTGGGTGGAAATCGGGTTTCTCGCGGGTTTGAATATTACTTCTCATCTTGGATAACCTTCGCCATATCTGGGAATTGAATATCATTCAGCAGTTTAATCATTTATTGTAAGCAATTTATTAAAACAGGAGTTTTGAAGATCTCATAATTAGGTGCAAATTAGTAAATTTTGTAAACATTTCAGTGTCTTCAACTCCGGAACCTAAGTTTCAACAAGGAGAGTCACCATGCAGCCTCGGCATCAAGTACTTAGTGAACAAATAGAGTCTAAGACGTGCCTGTAAATTAATATATTTTCTCTCTCCTTTCTATGATTCTTGTTGTTGGTGTTGTACTCATGAGTTCACAGGCATTATTGAATAAATCCGCCATCCCCCACCTAAGCGAGATTCGGCTTGCGCCACATTCAGGAGAACCTACCTATTGTAAGCACCTAGAAAGTTTGGTAGGTTTGTAGCCATTATAGCTAGGAGAGTTTCTTTAGAAGTTTTAATTCCAGAGAAAGAAGAGAATTTATAAACCTCCATCAGCGAGCCGTGACAGACCAAGAGGTCCTTGGAGGTGAAGGAGTGGTGTCAGGGAAAAGTCCAATGGGACGAGAACATGGAAGCACAACTTCATATCATATCATATCTGTTCCCAATGAAGCACTTCAGACCGTAGGGGCCATTTAATCAGAGCTTTGCCCAAATGGAACGTCTAAATCGATGGTGAACAACACATCCTTCGTCGTCTCAATCATGACCCAATCCTTCTTCACATGATTGCTCGTGCTCATCTGACCACCAAACTCCGTTTGCCAGTTTTTAACATCCCACTCTAGTCCCTCTGTCGTTATAACACTTGGCTCCTTCAGTGGGATAATCCCAACATGTTTCCCGAGTCCAGCTCCAAGTCCGTCCTCTCCGTACTTCGCCATAGCTTTGATCCGATGTCTTCCTGACTTGAGAACAAATGTAACAGCCTCTGTGGAAAGTAGAAACATCTTTCCATCAGGGTATCCAAGCTCTTTCTGATAGGTGTACAGCTGATGTAGGACTGACATCCCCTGGTCGACTCTTCCTCCCAGTCCACCAAGAACCACGATATCCAGTCCCTTATCCTGCTTTCCCCGGATGTGATTCACAGCCTTCATGAAGTCGGTAGAATACTGATCCTCGTCATGGATAATAGGAACATTTCTGGAACTCCAATAGCCGTGCGCCTCTGGGAGAAGGGAGTCCAGATCCCCAATTACGGTTGTGAGAGGTAGATCTTCTTCTGAGGAATTGGACTTGTTGAGAGTGAAGACACGGTTTGCTCCTCCGTCAGCGGCAATGTTATAGCTGGAATTACTCCATAGATTTTGGTACACCGAGAAGGGTAGATTGAGAGGCTGGTTGAGGATGACGATTGCATAGCTTCGCAGACGGGATGGGCTGGGGTGGAGGATGTCTGCTGGGTGCCAGGTTTTCTCTTCGATACCGGCCATGGCAAAAATTTCTTCTTTGAGAGATATCCTTAATCGGAATCTCAAACGCCAAGCACAAACTCCACCCTCGGGTTCCTCGGTGATAGCTGTTTGGGAGGAAGTGACTTCATTGCTTTACATCATAGACATATTTTCCAAGAATAAAATTTGAGCAAATCCAAGTTAGAAGGGTAATTGCCAGTGTAACAAACCAAAACAATGAAAATGAAGAAGAGGTTGCACAAAACAAGGAAGATTCAATCGAAGAAGTCACGAAGTCAACCGACTCACGTGACACGGATTTTCGTCCAGAAAAAATCATGATGCTTACAAAACAAACTCCACAACTTCCCAAGCTCCAATGTCCACGCCTCGGCTTTCCTTTGTTCCATCGCGCGATTCACGGATACACTCTCATTAACGTAATCATCCACGATGTTTAAGACCGCAGTCAGGGCCGCGCCACGGCGCATCGTGTCCTCCCGAACACAGCTCACCTCCAGCTCTTCAAAACGATTGCTAAGCACAGCTCCACCAACACAGAAATCTAGGGGTTGGAAGAGTGCTACCACGAGATGGGGGCTAGCTGCTGCGGGCGTGTACTATTATAATACCAGCAATTTGTTTGCGGAGGAGCCAGAAGGTAACGCCACATTTCTCAGACAGCAGTTGAGAAGCTAATGTTGGCTGTAGCTGCCATTCAACGGCTAGATGAATCAATACAACATGCCCAAGATTCGAGGCAGCCGACGATAGATGCGATTGTTGAAGAGAAGAGACAGCGGGAAGCTCAAACAGAGACGGAAGAGCAGAAGAGGGAGCGGGTAGCGGAGAAGATTGCTGCTGAGGGACAAGATGGTCATGTTCAGGAGGGAGAGGAGGAAATGGAGGGCTTAGAGGCGGAGGCTGATCAGCAGGGGGCCTTTAATCCGGAGACTGGGGAGATCAATTGGGATTGTCCTTGTCTTGGTGGAATGGCACATGGTCCTTGTGGGGAGGAGTTCAAGGCGGCATTTAGCTGCTTTGTGTACTCAAATGAGGAGCCAAAGGGTGTGGAGTGCATAGAGAAGTTCAAGTGAGTTATTCTGAGGGGGAAATCTATGCAGCCAGGCTAACAAAATAAGGGGCATGCAAGACTGCTTCCGACAGCATCCAGAGATGTACGGATCAGAATTAGAAGACGATGAGGATGAGGTAGAAGAAGAGATTCGGGCACAAGAAAGCGAAAAGGCTTCCAGTGAAGCATCAGCCAAGTCAACAACTGAATCAGCACTGGAGTCCTCGAAAGAGGCTCTATCCCCACCCGCACAAGAGAAGAAGGCTACACCAGACGCTTCACACCGAGATAGCCAAAGTACTACCGCAGCCGAAACGCAGAAAGCAGGTGATGAGGGTGGTGATCTAGTGCCAAAGGCTTCTTACGATGCAACTTCCAAATAGATTCGAAGGTTATGGGGTTCTTGTATCGACATACCATGTACCATACCAAAAGGCACAATATGCATTGGGAGGCGTAATTATGTAAAATACAAAGAACAAATCTCCTAGACTTATGTCGATCAATATCCTTGCAGATTGATATTCACGTTGAAGCTTTCCTTCCTTGTCCGCCAGCCAGCTTTCATTGGTGCAAGTCGCACCTTCCAGAAACATGCCCCTGAAGCTTCAGAAAGTTTATTTTGCAAACTCAATACCCTACAGATACTTTAGGGTGATTCTTTCTTGGATACTTTTCTCGCAGCTGCTCCTATTTTTCACGCACATGAGCCGCGCATGCGCCGCCTACGTCAGAGCGTTGACAGCGCTTGGTCCAAGCAAGGTTTGATTCACACGCGATTCTTAAAGGGCACACGACTTCCGTCTTCAACCTCACGAGATTCCATCCACACGATCACTTCCACCTATCTGCGATTCTCCCTCGTAAGCACTTGCGCCCCAGAACTTATCATTCGGTTCACTGAACCCTAATAGCAACTCTGCATCAGCAAAGATGTCGTACGCAGCAGCGGCAGCTAAGGGACCCAAACAAACCGCGGAGGAGGTATGTTGCTCTCCACCCAGTGCCTTTCAAAATACTTGAAGCTCTTTCACTGGCATATTACACCAAGCTAACAACTCGTACAGAAACGCGCCCCTGCCCCTCCCCAAGTTGAGCCCAGCGACTCGCCCTCAACCTCCTCCCTGATAGACGTTGACAGCGACTCAGTGCGCACCGTCCCCTCCGACTTCTCTGAGCAACCCATCCAAACCTCCACACAATTCGAGCGCATCGAGCACGAAGCCGAAGCGGCGGAGGCTCGCGCCGAGGAAGCTGCTAAGAAGGCCAAGGCCGCCGCATCGAAGGCCGCCAAGGACGCAAAGGCCAAGGCCAACAAAGCTGCCGGACGATTCGAGGCAAACTCTGATAACCCGGTCTTCATTGGAAATGCGGTTGCGGTAGTCGCTCTGAGTGCTGGGTTGGGCTTTGGTGCTTACCGGAAGTATGCTGCGGGCGAGTTGAGCTGGAAAGTCGTTGGTGCTTGGACTGGAATCGTGGGGCTCTTCGCTCTTGGAGATTACTATTTAAGCTCGTGGGTTTTACGTTCTTAATTGCAGATGGTGGTGGTAACTAACATTCGGCAGATATTTGTTCAAGAACAAGTACCCCCCGAAGAAGTAGATACGAGATGATGGTTACGGAGGCACGACATTTCTTTGGCGCAGGTGTGGTGGTTTGGTTGATTCCATGAGCCTTTCACGTCACAGTAGACTCTCAGCTCTTGATTCATGTCACTTTGTGTTTTTATAACAGCTTTATTGATCCACGAATGTCTATTTTGGGATTCTTCACGGGTGAAGGAAGGACCGAATAAGAGGGGAACAGTCAAATCTGTCTTTACTTTCCCTTGCTTTCTGACGACTGATTGTCGAGTTCATTTCTACCCCAACCTCTGCCCATTGTGCTCTCCCCGAAAGTTCGGGAAATGTAATGAAATATTGATACTTCCGTTCAATATTGCTTCTTTTATTTGCGCATATCCTTTGAGTGTATTTTCGAAATCTTGGTATTTTGTAATTGGGGCGTGCTGTGAATTTCAGCCGGAAGCACTCGCGCTGAAGAAGGGTATCAGTGAAAAGAAAATTTGTCATCTGAGGACTTTAGGATTTCAGCAAAGCTGAAGTCCTTTAAGTCAACAATAGACTTGCCCGCTCCAGCAATTCAAATTGAGCTTCAAGATGGGTGTCTCCCAGGAGCTGAAGGGCCCACGTCATTTTGCTACATGTCGGACACATCGCAACGGCCAGTTGCGTAGGCGTAGTCGATGGAAGTGAATGTGAGCTGGGCAGTAGGACATGGATCTCCACGGGGATGAGCATGGAACTCGCAGACCGTGAGAGTTTCAGTGCGCCACAGACCATTGGTCAAGACACCTCGTGACTGCAGAACGAAGTCCACAGCAAGTGAAGGCTGACGATTGAGAAGGCCATGGAGCTCGTCGAGGGATGAGCCAGTGGAGGTCAGGATCTTCTGTTGGAATTGCCGGGCCATGTATCGACGAAGTGCTGATCCTGGTTCGGTTTTGGTGTATGCAAGCTCAATGTCGTCGTTGCTTGGGTACAAGCCACTGTGGTAGTAGCCGTTGCCGAGAAGTTCCATCGCAAGGTCCTCGATTAGAGTGAATTTCAGATGGTAGGCGACGAAGTAAAGTTCGATCATTGTCCGAATACCCTCTTGTTCGCAGTTGATACGGCCAAGAACGATGAATTGAGCAATTGACTTCCTGTTGCCGTAGAGCCATTTGTATACGAAGACAAAGGTGGCGGGGTCGATGTCTGGCAGAGAATGGGTATTCAAGCCTGGTCTGGCGGCAAAGAGCTTGCGGAAGTAGAGAGACTCGTCATTCAGAGGCTGCTTGTGCATCTCGAAGATGACGCGGTGTTGTCCGGAGCCAACCATAAGCTGAACCATCATCGTTCCATAGTTCCTAAAGGGCATGAGACATTGTTTGTGAGTTGTTGGAGGTGACAAGATCTTACCTGCCAAGGTCGGGAACGGCGATACCGGTAAATGTCTCGAATGGCACCAAGGCATCAGATTTGGTCCGCTCGGATCCGACGGAAGTCATGGAAGTCGAGCGACGGTGGTTGGTTGAAGCTGGGGTTGATGCATTGGAAGATGACGGGGATGCCGAGGGGGTGTACTGGGAGCCTTCAGCTGATTGCCAACTATAGGACGACATGATGAGTCTGAGGAAGATGTAGCGTGGGTACGTGGTGGTTGCTTGACAGAGATCGAAGTACGACGAGGATTCTGCCTTGTGGATGTTTGTTGAAGAAGAAAGATCGAAAAGTCGTAGGCGAGCGGTGATTTTATAGTGGAGAGGTGTCAAGGTCGGAGGCAACCTGAGCGAACAACTATAGTGAATCGGTTAGACCTTTCGTGCGTGGCTTTCTGTATGCTCTTTAACAGAGTAGAAAGATGCACGTCGATGGTGGCTGGATATCTCCCATTGGAAGTTTTATAATTTGCTTTGCCACTATTGATGACCAGAAGAGTTGAACACTTAGCTGTGTTCACTTTCAGAAGAAAGTTCTTACGGTGGACAAGTGGCACTCACTTTCAACGTCCAAGTCGAAGTTGACATGTATCTGGACTTGGAAAGGCAGGACGGTGTCAAGGAATATTTATTTGAGGATGTGCAGACATTCGAAGAACTTGACTTCGAATGTTCCAAAACTCAACGGAAGACTCATTAAGGAAGGCTGAAATGGTCCAACTTGACTTGGAACAGTGAAAATTTCGGGGCAAGTCGTCTTTGTCCACCAGAGGCACCGTCACGTATGATATCAATTAGAAATTCGGTTCCCTTACCCGTTCTAAGGCTTTATCATCTACGTGTCAGCAATCGCGTCAATCTCAGTTTAACATAAAGTTCACAGTCTCAAACATATCACGAGGTTTATTATGAATTGTTATTGGTTGGAAATTTTCCCGTAAAAGAAGTCCGTCAACTCATGCAGGCCTCCCATTGGATACTTGCCAGGAGTCAACTCTGCTGACCCCCATAATCCAGTTCCCTCCTTGAAAGTTTGGGAAATGTATAGAAATGTTCTGATATTTGTTAGTTATTGTTTGTATTCGGTCCTCTCTGATGGATGCGAGAGGCATCAAATTTACATGTTGAGGTTGCATGCGTCCCGTTGCGTGAAACGATGACGAAATCTTCTTGCGTTTGTTGTTGATTGAACGCCTCCTAAATTGGCTCTGAGACACGGGATTCCATTCCATTAGAAGCAGTCGAAAGTCTTTCCCGAGACTCCACACCGTTCGCCCGGTGGGTGATCGTGGTAACAGCAGATTTCATGAAATCGAGGGTTCAGGCTTATCAAACTCCCCGTAGCAGTGTTTGCATACAAATTATCCATATCCTTTGGCAGATCTGGATGCTTCTTGCAAAGGTGTTTGAATTGATCTCGGTCCCATGGGCCAGCCATCATGTATTTCTGAAGCGGTGCATGTTCTCTGCAGCAAGCCCAGGTTGCCATGTAGATTCGAAGGGCGGACCACTGTTCGATTTGACTGTAGGTAATGGCAATCTCCTCGATCGTTGGTGCTGAATTATTTTTCAAGTACCCATGACCCAGAAGTTCGATAGCCAGATTCTGGAGAGATCGAAGCCGAAGCTTGGAGCATAAGCAGTAGACCTTGACCATATGTGTTGTGTTGAAAATACTGTCTGCTTTGTAGTCCTCAGCGATGGATTGAATATTGCGATGATAGAGCCAATGTATAATGGTCGCCAAAGCATAGGTGTCGAAGTCTGGGAAATGATAAGCTTGGGGTGACTCTTTGTGATTTGGATACTGGCGGGATAACAATTCAAAGAAAGGAGATTTGGCGAGTATGTACTTGTGAACCAGAACGCATTTGTTCTTGGGACCAATGCGAAGCTCAATGGTTTCGTTGGCAATGTTTCTGCTTACTATAAGAGAATGTTCAGATGATTTGCAGGACTTTCAACTTACTTATTGGATTTCGACTGAGTAATGTCAATGGAAGAGGGGGCTGTCGTCAGAGATTTCTCCAAATCGGGATGCTTGCTATCCATTGAGAGCTGCGGTGGCATCTCAGCCGAGGGCGGAACTTCCCAAGCCTCGAAATCACCCGTCTCAATTTTTTGGAAGGTCATGTTTGTGTCACTTGGGGTCGAAGGAGGTGAGATCATGTCTTGTGATGCCTCAGTCGGACTGCACACCTTCTGCACGTCCAGTACACCCGTTTCAATGTCTTCGGGAGATTTTTCTAAATCATCCCTAGTCTTCGTTTGGGGTACGTCCCACACAGTAACAAAATTTTGACGCAACTTCTTTGCTGGCGGTTGTTGATCCTCCTCCCCATCCTCTATCTTGAAGTGGACTCTCTTTCTTGGAGAGTTGCCAGTGTCTTCTGGGCACATGTAACGAGATCCTGCGTCTTGAGTAATAGAAACAGGTACAGGCTGCATATCAAATGGCATCCTTTCAATGGACCTCTCGATCATAGTTGAAGTATCAGTATCCACTGGGGTTGCCATGGCCCCAGCGGCTTCCAACCATTCGGCTGCGGGCTTTTCAGGCGACTTGGATTTCGCACTGGGGCCGCCTATGGCTGACAGAAGTGTGTTCATATAAGGAATGGTATCTGCGGATAAAGGCTCCAGCTTTATCTCCGGTGAGCTCATCTGAACTGATTCGGATACAGTCGTTGATATCTCATAGGCGTATGGCTGTGCCATGTTAGCAGCGGCATCCCCAGATGTGACATGCTCAGACATTTTGGCCAAATTCCTATCATCAAAATCGGAACCTGCATCCAAGACCTGAGGCCTCTCCCGTACCCAACTGGCCCCATAAAGAGTTCCGAACATTGGAGAGCCCCAGCCTGGTTGGAGTCTGCGTGGCGTACCGGTCGCGGTCTCCTTGATAGAGACGGACGGACCGCTCATAGTATCGTCGGAGCTGGAAGTGTTTCTGATTTCTGACCCAGTCGACCTGGAACATTTGGGTTTTGTTGTTGCGTCTTCATCAGAAGACTCCGCATCGAGACTGGCGGAGGCCGGATGGTCGAGATTCAGCATGTTGGTCGCATTTGTCTCATCAAATTGGAATCCTACATCCATGCCGTCAACAGAGTAGGTAGGAGAGTTCATGGCGGATGCAGCTTCGGAAACTGTCTGATCTTCCATCTCGGACTGGCTCCTGTCGAAGTTACCCGGTATCCCAGATGAAAAACCAGAAGTTGCTGGAGGAAATGCAGTGTCTGAATTGCTTTCAACGGAGACGATGAAGTCTGACATCTCGATTGAGCTTGTATCAACAGATTCAGGCACATTGTTGTGGCTGTCGGCAGAGGAGAAGGGATGGGTGTGCATAACCGGTGTTTCTTCAGAAAACGCAGTGTCCTGAATCTCTGGCAAGCTCAACTCGAGTGTGCTGGGTAAGACAGTGAAACTATCAGGAGAGGAGGAAGGCGAAGTTGTTTCCGGGGGTCCGTAAGATGAAGATGTGAGCTCCGAAATCTCCTGCGAGCCCGTGTTAACGCATTCCAGTGTCTGGTTGGAGCCATCGGTCGAGAAGGGAGAGTCGTTCAAGCCTGGTGTAGCTTGAGCTGTGTAGGCATGCTCCTGAACCCCTTGCGAACTCGAACCCGTGTCGAAGGGATCAGCAACCACGGTTAAATCATCAATGGACAAGGGAAGTCGATTCTTAAGTGAAGCATCTACAGCGAAGGGATTACGCCTTGATCTCTCTCCCGAATTCGTCTCGATCGCTTCGAGTCTGTTGCTTACCCCACAAACCTCCAATTTAGGAGAGCTCTTCTTAAGTGAGAGGTTGAGCTTTATGAACTCAGTCAGGCTAGACTCAAGTGGTTCGTATCCCGTGTTTTTGTTGCTGGCAGGAGAAGTTGGAGTTGACTCCAAGTGGGTTGAGGATCCAAGCTCTGGAGACTCAGCCGAAGTCTTCTGGGTGAGTTCCGATGTTATCATTGCGTTGCCGGCATTTAGGAAAGAAGTGTTCACATCATCCTGTGAAATCATAAGTTCAATGGCTTCGGAAAGAATCTCTGAAGCGTCAACTGGCTCGGAAGGTGAAACAGCGTCGGGATCACTTTCAACTGAGAAGGGGCCGAAGGGGAGCTCAGGTATTTCGACCAAAGTCGCCTCAACGAGTTTGGATAGCTCGTTTGATCTGTCCGCGGTATGAGAAGAGTCCATGTCGGATGAAGGCTCTACCAGACCGGACTGCGCTTGAAGCTCTGGCGAGCTATTATTGACAAGATCACATACCGGTGTTGGAGTGTCTGTATTTACGGAAGATTGATCCATGGCTGTGATGCATTCAGTCGATCTCACCAGCTCTAAAGTAGGAGGTGTAATCATATCGCTGGGTACCATATTCGATCCGTCGATTGTCGAGCAAAGAGTAGCCGTGCCTGGAGTACCTTCAACTGAAGCGATGAGCTTTTGAGTCCCCGAGAAAACGATCTCGCCTGGAGGAATGCTTGATTCGTCAATTAACAGAGAAGGTGAAGTCATGTCCAAGCCAGCTTCGGTCGAAACATCGAGCTGTTGAGTCTGAGGTGAGGTGGTCTCGATGTCAACGGTATTCGAAACTTCCATTGTCAAAGGAGGTGACGGAAGTGGTTCTGCCATGGTGGTCGTCTTAGTTCCTTCAGGAGTGTCCGAGCATATGATGAAGTCAATGCGAAAAGGGTGGAATATGGGAGATGAAGTTGATCTTGAGGTTGCAAATGCGAGGTGTTTATGGAGGGGGGAGGGTGGTCAGCGACGTTGTTTCTATAAGGGGCACCAGGGGCAATAAAAAGCGAACGTATTCTAGGGCCTCATAAGGCAAAGGGAAGGTACGAGATAGGTCTGCTGGTGATCTCAAATTGGAGTGAATATCAAAGCTTTATCTTTCCGAGCTGGCTTGTTTTCATTTGATTTAGATGGAAGGTGAAGGGATGAGTGGGATGTGCTTTGGGAAGGCACGGCGGTGGAAACCAGCAGACTCCTTACGCTATCTTAGATTTATAGAAAGACAAAACAAGGAGCAAACCACTCAGTCATAACACTTTCGCAGAAGACTGCCTTAGGTGTATCACTGAGTCTCACAGAAATATATTAGTGATAAATCAACGGAGTCTATTCCATAGATGAGAGATATCATGAAAAGTGAACTATGAGATCTATGCCAGCCTATCGTCAGATGCTTGGAGAGTCAAATTCGTCTTTCCGTCCGCCGCCCTCTATCCTTGGACTGAATTTGAATCATAGATTTGGGTTTATGAAATGCATGGAAATCTTCTGGTTGCTGAATGCTGCTTTCTGTATAAATCAACTTGCCGTAGGTAGTAGCTATATGTGTATGTGAGAGCCCACTAAGGAGCAGATATAAATCGGGGTGAAATAATGAATTTGTAGTTGTGATTGCCGCTTTCCATACTCCACCACAGAAACCCCGTGCTGAGCTGGAAAGTTTATTATTGCCAAAATTGGCGGAAGGAAAGCATGACTGAGGGAACCTTCGCGTGTGTTTGTATTCGAAAAGTCGCCGATTGCAAGTCAACCTATTAGGTGGAAGTCTATCGAATAGCAAGATCTAGCACAGAAATTGTCAGCCACAACTCAAACAAGGATCATCGTTGTGCATGCCTTGAAAAGTCTTGCCTTCGAATTCGCAGACCTTCTGCTTTGCATGCTCGTGATAGCCACAAACCATATCAAAACCTGGTGAGATGATCGTTATTAAACTGTCCGATATGATTCCTCTCAGGCGGTCAACTGAGACCCTCTTAGCGAAGGGAACGTCTCAGCAAGATGGACCAGTTCTGTGGTGGCTGGATGATCTTCGAGGGTAGGGGAGTTGTCACTAGATCTCAATAGCATGTAATTATATGAGCGAGCCATGAACTTTCGAAGCCCGCAATTTGGACGGGTCTGGCGGTAGGCTGCACAAAATCCTCCTAGGATGGCCATCTGTCAGTCAAGAAGTACGCGTTCCTGAGTTAGTTGATGACCAAGTCAGACAAACCAGGTATTTTCCAAAGCAGCGCCAAGCTGTAGACTTTATGAGTTTAGAGATGGCTTTGGATTGGCGGATAAATTGTAGTGTGTCTCTTTGAGTTGGTACATTGACTCGACCAGACTTTACATGGGAAAGGCTCGGATCATTTGGTGGTACAACCACTCATGAATGAAAGGGAAAGCATCTGGATTACATGTTGGAAGGTAGACTACCGGTCTAATCAGATATACTTAGACTTTGTAACGAGAAGGTTTTTGTGAATCTTGAAGCTCTTGCGTTTGGGGGGGGACAACGCGGGATTCGATGATATCAGAACCAGTTGTACTATCGATTAGTTAGACCACTTCAAGCTTATTAAACACAGAGATTTCCTTACTCATAGAATGTGGCGATTTTCTTGTTCATCCCAATTGGCTCCTTGATTGGACTCGATTGTTTGCAGAGAAGTGTGAGCCCCCGGAAAATCTCCCGGGGGAGATATCAAGGATTGGAGGATATCGGATCGGTGAGATGCAGGGAGTCGCAGATAGATGGCTGATGGGAGGGTAAGAGAGAGATGGTCAACGGAGAAAGAGAGTGGCTTGACCAGAGGGTGACAGAGACAGGCGGTTGACGGGAGAGAGAAACAAAGAGATGCTTCGACTCGAGAGGAGGATCCCAAATACTGCATCAAAAAAGCATAAGGAGAGAGCAAAGAAAGGTACGAGCGAGAATAGGCATGGAACGGTGCAGGAAATTCGCAGTAGTCAAGCTTCAAGCCGCGTTTAACAATTGCTACATATTCTTGGAGCGAAAACTTACTAACGTCAGAGTTCGAACGATTATTCACATGTGAGCGTGCAACCTATGACCGGACCTATTTTGATGTTATCCGGAACTCAAAAGTTCATGATCTCACCTTCCTCTCATCATAGTCGTCAAACGAAGCTACCCCTGCAAAACTAGCCCCTTTCCACGCCACAGGCACGCCAAACACCCCTGAACGACGTCACGACATCTCCCCAGCCTCTCAGCTTTCCCCGAGATTTCCCTCCCTCATCTCCTCTTTTCTCCTTCTTCCAACCAACAATTCCCGTTGAAAATCGTCAATCTTCTGCCATCGTGTTGAACTGGGTATGCTACAGCTTCACCTGAGCTTCACTTCCCCAGCTGAGAATTTATTAGGTCTTGAAGAAGGAAGTGAAGGAAAGTCAACATGCCGTCCGCGAAAGGAAAACCGACGGATCCTAAGCTGAAGGAGAAGGTTACTGAGGGTATGTGCCACCTTCTCGTAATACCCCCAATTGCAATTGCCCCTCACAAATTCATACGAATGTCGATTGACACAATTCACAGAGGTAAAACAACAACCCAACAAAGACGGCAGCGGAAAAGGCCAAATGGCAGCATGGAAGGTACAATACTTCTCCACCCCTCCACCCCAAATTCCAAATTGAAATCACAGAACTAATACGCGCAAACCACAGGCCGCCAAAATCGGCAAGGAATACGAAGCCCGCGGCGGCGACTACGAAAACGAGCCCGGCTCCAAGAACAAACCGGAGAAAGGCCCACCGCAGAAGAAATCCGAGGCTACCAAGAAAGCCGAGACGTCTGCCTCCAAATCCGCCTCCAACAACAACAAATCGAAATCAAAACCCGAAGCTGACGATGGGGATGATGAGGAGAAGGGAGACGAAAAGCCCAGAGCAAACGAAGGACGGAAAGCACGGGGTCGACCTAAGGGGGAGGGTGGTGCGGGAGCCAAGGCAAAGGAGAGCAGGGAGCCGAGGCTGGGAGAGAGGAGTAGTGCGCGGCAGAAGGGGGATAAGGCTGAGGAGCCAGCTGCTGGGGGGAAGAAAAGGAAGAGTGCTGGTGGGGAGGAATCAGCTGCAAAGAAGAAGAAGTGAGGTGTGATTGGAGGGTTGATGTTTGACGCGAGATGGTGGCGATGAGGGGTTTCACGCAACGCAAAGGAACGCTCGGATCGCATCGCGCATCGTATCAGTATTTCGTTTCGGCTATCGGATATTTGAGTCTTGGGGCTGTGTCCATTTGTCGTGGTCGGTGCTGAGCGCATGGATGTCATAGAGTTCTGTAAGAGTTCTGTAGTGGAAACTGGTGGCTCTTTGTTTGTTATTGATCAACATCAAACTGAAATCAGCAAACATGCTAAGATTACCATGCCAACAAATCAGAACGTGATAAAAAATGGTCTGAATCCACCTAATGCAGTGTCATTTCATATTACTGAAATCCTGTCTAAGGTGTCTGTCGGTAACTTTGTACATTGTCAAGAAAACCATCATCTTGTCCATTTCTTCAATTCCATTTCATCATATAAACAATAGGGGTCCTCCCAAAAAAAGGTTTTCTGTCCAAAACAAATATACGAGATCTAGATATACATTTCTGTACACCATCTATTGATGGGGAGCCATTCCGATGGTGTTGTTTCCACCGTTGAAGGCCACGAACTGGGACTTGAACATGATGTCGCCGTAGATCTGCAGATTGGATGCAATGGCCTGGAGACCGCCGAAGCAAGCTGGAAACACCGTTAGACAAATTTTGTAACTTAAATACGGGCGAATTGGGGGAGGGGAGGGGAGCTTACTCGTGCCAGCATTATCAACCGGGGCGAAGTTGATATCATCACCCCGAACAAGCGCCATGTACGATCCACCAACATCGACCTGGAGATCAGGCAACTGCGCGTTGCAAGGGAAGGTCACGCCTCCGACAGTCTGGTTGTTGACTGCGCCGGTGACCTGGCTGTAATAAGCGTTGACGACGGCTGCGTTGGCCAACATGAGTGTGGTTCCGGTGTCAGCGATAGCCTGACCGCCAGCGACGGTCATGGCGGCTCCAGTGCCGACCTGGAACTTGGTGGACGAGAATTGCCAGAAGCCGTTGGTGGTGTTGACAGCGGCCCAGGTGAGGGAGCCGTTGAACTTGGTCGAGTCGATGGCACCGAAGGTATATGCGCCCACGGCGTTCTTGCGAAGATCGGCGGTGAAGACGGGCATGGCGAGGGAGGCTTTGGCGTTGTCGAAGAAGGTCTTTTGCGGAGCTGGCTTGACGGTGTTGAGTTTGGAGAAGGCGAGGCCGACGAGCCCGTTGGATTGGGTGTCCTGGATGAAGGAAGTGGAGACGGCGGTGGCGAGCTCAATGGCTTGGCTGGTCACGGTTGCTCCTCCGATGTCGACGGTGTCTGTACCGACGTTGCCAGCTGCTCCTGATCCATCACCGTAAGAGATGGTGAATGAGGCACCGGTCATCATCTTGAAGGAGGTAGACTTGGTGGGGTCGAAGTTTTGGTGGCCAGTTTGGGAAGCTGTTGCCAGTTGAGTATTGAAGACCCACAGGTCAGAAGATCCACTGTCGAAGTCCATGTTCATTGTCTGGCCTCCAATGCTGATGGGAGCTAGATACTCGACATCACCTTGCTCAGGGGTAGCGGCAACAATACCAGTACCAGTGTTAGCGGAGGCTGTGCTGTTTGTTGTACTGTTTGTCGATGATCCAGATGCTCCAGTTGATCCTGTGGACTTGGCGGTACCAGCAGAACCCGTCTTAGAGGCCTTTCCTGCTGCTGCAGGGCTCGATTTGGCATTTCCGTTTGCATTTCCACCAGCAGCAGCGGAATTTCCAGCTCCAGCTCCAGCTCCAGCCCCAAGCAAATCACCAAGCAAGCCTTCCAATTCCGCGGCAAGTCCACCTCCAGCAGCTTTCTCCGATACTGCTGAGGCCGGCGAAGCAGCTCCAGCTCCTGCCGCACGCATGGCATCGAGCACTGGGCCTGGAGGAATGCCAAATTTCCGGTATGCCTTGAGAAGGGCTCTCGTTCCTGCTCCAACAGATCTTTTGTGATTTGGGTGTCGTTTGAAATTGGGATTAGGTATTCGCTCGACCATGAAGCTTCGCTTTTGAGGCGGGTTGTGGGGTGAGGGTGCGGCAAGGACGAAAGTGACGAGGGCGAGTAGAAGGAAAGCTTGCAATGCTAATAATGAAGGCATCATGAGAAGATAATCCACACCAGGTGGCTGCTTTCGAAGGGTTAAAGAGTGGTAATCCCGAGGACAACGGATTCAAAGAACTGCGGGTGCTGGAGAAAAAGAATGATGCCCAGCAAGTATGGAATCAGATGGATGCCCGCCCCAGAAACTTTTGGTAAGGAAAACAATAGAGTAGACACAAAGTCACAAGAACTTGAAAAGAGAATATAGTTTAAAAGGAAACTGAACATGGGAGAGGGCGTAACTAAGCAGACACACGAATGTTTGCGCATGAAGTCTTGGCTTCCTTCTATAGGGATCTCCTCTGCCAAGCCCAAACATGCAGGCCCCAGAGCCAGACACAGGGTGTGGCATGATGGTGGGGAGCCGAACTCAATGCAGGCAAGCCTGATCCAGGCATGTTAGTGCACGGAGACAATGCCCTGGGGTTTGGAAGCTTCATGGCGCCGTCTGTGCCCCTGATGTGGGATGTCTGATTCGATGTTTGACGGGCGAGGGCCAGGTACAGCCAAAGAGAGCACAAGCAGAGCAACGAGTCGCGGGGGGAGACTGCAAGGAAAGGGAGCTGCCGGAGGTTGAATGCGACTAGCGCAGCAGTAGCTCGTTCTCAGGTGCCTGCAACAGTGCAAGGGGGTTGAGAAACTTGAGAGACCGCGAGGACTGTGGATGCGGCTGACGCGGAGTTTGGTCGAGGCTGTCTGAGTGGTGGTTGAGTGGAGGAGTGCTGTCGGCAGCCCCTGTGCTGCCCAGGGGGTGTGCTCTTCGCGTGCCTGGATCTGATTCGCTACCCACTTGGCGGGGCACGCCGACGACGCTGTTCCTGCGGCTGCTGCTGCTCAAACTCGTGACTGGAGCCAACAGGTCCCCCTGAAATCACAGAGGTACAAACCCGTAGCGGGTCGGCGACAGATCGGCCACTCAGAAAGACCGCACTGGAATGTGTAAACGCCCCTTTACTAATCGCCTGTCTGCTAAGAATACTTCAACCGCGTACAGTACTAAGAGCGTCACTTACAGTGCCACCCGCGGCTGTCTGTGGCTCGCACTGTCTCCGCTGTGTATGAGCGTGTAGACCGACTGCCACTGACTGATATGTAGTGACATCTGCCCTCAAGACCAAGGGCTGCAGTCCAAAGAACGGAGTGCGGTTGTGCGAGCGCGGGACATGTTTCCCCCATCGTCACTGTGCCGCAGCCCCCAACGAGATCGTTTCCTGCTCCCCCGAGATGTTTCTCTGCAAAAATCTCCGCCCAGCGTTCCGGTGTTTCGAGAAGCCCGTTCTGGTGCCCTGAAACGCACGTCACTCCACCAAAAACCACGCCACAGCCGCGATCAGCAGCCACTCGCAACTCGTCGCCCATCATTCACGGTATCTCCGACACACCACCGACCCCAAAATCAATCTCACTAACACAAAAGGAGGGTGAGCTATGGAGGCTGAGCCCTCCATTCGGCGTCCTGCAAACGAAAAAGACATCCAGGCCCGACTCGGGGTATCATACAATTGTCTTTCCATTATGTTACTTCTCTGGTTTTCAATGATCGTCGCCAAATGTCCGTGCCTCCAGCGCATCCCGTCCGTGGCCCGGAGAAACAAGATCCATTTGATGTGTACAGTATGAAGGATGAAAGCAAGTGTCAAACAGCCCGCATCTCTTGGGACTTGGTCTCGACGTCCCGCCCAATCGCTTGGCCGGTCGATCTCGCAAGACTGGTCGAATTGCGTGAAACGGCTGCGATCAAAGATCTGAAACGACGTCTCGGGGCCAATCGAACGAGCCACGCGCTGGATGGGTAGAACACACAGAACGGGTGTTGGATTGATAAAACAAACCCCCTCGACAAGCGGCGTGGTCCGAAGATGGTTGGTTGTCTCAGGGAAACGACTGGGTGTTCCTCACATGTTGGGAATGTGAAGCTTGCGCCCTTGTTTTTCCTTTGGTTGGACCGTTGGAGGGTAAAACCTCAGCTGAAGTGGACTCAGTGACGACGACGAAGCATGACGTTCCACATGTTTGATGCCTTGGAAGTTGGAAGTAGCTGGTGGTTTCTTTTATGCTTTACTGTGTCAAGCTTTTCAGGCCCATCTCAACATAATTTACCCACCGCATCAACTCTTGTTATCAGATGAGAGATCCCGCCTTCTTTACCCACGAAGGGTCCCACTCATCCAGAGAACCAGCAATCGAAATCATCAGGATCATCGAGCTGGTGGATCATCGCGCATATGAGGCTCCGGTTCAATCAGACATTAGATGAATTGCGCATCGCGCTATTCGTCATCCATCTCGGACCATTTTTTGGATGATCAAACTCAAGAGACGGAGGATCTTTTCATGCCTTGTCCCGGTCACGTGGACCTTGCCATCTCGTGGCTTGCATAACTCGTTTTGGTCTCTTTCATATCGAATGATCTGCTGTTCATTGTTTGGAGCATATTGCTTCCGAGCCAAGAGCCTCACTTTCTCCCGAGTCCGAGTTTGGTGTATAGCTATCTGTCCCAGCCTCATCCAATCGATGCGAGTCACTCTTTCCCGAAAAAAATATCTTCAGACGTCAATTTGATTTCAGAAGTGCTGTAGGTGTGACGGATTGGATGTTAGACACATAAACTGACACCTATTTCAACCTCAATGTTGGCATTCTTTGAACTGGTCCGAGCGAAAGCTTGAGTAGTCTGTTCAGCTGTCAATATGTCGGTGAGAAACAGAAGGCCATCTTATTGCCATACATTCATGAAGCCATCTGGGTTATTGGAAGTATAGAAAGGATGAACCAGTGTCATGGTACGTATATGTTGTGTGAGATGTGCATCTAGTATGTTGACAGTATACAGAGACACATATGCAATTAATCAATCGTGGAATATGCGCCAAGCAAGATCCTCAAGAAGGAAGTATGCACCAGTCCGAGATGAAGAAAATCCTGACAACCCATATGCAACCCTGATATGCAAAAAGAGATCGTAGGTCGTAAAATTGGTGATATACCAGAAAGAAGGGTATCGTATGACAGCCACAAGCTCAGCGTCATTGGACATGCAATCATGACTCCCCATATGCTTAAAACGTCATCTCAATGTATATACTTTGAGGATGGCCACTGGGCCACTCTACACTCTCCCAGCAGCAACTCGTCGTGAGCTCGAGTAGTTCAGCACTATATCGTCCTCATCGCTACTGGAATCGCCCATTTCATCAAGCAGTCGATCGATGGCTTCGCCTCTTGCTCTGTCTCGGACCACTGGCTTTCCTCTCATTTTGCTTCTGTATTCGGCACCCCCAGTCTCGCTGCTCTCGGTACTCTGGCTCGGTGGGGTGGCTTCGAACTCAACTCTCCTTCCCTGAGCACCTCTAGCATGAACATTGAACTCAGCACGGAGGGGGCTTTGCTGAGGCGATCCTTGGGTTCTTGGAGGGGGAAATGTGTGTCCCATATTCCCCGAGTTGCCCGGACTACTCATGAAGAGTAATGTTTCGATAGCGTCCTGTTCCTGAATTGTCTTTTGCGTAGGAGTCTGTATTGAATTCCCGTCTCTGAAGTCCGTGTGATGCGGGGTTCGTGGAGCAGTGCTATGGTATGAAGAGTTGGATCCTTGCCCAGGAATTGCCGGTGGTTTGCTGAACTTTGGGGTGGAAGATCGACGTGAGCTAGGCGTGGGGCGAATATCCGCCGGGGGCGCGAGAGACTTGGACGGCGGAGGAGAAGTGACCGGCGCGTGAGAAGAATGCCGGTGGGTGGGATAGCTGGTTGTTGAGTGATCGCGCCAGAAAGATTCGTACGTCCTTGAAGGCTGGTCGGATCTAGAATAGAGATCGAAGTCTGCAATGGGGGCCTGAGTAGAGGGCATGCTATTAGTCTGTGTTTGAATATTCGCGATCGCGGTTCGTGGGGAGGTGAGATGGTTTAGGCGGCCATGGAGCGTAGATGTAGATGATGCTGGGGAGCCTTTCTGAGATGCTAACGACTCCACTTCATCGATCGTATTCGACTGCCATCCATTGTTGACTTTCACCATAGCATAGGAGAGACGCGTCCGGAGTTCGGAGGAGAGCTGGACTTTATCAGTGACTGGTTGTTGCGAGGATTTTCCGCGTCGTACCTCTCCGATTCTACTGCTCGCAGCAGAAGACACATTGCTAACTGTGCTGGTACTTCTGGAATGGCCAGGAGCATGCGAACTGGTGGGTGAGCGGGATGATCCAGCCTTGATCTGCCCATCTGCTGTCCTCTTCTGCCCAGCAGTCGCGGGACTCGGTCGCGTCGCGATGGCGTCGATCAAGGGTTGCTGGGCAGCAGCGAGTTGTGAGAGCTGCGATAACTGAGAGAGTTGACTGTCCTGGTTCGTACTCTGCGACGAGAAGCCATCTGAGGTGGAGGTCGGAGGAGAAGAGACAAGGTCATGGCCGTCCACGGTCGACTGCGAGTTGTGGCTCGATGTTGATTGTTGACCCGGCGCTGCTTTGTTTTGGCTCTCGGTCGGTCTGTCGGCTTCAGACATGATTTCATCAGTTGGTAGAAGTGCTGGCAATGACTCCTGGGCGCCGGCAGGGCTGTCGACAATCTTATTGTTCGTCATTATGTCGAACATGTCGATACCCGCGCCGCCGTTCCGCGGGGATGTAACCTTGTCGACGGAGGAACTCGCTCTATGACTCGCAGCGTGGCCAACTTCGTGGAGAGCTGCAATTGCCAGCTCGTATGCGTCCATCAACCTGTCCACCGCTCTGAGGCTGCTCTCCTCTTCCAGTACCGGATACTTTGACACGGTCAAGACCGAGATGCCGCGAGATCGGTCGATATCAAGATTGATCGTGACGGTGATACCCGGATGCTGGCCGATCAGCTGTCACGCGTTCCTTCGCAGGCAGACGTGTCAAGCAGGCTCCAATTGTCGCTGAACCAGTTGCGACTTTCTTGCGAACAGTAAGATATGTTTGAGAATAAGAATGAGGGTTTGGATAGCGAGATATGGATGATTGTTGTGTGCGCCTCGAGTTCAACGTGTTAACCCCACTTCCTGGATAATAGCGGCAATCCTTAAGCACGCGAAGTCACGCGGCCAGTGGGATGGCGATGGCGAAAATTTTCTCTTCGAGTTCTTCCCTTGCAATCAACATCAACACAGTCGAGTGTCTTTTGGGAACTTTATCAAGGGTTCGCGTTGGGAGAGAAAAAACGTGTGTGCTCCATTCCTCTTTGAGATAGTCTGTTCCATGGTTCAAGTGATCCAGAGCAAAAGACATTCGCAATTTCCTTCAAGCTCAGAATCAGACAAGCTTTCTGAGAACGTGTCTTCTACTTTTTGAAGCATGGAGATACAGCGAATAGTTACGTAGACAGCGCGCCTGTGATCACGTATCTGGTGATGGATTTGAATCCTCAATTTTAGTGCTGGAAGCACGTGCTTCAAGCTTGGAGAATGTACGTGACCAGATTAGACTACCAGCGATTCGTGTTCAGTGGGATGTACCAATGCCAAGTCGTTCTATCGTTTCAGAAGAATGTACTCGTATTAAGTTGTTCTATCGGTGTGCCAGATATCTGCATCAATAGATCTGCAATTTGGCACCATCCGAAGTGAGAGTCCACCACATCACCGAAAATAATTGTCCATCGTAAAGCCAGGAATATGATTCTCAGCTTCTGCATGACCATCGCACAAGAGACAGTGAATATATCGCACAGAGATTGTACCCAAGATAATTGGAACAATGTCGAGCGGAAACAAGGATCTTAATCAGCGCTTTTTGAATTTTCTACCCATTCTAAATGTTTTATGATCTTTTGGGACAATGACATGTTGAATGCCAGTCCTGAATGTCTGCAGTAATTTTGGTACAAAGTAAGGTGAATCCTGTAAGATGAGCTGTTTCTGCATGTCCATAGAGCCTCTGGGACAATGACATGTTGAATGCCAGTCCTAACCGTCGGAAAAGAATTATTAGAATGACAAAAGAAATTTATTTCTCGCCCATGTTAAAGAATGAAGTTCGGCGGGAAAAGGCGACATGAGATGATTAGTTATCCTTCTGGAATTGGACGTTAGTGAGAAAGTTCAGCGGAGACTGAGGAATTGGACGGACCATTGTCATGTCAGCGATAATGCCGTCCAAAGGTTCTTTCTTTGTCCAGACACGCTCTTCAATAAACTCGACGTCCGAGTCATCCTCGAATAAGGGGTCTTCGTTGATCACAATCGGATTGTCCTGGTTGCTTTGGAACATTGGAGGCTCGGATTTGATGCGTTTGGATAGGGGAGCTGGGGTGCTGCGATCCTCGTCGACCTCAAAATAGTCATTGTCCTGTTTGAACATTCTTAGCCGAATTGAACATTCGGTATCAGACCACGGCTTACCTGAACCTCATCCTCTACCTTGATAATCTCCTGTATTATCTGCTTCTGAACCTCAACAGCCGCCTGACTAACACGCTTTCTCGAAGCTGACGCCTTTCCCTTCAAAGGTGAATCATCCGGGAGAAAGTCGAGGCCGTCAGAATCATCCTCCTGCTACTTAAAATCAGTATTTTGTTCCGTGTACGAACTACTCAAGAACGTTACCGAATTGCGAACGGAGTTTCTATTCCTCCTTCCAGCCGTCAATCTCACCAAGTCCTGCCTAAACTTTGGGCTAAATTTCTTAGGACCACCTGGACGTGGACGCTTTGGCTTCGGTTTTCTGCCCACGAAAAGGCTATCCGGATCATCACCGTCGTCTCCTGAATCATCTCCCGAATCGTCTCCCGAATCGTCTCCCTGATTATTCTCCGAGTCGTCATCTGAATCCGATTCTTCGTTGGCATCGGGATCAGGGTTTTTACCTCCAACCTTCTGAATTAACTCCTCAACTTCATTTCCTTTGTATTGATCAACCCTAAGAGGAAGATTTTGAATGAATACATTCGAATCAAATGCATTACATCCTGGCTCTTCCATAATATCGAGCGCGTGGTCAACGGCTGCTCGATCGATTCTATGTCCTTGATCGTAGAAAGCGGATTCTATATTATCGAGTTGCAGCTGTCGTTGAACATGGTCGGATGGTTTATAGGGGATATTTCCCGTGAGGAAGTTGCTAATGACCTTGATAGCATTATTATTATGGTTGTCTTTCTTGAAGGCATTAATCTTGATTCTTTCGGTGGAAAAGGGGATATTGGTATCTGGATAACATTGCTCAGGTGGGGTAAAGGCAGGAGAGGCACTCCTGGAGCCTCTACCTCCACCTCCCCTACCCACATGCGGTCCGGACTTATCGTTGATGTAGTGGATGACATTAAGACAAGGGCCGATGGATTTGTGGTCTTTACCGTGAGGGTAAGGGTCGACGAAAGTCGGGTCGAGAAACGTTTCTAGAAGCGTTCGGCGCTGGCAACGCCGACCTTTCATTGCTTTGCCATAAGTCCAGGTGCCTCTCTGATTCAATAAGTGGCACCACTTTCTGCTATGATGCTTATCGAAAGTGATCAAATTCCTCTTGATTTGGCCGACGTTAAAGTTACCGTGAAAAGAGCCGTTTGAATCGGGTGAGTAGACTATTCGGCGTGAGCCATCCTTGAGTTCAATGAAAGAGTACCAAATATCCCGCTCTTCAGACTGAGCGTCTAAATGTACTCCAGCATGAATCCACCTTTAGGTTTATTAGCCTCATTTCTCCCAAATGATATACTCTTACCTCAAATTAATCCTTGCGTTTCTCCCCTCAAGGTCATCCGGGTCTGGGCATAGTTCTGGACTTGAGGATCGACCAACCCAATTGCTGATTTTCATTTGTCTGCCCTTTCCCTTGCCATTTCTCCTATCTTTGTTCTTACTCTTGCGCTTCCCCTTGTCTTTCCTGACCTTGTGTTTCACCTTGTTGTTTCCTCTCGCCATGATGGTAGGTGTTCTCTTTCTGAGATGGGAGGGTGGAAGGATGAGCGTAGAACTGTCTTGAAGTCAGGAGATAAGCGCCAAGAATGTGGTAATGTCTGAGAGCGGAGAGCGAAAGACAAGCATGAAAGAGGTGTTATGAAAAAATGATGGTGAAAGGTGATAACGTCTTAAGGTAGAAGGCAAAGACAAGCGGAGAATAAGAGGAGCTGTGAAGGGTGAGCGCAAAGAGTGATACCGTCTGAAGGTAGGATGCAAAAGATGGGCGGAGAGTAAGTATTGAATCTGAAAGAGTAAGGCAAAGACAAGCGTAAGATAAGAAACAGTGAGGGAGCTTGACGGAAAGCGTGATGACATGTGAAGGTGATATGCAATAGATGAGGCGAAAAAGGTGATAACTTCTGATGGTGGTAGTGCAGAGATCAGCGGAGTGGAGGGGCCCGTCCAAATAAAGCGCGAGAGAGAGTAAAACGTCTGATAGATGAGCGGAAAATGAATAATTATGTGAAATATGCTGGAAGGAAGGAAGCGAGCCAAAAGTGAAGATGTTTTGTGAGGGAGGAGAGGGGATTGAAGGTGAGATAATACACCTTAGTTCTGATGAGGAAATCTTGACTCTAGAAGAGTGTGCTCATACTTCCTCAAGAATGGGTTAGGAAAAGCTTACTGTGGTAGTATTGTACGAAGGAAGTTGTTGTTTGAAGAAGGTTGAGTTGAAGCTGGTGATGGTAACGAAGGGAAGAGGGGGAGTTTTTGTTGAATAAAAGAGAATTACCTGATTTCAAGCAAATCAACTTGCGAGAACGAAAAGCTCTTGGCCTTTCTGAGCAGCTGAGGCTTGCATGAACTCGAAGACGTCGAGGTGGTCGGAGAGAAATTAGTTGGCCAGTAAGGTCTGAGGTTGAGAAACTCATATGCTTGAATTGTAAGACGGGTAGGTAGAAATTGCAATGCCGAATCAATCGCTGTGTGGATGGATTGGGTGCACAAAGTTGTTGGTAGGTGTAGTGGTCAGAAGAAGGTAGACAGGTGAAGAAGAGAGATTCAATTTCGAGGCTTGTTCGCGAGGAATCATGTGGGGGTTGGTATTTGTAGTGGAGAAAGAAGAGGGTGAACAGGCGAGAAAGAAGAACTCGAGGAGATTGAAGCTTGTTGGGGAAAGAATCTTAGCTTGATAGTAGTTGGATGTAAGGTTAAGAAGAATTGGTTTTGTCAAGTTCAGTATGTCGAGGGGAAAGAAGTGATGCTGCCTTGCACACGCATATAATGCGGCCGCAGGGGTAACGATCGCTTCATAGCCGAAGGGTTAGCGAAGGGAAGGAGGGGTAAAAAGTTGGACAGAGTGAATTAAAGCTGTGGTGGGAAAGCAGAAGCACATAATGCGGCCGCAGGGGTGACCCTCGCTTCGTAGTCGAAGGGGAAGTGGAAGGGAGAGGAAAGAGTGATGGCATCTGTGACTCACCTACACCTTGCAACGAAAGTTTCTCAAAGAGGATTAGTGTGAGGGGTAACGTTGGTGCGAAGTGCAACGAAAGTCTTTGAATTGAAGTGAGGATGAGGGCATAACTTCCGTTAGATAGCAAAGATGTACAGCTGAAAAGGCAGATATGCAACGAAACTTGGGATTGAACTAAAGGGGAGACTACCTAAGCTATTATTGGCTGGTACATACACTTAGCAAATCTAAATACAACTAACATCATGGTTCGGCACTATAAAAGGAGGTTAGGTCATTATTGGGCGGTGTTACGTGCAACTAAATCTAAAATCTGTCCTCAAAGAAAGGACTAAGCTCTCCTACGTTAAATGCTTTTGCATTATCTTGTGAAGTACAGATCGAAACACAGTTGCTGCATTGGAAGAAATGCTCCATAACGAAGCTATCCGGCACAGAGCTGCCTTAGGAATGCAGGAGCACATGATTCGGCCACAAGGTCAGCAAGTGGGATGAGGTGTATATGGGAATTCTTGGGATGAATCCGTAGTGCATCTCAATGCTGTCTCTTTGAGCAGAAGCACAAGTGTACTGTCAAAAATTATTTGCCTCCTGAAGTCTCATCAAAAAATACATGGATCTTTTTGAAAGACCCCTCAATACGTATGCGAAAACCGAGGGACTATGCTCTCGGCAGATATGACAGTGCAATTAACTACCTGTCCGCAAAGCACAGATCCCCTACCATTTCCCAAATGGACAAAACTTGATAGAACTTGTCCACCCACAAGCATGATAAGTCAACTCCGTTTCCGTCATTCAGTACGTGCAGGTACATTAAGAATAGCACTAACCCCTCAATGTCCCAAAAAGCCGGGGACATTGAAAAGAACACATAGCCAGCAGATGGTTCCGCAGCAACTCATCTTTTCTTTGTCAAAATATTCTAATAACTTCAGTGCCTGTAATTGGAGCAGCGGGTTATTACATTGGCATATGGAAAGCCGGCATTACTGCGGCTACGGACTGAAAGACAATACTGTGAAAGGGGAGCCGGACTTCGCTTAATAAACGAGCCCTTTTCATAATTACTCTCTTCACGGGAACTTAAGCTTGAGCCCACAACAAAGTTCTCTAAAGAGTTTATTGTAGAGTATCAATGTGATCTAGGAAACACCATATCCAAGACACCGTCCCGGCATAAATTGACCACAGCACATTCACATAGAATCGATCTGATGCTCCACCGCTTCATCCCCACACATCATCTCCAACTTAGAAGGTGTATTTGAAGCCAGGGTGATGCTCAATCGGCTTTCCACCGGCATCTACCCTCTTGTTCGCGAGGTGGAACTTCCAGCTCAGTCCCGCAACAGTGACCATGACAAGAGCTTGGGAGATAAGGCAAGCCAAAATACCGGGGCGATAGCCAGGTGCGTCAATCGGGCGGAAAACACTTGTTCCAATGATCCCACCGATTGCGCCGCCTCCGATGAGCGTTGCTGATGTAAATGCTCGTTTCCATTGACCCCGAATATTGTTGGACTGGTAGGTGAGAAGGGCGGGGCAGTTTGCGTTGGCCGCGATAGTGGCAAGGAAGACGCCGAAGTAGCGAACTCCACTGTTCTTATCGTAGCCCAAGAGGCCTAGACCGACTACGCCTGTAGCTGTTTAGTATAGCGATAGGGCAGGACGCAAATGGATGGCTTACCAATAGCTGCATTAAACACAATGATGGGACCACGTAAATGCCACTTGTCTCCGTAATATGCTTGAATCACCATGACAACTGCGGCTGCGCAATATGGAGGTGCAACGAGACATTGGGCCTTGGCAACAGAGAATCCCATGCCATCTCTGAGAATGATAGGGAGGAAGTATGCGATGGCGTAAGAGTTGGTGGTGGTAAACATGTAAAGAGCGGCGAATGCCCAAACCTTGCTGTCTAAAGCATGTTTTAGATAAGCACCGAGAATGAAGGGTTCTGTCTTGACATCGGCGCGATCGTGCTCGATACGGGCAACCACGAAAGCAGCTTCACGGTGATTAAGGAAATGCCATGACTTGGGCGAGAGCTCCGGAAAGTCGACGATCGCGATGTAGGCGGCGAAGCCAAGCGCACAGGTTATGGTTCCCTCAATCTGATGGATGCTTCGTCAGCCGATGTCCTATTTTATGGGTAACGAAATATGAGGAAGGGAATAGACGCACGATAAAGATCCATCTCCACCCGGATAAGCCAGCATGTCCATTCAACTGCATGAGACCGTACGCAAGAATGCCAGCAAAAGCGGATGCCATACTTCCAATGAGATAGAATACAGCGTTTCGCTTCTGAAGCTCAAAACGCGGGTACCATGTACTGAGGAGATAGACGCAGCCGGGATAGAAACCAGCCTCGAGGCCACCAAGAATGACACGGAGGACAGCCATTGTCTGCCAGCTCTTGACAAAGCCAAAGCCCTGAAGGGTAGATTAGCAAGAGCAAGGTTCCGCAAGGATATAGGATGCTCACAATCATCACGGCACCCCACAAGACAACAATGGCAGTGAGAAACTTGCGAGGTCCAATCTCACGGATGAGGACCGTCGCAGGTGGCTGGAAAAGAGCATACGGAAGGAAGAACACAAGGGAGACAATCGTGTAGGCATTGTTCTTTGCATTCATGTGTAGTTCCTTTTGCATTCTGAGATAATGTCAGTAAATGATGCGATTGACTTCCGTGATTTGGTATTACCCCGCAACTGCCAAAAGTCAGTATTCTATATTTCATGACAGAGGATCCAAGATTTGATACACTCGGGAGGGTAGTAAAGGATATATAACTTGAAATAAAGGGGAGAGCACGAATCCTGGATTACATACCAGAAGCTGCACCAAGATTGGTTCTGTCCATAAGACTGATCATGTAGAGGAAGCCAAGAGTAAGGACCAACCGACGATCGACCCGCCAAATAATGCTCCTCTGCTCCGCGGGCGTGAAAGCAGTTACACGCTCATCGTTGGCGAGTGCAAGCACGGCATCTTCAACCTGTGTATCGCCACCGAGACCGGGCTTCTCGACGTCGGAAGTTCTTTCGGCCATGACGATTGGTTTGCAGGGGCTGATTTGACAAGATGCAAGTTCGAGAGAAAGGATGTGTCTTGCGATGAAGAAGTTCTGATCTTGGAGAAGAAAGACGTATAGATATAAGGAAAGTATCTTGCTTGGCACGACATGGCTGGACATATACAGAGCTCACTAGAACATCCCCGCGGGTGGACCTCTCCATACCCAGCAGCCCAACACCTGTCAAGATTGCCAGTAGATGGGCTTTGGCCAAGGCACTTTCCAAAAACATAACTGTGGCTGGCATGTTGATATTGCGGATCTCCCAATTCCTTGCTGATTCGTTGCTGGAAGGAACTATGGCACGTGAGATGTAGGGCTCGGTCCTGCTGTGAGCCGCTCAGCTCCCCCGTAGCGTCTTCTTCATCGAGTTTCGCGAAGCACCGAGGAATCTTCCTAAACCGGTTAGCGCGACTGGGTGACGACGTCGTGTTTTCCCCGATAACCCCATGTTCTGCATATGCACCCAAAAACATATTTCTACTCGCCTTCGGCCAGACTTACCATGCATTTGTGCCCGGCAAGTTGCTGACCAGGATATCTGTGCTCTTGAGTGAAATCTTGAAGGCATGGGACCTGATTATGGGGGTCTCAGAGGAAGTCCTCGCTCGACCTTCGGTATCATCTTAAGGTATCTTCGATCAGTTGTCAACTTGCGAGATATTCATCCCCAAACAGTGGTCTTGCTGCGCGATTCAGCGTTCGGCCAGACCCTCGCGAACAAGGATCACGAGGGTTCGGAGATTCTTCACCATGGCATCTTGGGCCGCAAAGACGGTTCAGTGCCGACAACCCTTGCTAAGGAACTCAACCACCGAGGCTGCATCCCGATCAAGCGGTCATGTTGGTCCGATGTTATGATCCCCAGATCATATCCCCGCAAAAATTACTTGTATCCAGATGAGGAGTTATAATTCATGTCGATATTACTGGCCTTCCGGATTAGGAAGTCACATTCGTCTAATCTCACAAAATATATTACCTGTCAGTTGGATCCGATGATCCACCACATCGTGGTGACCCGAGCACGGCAGTATGGCCTTAAATTTAAATTACCATGTTAGACGTAAATATCCGGGTCAGGGACGGAAACCAAGCCACCCATCAACTGCGTCAGCCTCCAATGAAGGCCTTGACTGTAAGGCGCATCTACCTGGAATCTATGTGCTCAAGGCAAAACCCCGCCTGGGACTTTCCACACTCGGACTGTATTGCTTGCCTGGCCTTACAGATACTGCCAAAGTCTAAGCAATACGATCCAGATTCGGCGCCGACCGAACTTTGACATTGGCGGTGCGTCTGACTTCCCCAGAATAACAATCCCCGCAGCTGACCCCGTAAAGAGATCATAGTTGTCATAATGACTATATCAACCCCGCAAGACTCCATAAAAGGTGAGATATATCCAGATGAAGCGCATTCTACTTCCTCCGAAAGAAGTGGTTTTCCTCCAAAGTGAAAGAGTTTGGCAAATTCTACCCATTATGCATTCTTTTTTGTTGATCTTGGGTGTGTTTGCCCTCAACAACATCTCCCTTGCTCTTGCAGGACCCCCTAGAGCGACGTCCGCGCAAGTTGACCTGGGATATGAAATCCACACAGGCTTTCTCAATGTCAAGAGTTCACAATTTACTCTGGGATCAACACTTACTAACTTGTTGACAGACAACCGGCAACTTTTACAACTTCTCCAACATCCCTTATGCAGAACCTCCAGTTGGAAACCTGCGCTTCACCGCTCCCCGGGCACATTCTACTGCATCACCAAAGCCGAGGAATGACGGCTCCAGATTTGCTGTCTGTCCTAACGCGATTCCAGCATGGACTGCTGTTGCCACCAAATGGTTGACGCAGGGCATAGGCAGTATCAATATCAGCGCTGGGTATACCCCACCAGCGATCACCACTCTACCTACTCCTATCCTTTCAACTAGCGAGAACTGTCTTCTGTTGGATGTCATGGTTCCAAAGGCAATCTTTGATAACAAGGGGACAGGAGCTGGCGCACCAGTGTAATTGTATTGACATCTACTCACGTGACAAGAAACTAACCAATTAAATAGGCTCGTTTGGATCCATGGCGGAGGCTACACTCTTGGATGGAAAACGCAATATGGAACCGGTGGAGGTCTTATAAAAGCCAGTAAAGGCGGTATAGTCTACGTAGCTATCAACTATCGACTTGGTCTTTTCGTAAGATAGACCTCCCCTGCGCTCAAGCTGGTCTGACATTTCTCAGGGGTTCCTCTCAGGACCAACATTCCAGATGAACGGTACCGCCAACGCTGGTCTCCTCGACCAGCGCTTTGCACTTGAGTGGGTTCAGCAGAACATCCATCTCTTCGGTGGAGACCCCACTCGTGTAACTGTGATGGGGGAATCAGCAGGGGGAGGAAGCACAATCCATCAGGTGACTGCATATGGCGGCCTGCTCGGGAGAGTGCCTTTCTCGCAAGCCATCATCCAGAGCGGTGCATTCCTCATGGTACCCAACAACAATCGACCAGAGGACATCTATCAGAAGTTCCTGTCCTTGGCTGGAGTCAGTACCCTACAACAAGCAAGGACTTTATCAACATCAAAGCTCCAACTGGTTAACTATCAATTGGTTGGAGCAGCGCCATATGGAGACTTCACATTCAGTAAGGACCCTGGATCGTCACATGCTTATCTGCTAATCATCTCAGATCCCTCTGTCGACGGTAGTTTCGCCCCTAAACTTCCAGGGGAGCTACTTTTGCACGGTCAATACGACAAATCACTGAAACTCATAATCGGCCATAACGTTGACGAAGGGTTGTACTTCACCTCCCCCTTCGTCTTCACCGAAGCCACCTTCCGCCAGAACGTAATCACAGTCTCCTTTCCCGACTCCCCCATTGACGGCCGCCAAGACTACATCGCCAACACGCTCTACCCACCTGTCTACGACGGCACCTACGGCTACACCGACCCCGTCATCCGCGGCGACTTCATCGTCTCCGGAGCCCTCTTCCAATGCAACGCCGAATACCTCGCGCAAGCCTTCGGCTCTTCGGCTTGGTCGTACCTCTTCAGCGTCCCACCCGCACTCCACGGCGACGACATTGCCTACACCTTCTACGAGGGCCCTGCAGCGGCCGTCAAGAACAGCGCCTTAGCACTAACCATGCAAGCATACTGGACGAACTTCGTCATGCACGGAAACCCTAACGGTGCGGGTCTGCCCCACTTCCCGAATTTCGGCGCCACGGGACAGCTGCTGGATATCAACCAGACGTTCATTGTTCCTATCCCCAATGACTTGGGTGGATCAAAGGCACACTGCGATTGGTGGCAGAAGGGGTTGTACTATTAATTTACTTGCCAAGGACATTTCCACTCTATTCCACGGGCAGTAGCAACATGTTAATCTCTGCCCCTCGCTTATCTTCAGAAACAATACTGTAGCCTCTCAAGTAGTACTCAATCTCAGCTAGTTCTCCTCAGGACTACTCCCATTCAGCTCCAGTGCAGAGTCAATAGCCTTCGTAACAAAAGCCAGCGTCTTCGCCTCCGTGCTCCGCGTAATAACATTCGGTGACAGACCGCTATGCACAAAGTGAAAACTACTCTGTCCCTTTGGTGCTGCCGCAACGTGCGGATCTTTTTCGTCTTCTGCCTTGGCTATTTGTTCAATGTGGTCTTTGGTTGCGGAGCGCACGGTCATGAGCAGCATTTGCGCGCCGGAGGAGCGTCGTACTAGTTGTGCGAGGAAGGGCATCAGGATCTGGTCCGGACTGGAGTTGAGCCGTATCCGTTGGTTTACGTGGTAGACGGCCACGGGGAGGGTCACCCAGGCCACGCTGATGGTAAAAAGTTAGTAATCGGTTGAAAGGAAGGAGGGAGGGCAGACGCACAGCCAAGTTGGGATCGCATCGCTTTTCTTGTTCGTCATTACATCTCGGACGCTGATTGCTACTTCCCTTGCGCCATCTTTCATTCGCTCCAGGGGATCAATACCTGCTTCGACTAGAGCTGGATGATCGACTGAAAGGTGCAAGTAAGGCTGATATAAACCCGCTTGTAAAGAACTTAGACCCCATTAGCAAATTCCACGAGTACCAAGGAAAGGGATCCGAACTTACTGAGCAATAATCCTCAAAGTCGAAATCGGTACCGGAACCGGCTGATCCTTATCCATCCTGCACCCTCCCACCTCCTCCTCAAACTCCACCAGCCACTCCCTCAACCTGCTATCAAAAAGCCGCACCTCCTCCAGCTCACTCGTTACATTCCCGACATTATCCCTGTTCCAATCCCGCGCAAACCGATTGCGCCTCTGCGCCACAGCAATCGCCTCCATAATCCGACTCAACCTGCAAAACCAAACGAACGCCACCATCGCCACCCTTTTTGACTTCACATCCGTGTAACTCGGATAGCTCGCCTCAAGTCCAAAATCCTCCTCACTAATAATCTCATCTTGAATAGGAGTTTTGTGTAAACGATGCGGACGTCGCATTCCAAGGGCTAGAACTCGGTCGCGGATGAGGCAGCACCACCAGAGGAGGCGTTTCCGGCATTTCCGCCCTTTGATGGATGGCAAGGCTGACGGTTGAGATTCCCAGAGACGCCCCATGGTCGCGTGCTTGAAGGCCATGTCGAGCCAGTAGCTGTTGTTTTGCGCACCGATCCAGCCGGGGGACCAGAGGGAGAGGAGGAGGCAGATTTGGGTGAGGACGACGGGGTCGGCTGTTGGTTGGGACCAGTACCGTGCCTTGAATTCGGTCAGTTGGTGTTTTCATTCGCCGAAAGGATTTGAAGCTTGCCTTTAATTGCTCAACTTGTGCTTCCTGGCCTTCGAGAACAGATCTGTATGGGGTGTTGCAGACCTGTGCTTCGCTGAGATGCTATAATTTCGTCAGTCCCATAGTCAGTCTAGAGAAACTGAATTGTTTACAGCAAACCCAGCAACCATAATAGCATGATACACAGTAAAATCAGACGGATCCATGAGCTCCTCCTGGCCCCTATATTTCTGATGCAATTCCGTCATCCGATACTCATCGACGACCGGAAACATGGGATGAATGTGATGGAAATAAAGCGAAACAAGTGCATGCTGCACCCTTCGAATTGGTAATAAGCATGCCTTGACGGAGTAAGCGTAGAAGTTGGGAACTAGGTCGAGGCGTTCTGCGTACATGAGACTTGCGTCTGAGGAGCCGCGTTCTTGGAGTTCCCAGGTGTTGGCTGGAATTGCAGGGGGTATTCGGGGGTGTGACGAGACGAGAGCTGTTGTCATGTCGAGGCCTGAGATGGTCAGTCGCAAACCAGGAGTGGGTTCCACTCAATTGAAGCTTCTCAATACATGAAATCCAAGGAAATAAGACTTACTTGGGCTGAAAAACGCAGGAACATCATCATCGGACTCGCTGTCCGACCCGTCATGGGTATCAGCACTTAACGCTTCATTCTCAGTCGTCAGCCACTCGCTGATATCGAAGCTCTCCGGACTCGTGCTCTCAATGTTCGTCGATAGCCGTCTCCGTTTCGAAGCAGGAAACATTGACCCCCTCCCCTCCTCAACAATAGAATCCAACTCTCCATTGCCCCCATCGTGCTGTTCTCTCGGGCGAACCGCACCTCTCGAATACGGTGAGTGATGCTGCAGCGCCGCATGCACGTCGTTCATAAAGCTCTCTGGATCGAACTCCATCTTCCCTCTCTAGTACTTGCTCTCGAACTAGTCCTTCTCGTATCCAGACTATGGAGCTCTAATCCATGATTCAGTGTTTGAGGTATCCAGATCGAAGATTCTGGGTGAGGTGAGCGGCAGCACGACGTAGGGGTTATTACGAGCAGCATGCGGGGTAGCCCCATGTTTGTCGATTGCGGGGCCTGGTTGGATCTCGTTCTTCCCCCGGGAGAAAATCGGCTGGGGATGCGGCGCAAGCCAGAGCGCAACCAATCAACGCCGAAAAGCCCCACCCGGCCATCCATTCCTCCTCAACGTCCACTTCCCGAGTCCCCTTACTAACTTTCCTTAAGCAGGAAGTAGATAAGATAGACAGAATTTGGGAAGCTTTTGGAATTGAGGATGGGAGCTGGGTGTTACACGATGCTTATTTTAAGATCAAGAGCGATGGCAAGCTGCCTTGGGCAGCAGGCAGCAGGCAGGTCAAATTAATTGATGGCGTTGCCGTTCCACTGCTTGAGGGGGGGAATCCCGCCTGTCAGCATGGGCTTCGGTGGGTTACCACCGTTTGACTGCCAAGAGCAGAATCGTGAGTGGACACGAGTCAGTACTTTCAAAGCATGAAGGTAACGTGTGCTATTGGACCGCTAAGTTGAGAATTGGGACGAAGGGGATAAATTGGAGTCGTTGCACGTGACTAGGATTTAAAGAGAAACGATCAGCTGTAGAGTTATAAAGTACTTCTGTGGCTGAGATTCGTATTATCACAGCCTTGCTGTCAATCTCGCGCCAAAGGGGTCATACTAGCACTGGCCACTCTATAACTTGGGGGCGATATATAGTGCTTGAAAGAGGCTGAGTGCTGACCACTTGTCACACTGCCAAAACGTCTCGCTAAGAAGTAAGCTGGCTCATCGAAGAATAAATATTCTTAAAGAGGATGAGGATCTTCCCTTTTTGAATCTCTTCCATGGGTCAGGATGTCGTTCAATCATATGCACTGACAGGAATTCCAGAGCTTTAGTTCGAGTCTGAGAGCCTTCCAGATTAAAGCACATCCTGACCCACGAACCAGACTCAAAGAACGGACAAGCTCATCCTCCGGACCTAGACGAGGTGCAGCAATTCCCTCCCCAGACGATCGCTGTCTGCCATTTCCCCATCCATAATTCCGTGTACATAACAGTTTCCAAGCACCTCGTAATCCGTCATTTTGGATCGTAAAGCCATAGGAACACCAATGCCGGCAACGATAGCAATTGCATCACCTTCTTGGGCGTGTCTGGGGACCCATCCAAGACGACCACCATGTGTGACGCAGAATCTCCGTTGAAAACTTACTCTTTGAATTGCGTTGTTGAATTCCATTCGCCTTGGATTATTTTCCCTCAAAAGAGTCATATCCAAATATCCTGAGCTCCCAATAACCAAAGGCTTCAAGTGGGCCACCATTTCCTCATAGCTTTGGTCAACGCGATTGTTTTGCAGGTTTTGTTGCTGTATTTGGTCTCCGAGCAAGGTGCGCCAGAGCGCTTGCCAAAGAGCCTCGGTGTTGAAAGCATGGAGTGTGACCTCTTTGGCAAGAATGACACCTTCTTTCACCATGTCAACATGTACCTCCGATCTTCGATCGCGTGCCTCCTCTTGGGATTCGTCGATATTAGAAATAATTCGGGGATACCCTTCGTTGCCAACCCGAGCGATTCTGTCTACAACACAGCCGTGTAGAGTTAATGTATTGTCATCAAACATCAACTGCTGGACTGATTCCTTCTTGCCGTCAGCATCAAAGATGCGTTTAGGGTTATTGCCCGGGAAAGGAACATATCGAGAACCAGTCCAGTCACGGGCCCAGGACGGGAGACCAGGTAACCGGTCTGGACAAAGAAAACACTCCTCAAGGGCCACCATGCCGGGTTCTGTGCGTAGCGCGTGTGCTGAGAAGTCCCTGTACCAAGATATGACATCTTGAGTGTAGTTAGGGGGGTACGGTAAAGGCTGCCCGGCTGCAATCCCTTGCCAACGAGAACAATTGGTCTCGAGGATCTTTGGCGCCGGCTCCAGCGGAGCCAGCAAGGAGCCTGAAGATGGTGTGTTTCTCGCCCCGGGCATAAAGTCTTCTTACATTTCGTATGGCGTATAGTTGGTGATGGGAGCCTCGGCTCTCTGCTGTGGGAAGTATGGTGGTGAGTTCGTTCACGAAGAAAAGAGTGGCAAAGAGCTCGAGGATCTCGAAGTCGATCTGCAGGCCACCACATTGAACAATTGCGGACTTTGCACATACAGCTTCCTGGAACACCCAAGCGCGCAGAAACCATGGGTTTTCAAAGAAATGCTGCAATACTATTTGGTTCTCGGAGTCGAAAGTTGCGCGACCCCGTTCCATCACCCAGTGCTTGACTGCGGGCGTGTAGACATCGGGCACTTCATCTAGGTACTCGCTGACTGATATTGTGAAGTGGTCTATGAGCGGAAATGCTCTTCTCATGACATCAGTTTCTTCTCCGAGCCAGATAATGACGCGAGCCGCCCCATCGTAAATCTGGCGCATGAGCTGAACTTGGTCCGCTCGCTCTCCGAGGTCCGCTTGGTTGATACATATTGCATCTGCCCAAAGAGTACGACGCTCCTGCGGTAGTCTGAGTCGGCGAAGGGCAGTCCATAGTGATGTCGTAACGGCTAATTCCTTCCCCTCGCATAGGACCAGGTGCGGTTTCTTGTCGTCGCCCCATACATACGATAGTGCTTCGTACTCGGAATTGGGCTGGCGTATGATACTTTCTTGGAGCAGGCAGTTCACAATATCGTCACCATCGCCGGGTAGCAAAATCAAAAATCGGAAGTTGGATGGTTTCAGGGTGCTGTAGGTGTATTGTGCCATCGAAGCTGGTCTCCACAAGGCATCAGCAGATATCAATTTAGGCGCAACTAATGCTCAAGGCTGGGTACAATGAGCCACTAAGAGTCCGTGGGTCGGCCGGCATAAAAATACATGTTTAACTCACAGTAGTGGTGCCATAACCAGATAGTTCAGATGCTCGCTTGACCTGAATATGAAGGCAGTTGCAAGGCTCGCCGTGAGGCTCTCAGTTGTTTTGGGAGGGAGCCTGGATCTGGAGCGTAATGCTGAAGACTCCTCGGACCTGCTTGAAGTAAGACCCAGGTAGCTCAGGAATGCATGGAAGCCAGCACTGCTTGGGGCTGGTTTGCGTTTTGTGTTGTAGAAGTTGGGTCTGCATGTGTGGCTGCGAGCTGACCAGAACGCCACAGTTGCACAAAATGATGCTTGTATCCAATCACAAAAACCACGAGCACGAACATTACCGGTCCAGCCCAAATTCTCTTCCTTTCCATACCGAGCCTTGTCTTCGACCAGTTGCCTATATTTAATTCTAATCGAGATAATCAGAATCCGGTAATTTGAAAGTCGAGAGATGAATGGCCATTTTGATGCGAGGAAGGGTGAAATCATGAAGTTTCAGCTTGGGACGAAGAGTTTATGTCGTAGAGAGTTTTGATGCCTGTAGGTGTGAGACTTGGGTTGTGTGGGTAGATTTGAGTGTTGTCGACGAGATCGGGCGAATATTGTACCAACCTTGCAAGACAAAGGGGCGACGAACAAAGTAAATAGCTTGCGAGAAAATAATCGAGGCACTGTTTTAGTATTCTAAACGATGTCGGATATTGAGGCAGATTTATTGCATTTGAGATTGGGATTGGGAGTAGGCATGGCGGAGGGAGTTGCATGGCGTCTAGGCGATTTGAGCAGTTGAGGCGATCAGTGATCTCCATCTATCCGGTCGGTTTGTTCGCGTCGCCCGCTCCTCTTTCAATTCGTAGAGCAAACTCAGCGACCCTACGATGTGCAACAAAACAACAAAAACACGTGATAATTCAGAGTGAATAGTGAGTAGAGGTGCGCCGGGATTGCGCCGCGATACATTGAGCAGCAATTGACGTGCAGGGTAGGTAAAAGGGGGACGAGTTTGCAAGACAAAGAACATGCTTCATCGGACCTATCAAGAGATAGTCAGCAACATTTGGAACAAAAAAGGTCATCATCAAAAAGTTAGAGGTAACAACTTACCACAGTGCCTGACACATTTTCCCGGATAGACCACCAGAGGGCCGCATCACCAAACCCAGTATGCTCCAGCACATCCTCAGCCCTCGGTATACCCCATCCTCACCCTCCACCACTCATAAATCACCGGATCCCTCTCCAAGAACGCCGCAAATTCCTTCATACTCGTCAATTCCACGACTTTCCCAGCTTCAACATCAAGTCTTCTCTCATTGACCTCATCCTTACCCATCAAACGAAAATCCTTGTATCGTAACTTCTACTTTTCATCAGCCACATCCTTGCTCCTCAAATGAGCTGAAAAATTTGGTGAGGCGGCTCACCTTTACAACTTTCATCCAATCCTCAGTGCCCCCGCCTTCAGCGAACATCATTCCCGGTGGATGAGCGCCGGTTTTCAAGAGGACAGAACATTGCAAGTTGGAGGCGGCGCGAGTGAGGTTTAGGATCTTCTTGCGGGATGTCATGTGGTGGGTCTTGATGAGGATTCGGTGGATTGGTGGCATTGAGCCATTGGTTTGGTGGTGATTGTGTGGGATGGGAGAGGAGAGGTTGAAGTTGAGGTTGAAGATCGGTTAGCCATACACGTGATTGACTGAGGCACGTGATACGGGATACCAAATATCTGAAAGTTTGACCCTCTCTGCAATATAGTCTCCTTAGGCTTAATATGTGCAAGAGGTTTATCTTTTGAATTCCAAAATCCTTCTTTTAGCTCAAAAAAACCACTAAAAGAAGCCCGCCTTGTTCGGGCTCCCCCAATACTTGCCCTTCCCATTTACTCTAGGCTCGAAAGTCCCCTTCCTACCCAGCCCATCCCGATTTTCCCCACGACAGCCAAACTCCTAATTTCTTTCTGCTCTCCCACCCGCTTCTAGCTTCGTGTACCCCGTCTTCCCACCACCCCACTCCACCTTCCCCATCCCTAAGCCAGGAAAGACGTTGTTGTGACGTCAGCGTCACATGACCTGGCCCTAGCGTGGCACCCTGTACTCAGCTCGAGCTCCCCGCGCTCTCCTCTCTTTAGACGTTTACATACACACCCAATACAGCTGATTCTGCTTCCAGAACACCAGCCACGGGTCGTGATAGACGTTCCCTTTCCCGAAATAGGGATGTCCCCCATCCCCGCTTTCCACACTCCACCTAAGCCTGAATTCTCGAACGATGCTCTCTGAAGCTGTAATGTACCATTTATCCACCACTTCTCTTACCTCCACAAGTCACCGTTGAATCTAATCCGCAACCAGCTAACGAGATTCTCCAGAAACAAGCTCAGGAGTATGACACTTCGTCCAATGCCAAAAACGAATGCGATTGCCAGAGTACTAAAACTAGTAAAGTCATCTCTCTGAATAATCTGGTTCTCGCATATCCATTGCAAAGCAGGACTTCTGGCTTGGTTGAAGCTATATTGCGCGAATTATCCAGGCGGTCCAGTTGCAGAGTTGACCACCATCCGCTGGATATCGCTCAAGCCAAATTTGAACCCAGTTTTTCACTTCCAACTCCCATTGGTTGTTCGGTAACGGGACACTGACACCGCCCGCTGGAAGACTATTCGCCAGCAATGGGGCATCAGGACTTAGAACCGTATAGTAGAAAGTGCTTAGACTTTGCAGCTTTCTATATCGTTGAGAACACAATAAGCTGGCTGTTATTCGCGTCAATTTTTGCCATCAGCGCTGGACCGTTGAACCTTCCGAGAAGATTCGAGTCATGTTCTGGTGCACGGGGGTCCAAAGGTCATCGGAAGGTCCAGTGTATGAACCTGTGAAGGAGAGAAAAAATGAGACTTAGTGACTTATTTGACGCGAACAGTTCTGGGATTGGAGAGAAGCCGCCCGAAACGTCTGATAACTCGACACTGAGGACTTGGTCAATTAGCACTTGCTATAGGAGGATTTGGAACTCACTCGACAGTGTAGGGGCAGCTCTCATTTGTGTAAAATGGTAGAGCAAAATCTCTATAGTTGGATGAGATATATATTGCATTCTGCAAATTAGTAAGATTACCACCACATCGAGAGCTAGCTGTGGGCAAAGGGAGACTTCCGGTTAAATTTGCAATCCGGGGGATCAAAATAACAAGACTAAGGCCCCATTAGATAATATATCTATATTAAGCGTGGGGCGACCCTTTCGGGACTTTTGTTGTCGCAAGAAGAAGTGAAGCGAGGAGGATTGACGTCTCGAATAAAGTCCAGGTTTCTAAGCGAGGCACACGAGGGGAGGGGAGGGGCATTTACCCCACCATTCTCCTCTTACGAGGATATGGAATGATTATTTAAAGTCCTTATCTTATGGCATCTCCCAGTCTTCACATAATAGTTCCCAAGAAGAGTCATCAATAAGGTATCAAGATATTTTAGGTCCATTCCAGATTGTCGAATTGCTGACACCAGCCTTTGGCAACCTTTCCGTGAAATGCTGTATCGCCTTCCCTCTTAAAGACTCCAAATCTAATGCTAATTTCAAAAGAAACAAAGTAGACGCTGAAACTTCCGTTCTGACCCTAATTCCTGCCTCCAAATGCCAAATCCAGGAGGAACCTGACATCTCGCTTTTCTACTTCAGGAAAGAGTCCTTCGCCTCCACCATAGCACAAATCGTCAAAACCACAATCAACTCATCCGCCTCCCTCGAATCAAGTACCAGCAGTCCCTCCTTATTTTTGGATTCTGCTGTCCAAACCTAGCCACCTCTCTCTTCCTCGCCTTGCCATTCTCATCATGGATCACCTTCGGATGAATCAGCACTAATCTCCAAAACCACCCATTCCCAGCAGTGAAAAATACCTTGAACAAAGCCTTCTGATACAGGGCCTCCGGCTCCGCCTCCCAAAGAAACGCAATACCATCCTCAACAAAGCTCTCGGCATCCCGATGATGAACATGGTGGTGATGCGTTCCAATCGGAACCGGCAACTCCTTCTCCTTCTCCCTGCCCTTTCCCTCCGTTAATCTTCTCATCTCCATTACCTCCGCTTCACCACCGCCGCGAGGGAATTTGACTTCAACGACATTTCTAACTCCTCTTCGGAACCTTAGGACAGGCAGTCGCCATTCGGCTACTTCGTTTCCTTCGGCGTCGAGAATTGCAAGGTGCGTGCCCAAGAGATTCTGCTTCTCGAGGACATAGTCAATTGGTGGCGAGGGCGAGATGATGGTCGCTTTGTGTGCTGATAGGAGGTGTTCATTGGTGATTCCTTGTGTTGGACTGTAGAGGGACGGAAGTAGTGTCGTGAGATCTTGGATTGAGGAGGGTTTGTGGGTGGTCAAAGGCGAGGGGAGACGGATTGCTAGGGCACGGTTGGGGCTCAGTGGGTGGTTGAGGTCAAGGGGGATATTGAAGGCGTTGGGGTAGGTGGTTGGTATTTGTGTCGCAGTAGCCATTTTTGCTACTATCCCCCCCCTTGAATAATTACGAGTGGGTCCAATATTCGCCACACTCTCATGCTTCACTCACGCCACGCCTCACCCCATTTTTAGCCAATCAGAGCACGTAGAAGCTTCTAGCTCGCCAGCGTAGCTGAACCATAAGTATGGCAGAAAACACAGCTTCCACTGGCTTTACTTTACTTGTTTATATCCTCAATTACAATGGACTCTCAAGATTCACGCTTCACTACACCACCACCTGATTATGGTAACCTTTATGACGCAGACACTCCACCATCTGCACAGCCTCGCTCTCCTCCTCTCTCTCTCCCTGATTCACAAAAGACTACGCAGTCATGGGACTCTCGCAATAGTCCTAGGCCTCAAATCAACGAATCACAGCACAGTACTCAGTCTTGGGACACACGTGACCTTCTCCCAGACTCTCAGCTTCTTCCAGACTCTCTCTTTGAGTCTATACCATCTCCTCCTCTCTTTATTCCAGACTCTCAAGCAGAGCCTGAGCTCTCTCCCTTACGTCCGCACGTGTATACTTCCTCGCACGTAGAATGTACACGTGATAAGCGTCTCCAGATCCAAACAGCCCTCCTTTTCAAGATACCATGGGCCCAAATAAAGGAGATACTTGACGTTTCAGATAGCCAGATTACTCACGCGAAAACCCATCGTCTTACACCCCAGAAAACAAAGGCAGGGAGACATGCTAAGCTCCATATACCTGAAAAGACTACACTTAAGGAGTGGTTACTTTCCTCTCCTTCTCACCGTCACGTGGCATATCACAAGATCCCACACTTCCTTCCACAGCTTTACGCCAGTGAGAAAGCTATTCGTACAGCTATAGACGGTATTAATTATTGTCGCCGTGTATCACGAAAGAAGGGGTTCTCAGATGACCCTGGAGTCTGTCAGGAGAGGCTAGATTTAGCAGAGGATGGGAGTACCTGGCCACGCTCACGTGTACAGCAGGTCTGCTTTACAGACGAGGTATGGGCATTTGGCGGAGCTTATACAAAACTCGTATATTACCTGCTTAAAGGATGGAAGCGATCGCTTACTCCCTGAGTGTGTGAGGCACAAGTACTCTAAGCTCCCTGCGTGGATGTTCTGGGGAAGTATAGTCGATGGGAAGAAGGGGCCTTCTCTCTTTTGGGAAAAGGAGTGGGGCTCAATTAACTCCACACGATATGATCTCAAGATTCTCTCAAGAATGGAACAGTTCTTCCGCGACCACCCACTCAGCCGATATAGGTTTTGGCAAGACAATGCTTCTTCCCATCGCTTATACGAGACGAAGCTAAACCTACTCCTTCGCCATATCTCTACAATTCAAGCCCCTCGCTACTCACCAGACTTGAATCTCATTGAGCATGTATGGAATTGGATGAAGAATGGATAGAAGAGCACTATTGGGAAGCACGCTACCAGCCGGATAAGACCCGCTTGGATCAACTCCGCAAGATTATACAAGATGCATGGGACGCAGTGCCAGACGAGTACATTCAGGGCTTATATGATAGCTAGTGGAGACGCTGTGAGGCTGTAAAGGAAGCGCATGGTGGGCCTACCAAATACTAAGCAGAATGTAAAGTAGAAAGTGGGAATAGCTTCAATTGAACTGGAAAGCGGTAAAGACTCAATTACGTGTCTTTAGTGGAGTGATGTGTGTGTGGAGATGGTGGCGAATATTGGACCCACTCGTAATTATTCAAAGGGGGGGGATAGTATGTTGGTTTGAGTTTTGAGGTCGATGCTCGATGTTCGAATTTGTTTAGTTAAGATTCAAGACTAGACTCCGCACGGAAATCTATTGCTTAAATAGGCTTGCTGAGTGGGGTCACTTGCCTCTCGACTCTGGCAAACAACAGGTGATTATGGTTCGAAAGAGTCGGATGTTAATCACGTGATTGACCGAGAGGCAATAAATCATCAGAATTTCAATGGATAGGTTTGAGGTTCATGGCAGAATTGCCAATTTGAGGCTCGTTCATGTGGCAGTCAAGCAGACTATTCGAAGCTGTGGCGTAGCCCAAGATCTAGCTTGCATCTTGATTCAATAGCTGCGTTCATGACAGAACCCCAGAAGCAGACCATGACTTCTAGTGAATTGGATACTGTTAAAAGTAGATTTCGTTGAAACGAGTGCTGAAGCTGCGGAACAGAGAATGTAATATGAAAGGGGGCCTAGCACTTGCTGAAAGTCGATGATGACAGCCATCAAAATGTTTGTTTCAGACCCACCTGGGCATAGAAGATCAAGGCGCTCGAGGCAGCCGTTGAATTCGTATTTGGAGCCTACGCAGCACCTAACTTCTCGGGCAAGTCCTCTAAGTCATCCGCAGAATCAATCTCGATAACCTTCCCCACCTCAGCCGTATTCCTCATCAACTCCTTCGCACCAGCATACAACATCCTCAGCTCGGCATTGCAAGTGACTGGAAGGTAGTATAGCAACACATAAGGCACTGATAATCGTCCAGAAGGCTATCGTTTCAGAACCGTCAGCATTCGTTTTGCTTCCCAAGACCAAGAGTCGACGTACCAAGGTCATTGGATAGCTTAACAGGACAAATCTCGGCGAGTGGTCAGGCAGATCATCTCCTATCTCCTCCAGGTTCTTGTATACCGTCTTCTCTTCATCCTGCTTGATCTCCAGCGTGTGTTTATCGATCATATCTATCGTGTGTCAGATTCGGTGGCAGGTCACGGCATGTAATAGCACCGAGGTCGGCAACTGAGTGTAGCGAGACGGACATACAGATCACTGCTTGGGGATCATTGGCACGAGAGGTCCCAAGCCGGAACTTTCGAAGGTGGTCTTTGGTCTCTTGACTGAAGGTGTAGAGTCTGGATTCGGAGGACTCATTGGGGTTAGCTTGCAAAGTTCTTAGGATAGTGAGAAGCGAGTCGCACCATGGTGAAGAATTACTTCACAGCTGGTGCTGTGGTGAGTGAAAATTGTAATGGGCTGCTTCTCCAGGTCGCAGCCTTGTCGTTGCTGAAAGATCATCAGACTGAAAACTGGTGGGGCCACTTTGAGCCTCGCTAATTGGCTTCGAAGATCTTATCTAATCTCCGCTACTGGAGCTGGTGGAGCTTCAAGGTTTGACGTCATTGGAGGACCTCCTCGAATCCCAAGTCTAGAGATAGGATGAAATTGATGAGTGCGGAGTAACAAAGACAACCTCTTCAAAATGTCGGGTACCAGGAGTTTGCAGAGGGAAATCAGGATTCGGGATGTTTTCCCTTCTTCGGTGCATGCAGCTCAGAGTTCAACGCAAAAGGTTCTCTGACCCGAACTGAAATTTCTCCGAGCCCTCTTGAACCTTATTGCTCGGAGCACATATTGATCTTGTGAACTGGACCGAAACCAAAACCTGCTTTAATGAGCATCCTGGCCATCTAAGAATTCTTAAAATAGACTGTCGGAGGTTGTCAAAGACCCCGCCTCAACATGGTGAAATCTCAAAGATAGAGGAGAATGCGTCTTTGTGAACAATTGGCGTCTAAATAGAGCAGAAATGTGCGAACGCCTCTCGTGAGGTTCACCCGAACATGCTGCTTTTACCGAGCCGATGGGTGATACCTAAATTGCGCAAGCACCCGTAGGCCCGAGCTGGGTAAGCACTGCACTCTAGATTCCCAACTACGCGAGCGACATGCTGTTGTGTCCATTTGCTTCTGCGTGGAGTCGCACAGTCTGCTGCACCCACGCTAGAAGATAATAGCAAACCACCAGAGGATATCTTTTAGAAATGCTCAGTCGCTGCTAACGAGTAAGGCCTCTTCCTCTATCGAACAGCTTTTGAACCCTTTGAGGAATAGACTGGGCTAAGAGATTTGTTGCCGGCCGGCTATCTCCTTACCCTTTTCTCACCGTCTCACAGCCTCGTGAAATCTGCAAGTTGTCCAAAATCTTACATGGAGCCTCGGCGGACATCGGAGGGACGGTCTCCAAGTGTGCCTAGCCCGGGCCCTTCGAAAGCAGCGACAATGCAATCGCCGGGTTGTCACCGTATCAGCTGGGCCACGTTCTTTCTTTGGCGTTAATAGAGGTAACGAGCGTTGTATATTAGTTGGGTCCAAAATCTGAAGGGAAGTCTAGCAATCTGCTGGTGTAAGCTGACCATCTCCCTCAAGTTCTGAAATATTACCAGGCATCTGAGTAACCACTGCGCACCACATAAATATGTCCAGTTTCCCTCAGTACCAACGTTTGTTCAGTGACTCCAGGCCTAGTTAGCAGAACACAAAGGTGATTGCACGACTCGATTGTCAACTTTCAAGCATGTGTAAGATACAACTATCTGAATACCAAGGGATGTTGCATTGCATCTCAATTATCGGCAGGCCCCTTTTCGAGTCGCACGACATACCATTGACTGAGTGCATGGCCTCTGACCTAGATCAGAAAAGGATACCGGAAAATCTATACGTTGAACATGAAGAGCTGGAAATATCCCTCTTTTTGCGTGGCCAATGAGAACTAGACACAAATATAGTGCATACGACTAATATACCTCTCCGAAGAGTACACGTAGATACCCTGCGACCTGCACGTTCCCGCGCCGCGCGATATGAAAGCAATATGCGCTACACTTTCAAAAAGACAGTTGCAAATGTGGCACCGTGACCATAGACTTCCACGGCCTCCGGTTCAATACAAAACGACAAAAACTCCAGAAGATCATCCTTCAACGCCGACCTGTTCTACATTCCACCGCCCGGGTATCATTAACCTGCCCCCGCTTTTGATAACGCTCTAAATTCCACCGCCTAGGTATCATTAATCTGCCCCCGCTTTTGATAACGCTCTAAAATCCTTCCATGCAAAAAACCGGATGTAGGTCCTTCATCTTCCCCGTCTTTTCTTAGAGGCCTTACGCCCGCTGTGAAGACTTTTTGTCGAATTACTCGTGTTTGCACTGCTGCCGCTGTCTCTCATACTTGGTGTACCAGAGCTATCATCGCGCCCCTGTAAAGAGAATCGCTCCTCCGCCTCTCTCTGGGCGGCCAAGATTCTCATCCCTGCGACGACAAGTTGTGCCTCATAGTCAACATGCTTTGAACTGCTGAAAGCGGCTGGGCCAGTATGGCTTCGTGCCTTAAGGCGGTGAGGCAGTCGAGATTCTTTCCGTATATCAGATTCGGACTCTATGGGAAAGCTGTCAGCAACAGATACGTGGAGAAAGGAGGAGACACACACTCGAACTCGAATGACCCTGTGGTCTTTTCCTACACGAACCATCGAATCTGTTCGTTCCAAACTCTGCATCAAACAGAATCTCATCATCCAGGACTACCTTAAAGGTCGTCTCGTATGTCTTTCTCGCCTGGCCTTGTCGGAGTTCCCACGTCAAATCGATGAGCTGGACCTTTTCCCCTGTGCCTTGGACTTGTTGTTCGTATATCTCCCCCTCCATCCCCCACCTGACGAGTGCGACTTTGCTGCTGATTCTGCTCATGGGTGTCTCAGCGTAGCCAACTGCTGCACCATCGCAATTCCTGTTTCCGAAGCGGACGAGGAACATGATGGTCGGTGGTCGATTTCCATGCTGTGTATGCTGGGTGGAGCGGAGGCTCTAGCAGCCTACGATCAGCATATGAAGAGATAGCGGAGGATTGGACTTACCCCGCTAGATTCTGCAGCAGTGATCGCAGGTTCCCCTGAACCTCCCTCTACGGCGTCATGAAACTCATCTGAAGAATCCAGGTTGATATCTTGGATACCATCTTCAAGCGCCGATTGGTAACTTTCGATTGTCTCCGCGTCGAGATCAAGTTTTGCACAGCACTGCAAGAAGTGATAGCTGATATCTTGCCGCCATGCAAGAACGATCTGGTCATCCCATTTCCACTCCTGATCTTGGATGATATACAGATACAAGTCCTCCCAAGACGTCGGTGTGCAACGGATCACCGCGCTGTCGAGGCGTAACTTGATGTGGTCTCCAATGTGTCCTGCGAGAGGAGGAACCGGCATTGCGTTGACATACTGGCGAACTAGTCGAGCAGCCGTGGCCGTACCTACGGCGTCACTGGTGATCGTGGTGACAGTGCAGAACCGATATGATGGAGACAAATGCAGAATGAAATTGTTGGATTGGGCTGCGCGAAGATACGATTCGGAGGATGGCCAATCGTCATCGTAAGGATCCACCGTTAAATTGGGCCCCGCACCCGCTGACGCACTGACCGCCTTCTGAAAGCTCTGTAGATTGAGCCATTTGAGATGTTCCTAGCTGCAAGATGATCGAGACTGTTTCGATCTTGGAGTACCCAGAAGGCATCGGAACGATAATGATCCATCCTCGCGAACTCATATGGAGGGGACGACTCCTCCTTCGAATTTTTTTTTTTTTTTTCAATTATGCAATATGAAACAAGCTTGATGCCTGCTCAGATATGGTTTTGATGTAGAGTACAGTGTCAAAATAAGCTGATTCAGAATCGCCCCATCGCCCTTTCGCGCAGGGAATTTTTTTTAAAATTTTTTTTACTCTATGGCCCCGAGTTAGTGCTACCATCGCTCCTCCCTTGGTCGTTGCTTCTTCCCGTCTGCTTCATTTCCCGGGCCTTTGTCTTAGCTAGAGCCTGTCGCTTCAGAAGAGCCTCCGAATCCGCTTTCTGCTTCATAGCTTTTGACTGATTTTCATCCGCTTCTTCTGCAGACAAAGTTATTAGTAGTTGATGTACAGTAAGAGGATCACGTACTCTTCGTGATCTTCTTCGTCACCAAGACACCAGCCTTATGGGGTGCAGAGCCTTTCTTGAAGATCTTCTCGCGAAATAGTGTGTTCTTGCCAATCACAAGATCGAAAGGTGCGTCTGGAAGGATCCTAAAATATCCTGAGACTGACTTCACTTCTTGATCGCGGATCCAAGTAAGTCTATCGGCGACTGCGCGGTCCGAGATGAATGTTGTTCCGTCAAAATTTGTGCACTGCAGAAGCTGTTCTGCGTTCTTCGACGGTAGGCCAAGATCACTGACCAATCTCTCGGATATCCAGTCGTCATCTGCCCCGGAATCGAATTTGGCAAAGAAGTGCAACCAATCTGGTTTGTTAGCATCGACTCGATAGCCAGCTACAAAAAGTTTTATCGTTTCTCCGGTTGGATCTTCTCGATTTATCTGTTTGGAGATCAGCCATTTTCACATGCTATCCTTTGATTCGAATTACCTACTGCTGGTGCCAAGTCTGTCCCACCTCCGCCAATATCGACCTTCCCTTTTCCCTTCTTGTCTTGCTGTTGTGCTTCCTCCACGGCCTCGCCTTCTGAGTCTGTCTCATCTTCGCTGATGCCTGCGGCAATAAAACCAAACGCTTGGTATCTTCGTCTTTTTTTCTCGAGCTTTGCTTTATGCTTAGCTTTCTTTGCGTCTTTATCAGCCATTGCTGAAGCCAGTTGGGTTTGAGGCACAGAAGATTCACAGAACGTGGCTGCATCACTGAACCCGTATTTATGTCTAGCCGCAGAACAAAAGACATTAGGCATCAACAGAAGCTTTAGAACTTCCACCCACATTTTAGGAAAAGCAAGGCGAACGTTGCCCGACCGAAATTTGCTGAATTGTCGCATCTGCAGAGACACAGCCACGCTGAAAACAGGCTACCAATGAGATGGTGTTTGTTACTTCCGTACACAGCGCCGCCTTATCCTTCAGTCCGTCTTTGAGAATGAAAAGAAGGGAGGTTCCCCAAAATTTTGTTTCAAGTGTATATGTAGGTATAATCATGACGGGCTATCGCAGGGTTGCAGAATTTATGAGTACACATGGCGAGGTAGCCATCCTTCGACGTTTTGGAAAACTTAATATGTTGAGCCTTCTATACTCACAGGCCGAAATCACGAGGCTGGAACATGAGCTCAACGAGGTTGCAAGCCAAAATCCCAACATCACGAGTGCTAGAGATTGGGTTACCTTCTGTAATTCACCGGAGGACCACGATAAACTACAATACCAGCTAGCACTCGAGCTACAGGAGAAACTGATTAGGTTTAGTTGGTTTCCCCCTCCATTGTGCATACATGCTCCCCCTATCTGTCTTGAGTCTCTGAGGCATGTCACTGATTCGACTTAATAGACAGTCAACTCTTACAACAGGCCGAGCTCATGAAGCTTGGGCAGCCAGATCGTTACAATCTCAGGTTTCTCTGCAACTGGCTCACGGATGTCGCTCAAGGTGATTTCCCTTTATTGGGTCGAGACCAGTATGCTTGGAATGACCCTTCAGACTTAGTCTCTCTCAAGCAATGCAATTCTCACGGGCCATTCTCGTACGCGTTGCATTACAAATTTGTGCCGTTTCTCTACGGCTACTTTGGCTCAGATCGAAGCGGAGACAGAGAGATCGCCGACTCGAAGTTAGTTGGTGTCGCTAGTGTCATTGGATGTGTTGTTGCATCGTTGCTGCCATTAACTTCGATCTTGGCACTCTACCTTATTGAAGATGAGTTGAAACGACTCTTTGCAATCATTGGCTTCACAGGAGTATTTTGTTTGGCGATCTTGGTCTTCACCCAAGCTAGGATGATTGAAGTCTTCGCAGCCACTTCTACGTGAGTGAACCAACATATTCCTCTGATTCCTTATACTGAATATCATATATAGCTTTGCTGCTGTACTTGTTGTATACGTCAGCAAATAATCATAGATGACAAAAGGGGAATTCATAGAGCTGGCCATGACTGGAGGAGGGTGGACACGACTCACGAGAAATTCTCAATTCCCAGTGCCATATATCGTGCACAACTTATTTGTCAAGCATATCTATATCTTTGAAAAACTGTTTCTTGTCTTTTGGCGTGGATCCCGCAGTAAGAGGCCCGAGATGGTGTTCTGGTAATTGTGAGGCCATATTCGGAAACCACTGACATACTATCACCGACCCCCCCCCCCTTTCTTCCCCAGGTGGGTCCTCGGGTAACGCCACCCTTAAACCTCGTCAATATCCCCGAATCAGGGCATATTAGGTGCTTTCGGAAATCTCTATTGGTTGAAGACCCTTGAGTTGGCCAGTGCAGGCGTGGTGTTATAAACACCGTTACCTTGCTTTATTCAGGGGGCTAGAGGAAGGGGGCGGGTTAGTATGGATGGCGTCCATTGAAAAATAGGGTCCCCGCTCGATGCAGTGCAGATGCGCCGCTGTAAAGAGACTATACCCCCGACTCTTTTCAGCTCCGGCAAGGCAGTGCTGAAGTCCCAGCCAATTGAAGCGTGCCACACAAATCGTCAGCAGATCAGAGCCGCAAGGCAGACTTCCGATTCCGTCCTCATCCGGCTTGATGCTAGCGCAAAGGTCAATAAATGTGACTGTATTACTGTAAGCACGGAGTCCCCAAGGAAAGGGAGGGGCAACGTTTACGCTATTTACGAGCGAATATGCGGTTAAAGAACACAGACAGCAAATCGCTCAAGGAGGTGGTTAGCCAACTGGCATGCAGCGATACAATCGCCAACACTATAATCAAAGCTCATCGTGATGTCAAGCGCAGCTCTGTCATTCACACGGGAAAGCAGGAGAGAGAAAGTGAAGATTGCCTTGCTGGCTTTGCAGATAGGTCGCGTACACTCAGCCTTACAGGGCTGAATCCAATGCTTCAAGGCAGACTTAGGATTGATGGATGGGCCACGATAAGGTTGTATAGGAGGCTGCGATTGGCTATTCGGGCCACATACGTCGAGCAGGTAAGTGCGCAAGTGAAGGTGCAACCACGTGTAATCGTTCTACAGATTACAGAGGGCGCGTATTACGGTTCGATCATGCGAAATGGTCACGTGCGCTCTTGTAGGCGATGACCAAAAGTCTCAATGTGCACCGAAATCCTCTTCTTTCGGTTTACTCTTTGTACGGAAGCCGCATTTATTTCGTGAGCTCTAGCCAATCAGCTGAGGCTACCTGCCCAGATGGTCCGCCATCTTCTCCCGCTCAGGTAGAGCAGCGCCGCTCACCCCGCTCACCCGGCTCAGGCGATTAGCGGGTAGTAGGGTGAGCAGGGTGGAGAGAGCGCACATTTGTGAAGTCTTGGCTCCAAGGTGTCCTTGGTCTCATAAGTTCTATTGATATCACAGCGAATGCCATCGCAAAAATATGAGCTGCTCTAAAGCCAGGAGCTGCCACTCCGTCCCAAAGATTCCTAAGCACATGAACGCCCATGGATGATATAATACAATGGCGTCTCCTCTAAGGAGAATCTCCTCCGAAACGCCAGTGCAAACAGCTCAAGCGCTAGGAACCATCCCTTCTATTCCCAAGCAACCTCTTCATCATCACTCTTGTCAACACTAGCTCTCTTGCCCGAAACCTTTGGTCTTCCACGTCCTCGTGGCACAGAAGATGAACGAGCTCTCTTCTTTCGGCCACCAGGGGTGGTCGAATTCTTCCGCTTCCGTCCTCTACCGCTTCCCGGCGGACCTGGAGTACTGGGTTCACCGTCCTCATCAGGAGTGTTCAGTCGGTCTCCTTCCACATCATCATCTTCTCCTTCAGCTGCAACCTTAATCTCGTGATCCACACTCAACAACTCAACGAACGCACGGCACTGGATCATCATGCTCTCTGGAGAGTCCAAAGCGGCCATTGTGTTGGACACCTCTTCCCAAAATTTGTCACCGTTGACGCTCTGAACTCGTACCGGTGCCTTGTTGAGATCTTTGTTTGGACCTTTGGTTTTGCTCTCCTTCCGGTTTGCCATGAGGCCATATTGCCGTCGGAGATAGGTACGAGCTTCCCAAAGAGTTGAAAGCATCATCGAAGAGGCGGCAAGTTGAGTTAAACGCATTGGATTCACTGGACGCTCAACTGGCTGTTGTTGTCCATTCTCATCAATCTGGGATGAGGGCTGGTCCAGACTGATCTGGAAGATCTCAGTCTCAATTGAATGAGCAATGCCAGTACCGGTTGCTGCAACCACCTTCTCCATAGCTGTAATTGCCACTAGGAGCTCGTCGACGGTGACGTAGTCGAAGAAAGCCATGTTCTCAATAATGAACTGCGAGAAGTCTAAATGGCGCGGGAGGTCTTGCATATCCATCTTTGCTGGGTCAAATTCAATGCGCGCGCACAGATTTTCGTAAAACTTCTTGCGATTCTTGACCTTGCTGATCTTGAGGACGTCCATCATCATGTGAAGCTTCGAGGCGAATGGATTGAGAGTAGCGCCGTGCGTATCGTTGACAACATCTTGCTGGTAATTGTAAGCCAATTGAACGGCACGCATATACTCTTTCTCCAGAATAGTTTCGTGTTTCTCATGGAGTGCTCGATGCTCTCGGAAAGCAATGTCCGCTATCTTTGGGTTTTGCGAAGTTTCGAGAGCGATCAAGGAGGATCCAGTTTCCTTGGGGTGAACTAAACCTTGCCGAGCGATACTGGCAACAACCTCTGTTGCGAGCAAACCTTGTTCGTCTTGGCGAGATAGGGCTATGCGAATGATGTGTGGCAAGAATCGCTGTGCAATGCCCAGGGCAATTCCATCTCCGTGACCACCACCCATAACTCCTAATTTTGCCTGTGGATCGGCTGCGGCTCCTACTGAGGCTTCGGAGCCGGCTTCGGAACGTTTCTCCTCAAGCAACAAAAAGTCCTTGAATGATCTCATAATAATGGCTTCCAAAGTTGAGTTCTTTTCGTCGAACACCAGCAGAAATGCAGTATAGATGTTGGCAGCAGCAAAGTTCTTTGGCCAAGATTGACAGACCATTCCAATGGCATCGAAAGCAGCTTTCCTGACCTCCTCTGGCTGCGATGGAGATGCAAATGGTGCGAAAGTGTCCGTCATCAGCTTAGATACGGAGGTTTCCTTCCAGGATGGGAAGATCTGTCGGAAACTTTCACATTGGGGGTCGAGGTCACAATGCTTCCCACACATTCCAGTGATCATCAGCAATTTGGTCAACTTTCGAACCTGCTCCACCTTGCTAGGATCCTTCAGGTCGATGTTCTTCATCTTCGAAATATTGTTCAAGCTTGACATCACTAGCCTGGTGATATGCAGGTGGTCATCGAGAACGGTGCTAATGATCCAAATACAAGCAACCAGATCATCCAGGATTGTTCTGCCCATCTTAGCTATAGCTAGAATGAGCTCTTTTCTGACCGAGCCAAGGAAGTTATTGTGAATCTTAGAGAGATGTGGCAGAACGTGTCGGAAGATTATAACGACCGATCGATAGATGAGCATGTCGTCACCACCCCCAACATTGGAGATATAAGGTTGCAATAGTTGAATCTGCTCGGCGGTGAAAAGCTTTGCATTGGATTTCGCGAAGATGGTGAGGATTTGCAATGCGTCTCGAGCTGATGGTGCCTCATTTCCTTCTCCAGCAGGATTGTCGATGATGGTCTCGAACATTGTGGCTACCAAAGCTTTACAGACTCTGAAATTGGCTGTACCGAGCTTAGCGTCATTTGAAAGCATGTTCTGCAAAACCTTGTCCATGACGGTTGCAACGCCGGCACCGCGCTGAACTGTCTTGACCATGAGTGCGACGTGCTCCTCCATAGCCAGCTTGAACTGGGCCGAAGTGTTCTCTGACGTCGTCGACTGATAGAAAGGCGACATCCACACCTCTTCAATGGTTTGGCGAGCCAATTCTTGCACACCTTCATCGAGGTCCGCGACTCTATGGAGCAGGGCATCTGCAATTGAGCTTCGAACTTCGGGATTGGAGTTACGAAGATAAATATCCTTGGAAAGTTTCATGGCCCGTTTGCGAACGCCGATTCCACCATCGTTGAAACGTTGCAAGATATGCGAGATCATCTCTTCCTCGAGAGCAGGTCGAAGGCTGATGCATTTTCCAATAAGACCAAGGGCAGAGTCCCGTACCTGCACAGATGGATCAATGGCGCATTTCAAGATAAGGTACTTGACAGCAGGCTCTCTGTCAAGAATGGTAGGATCGGTGTCCAATACTTGGTTGACGCTTTTCAAGCTCTTGCTGCGCACTGTTGCCTGCTCGCTTGTCATCGATCCAAGAAGGATGGCGAGAACTCGACTGAAAGCCATACAGAATTGGGAATGTAGCAAAGTCAACGAGTATGCCAGACGAGCATGCGACAGGCTTACCGTGTCGAAGCTGTATTCTCTGGAAAGCCATCCTCGATCCGAGATCATCATTCGGAGTTTGAAGGCAAGTCGTCCATACTCCTTCTCCGTCTCATCGTGGTCGTCATCATCATCACTGGTGAGATCAAAATTCGTGCATATCAAAGACGCCCATTCTGCCATGAAAAGGCCTATAGCGCTGCTCAGTTGAGGGTCTTCAGATGAGCGCGCATCGAGAGACTCGAGGCATGTACGGAATGGACCACAAGGCCACGATACGAGATCTGTGGCAGATGCTCTCTTCTCAAGCGAAGCTTCAGCGAGTCTCGAAAGATATCCACCCAGATCACTGTCCCCATTTTCCAACGAGCTACATGTCTTCCGGACGTGTGAGTTCAGTTCGGAGATTGCTGCTCCCATCAATCCCAGAAGATCAAGAGCCATGTTTCTGGCCGGTGCTGGCGTCTTATCTCCTTCAGCCAAGGATACCATTTTGAACAAGAATAACCGCAGGAGCAGTTCAGCTGCAGGCCAATCCGGTGAATTCAGGCAGGTAATGAAGTCCTCAACAAAAAGATCTAGCAGATTTCGATATGGAGCGTCGCCAGTCTTCGTTGACTTCATGGCTCTGTTCACGATGTAGCTGACCACCCAGGTAGCATTTCGTATCGCAGTGTCAAGCAATGGAGATGCGACATCCCTGAGCTCTTGGATTGCGGTCACTGGTTGTTGTCCACCTCGAGATTCCGAAGTAATGGTGCATCGTTCCGTGTTGGCCTGCCCGTTACGGACCTCTTCACCATCGCCGTCGCCATTAAACGCTTCAAGGGCCTTGGTCCTGCGCTTCTCCTTATCATCGTCAGGCTTGCTGGCACTCGTTTGGATGAGTTTCATGAGGAGGGCCGACACGAGCTGGATACTTCCACCATCAGCAAGTTTGAATTGGCGGGCGCTTTGCCTTGTGACTGGCAATTTCTCCAGGGACGTTAGAATCTCGTCGAAGATACCCTGGCGGAGTGTAGGATGGGAGAGGAAGATTTGTGCAAGAACGTCCATAGCAACAACACGTAAGCTATCGAATTTTTGGATACCGAGAACGGAGTCACGCTCCATATGAGCATTCTCCACAAAGATTAGTCGTGATGTTGTAAACTCCAGGGTATTGATAACGGTTTCCGAGAGTTCGATATTGGCTACCAAGTTCGACATGATGGATAAGAGGCGTCGACATTGCGCGAGGAGATTAGTGACGGTTTTCTTTTCTGCTTGGAGGAGCTTGAACAATGCAGCTGACGATCCAGAACTTCGCATTTCCACAATCGGGATTATGCAAGTCTCCGTGACATTCTTGAAAGCGTTCAAGGCTGACTGGATGACATCTTCCGAGTACAGCTGCTTGTCCTCTCGACCTCCTGTCATAAGTCGCAAAGAGGTCCGCGCCGCCTTAATTCCCAGTTCTGCAACTGAGGTCTGTTGCAACCACGCGTGAACCTCGGATACACCCATACCCTCATCGACCTTCACATCGACACTCTCAGCATCCTTAACGGCTGGTTCACACATCTTTTGAAGGCGAAGCAGATCTTCCAGCGGTGCTTGAGAGAATCGACCAACTGAAATGATTTTCTGCAGTAAAGTTTCGACTTTGGTCTGGGCAGCGATTGTTAGACTCATTCCATCCGTAGTGTTGGTGAAGATGTGGTTCGATGCAATGCTATCCGGTTGAAGTTGATCTTCAGCCTCAAAGATATCTTGAAGATATTCGCGTAGATTTCGAAAAGCGGCGTCAGCTTTTTCACGTTGATCTACACTTCTGAATAAGTCGTCGTCGTCTCCGTCGATCTCAGAATATTTCCGCTTTCTTGAAAGGTGCAAAGGGGTGTCGGGTGAATCTGGGAGTACCTCATAGTCCTCTGAACGGAATGTCGACGGAAGATCAGGTATCACCACTGCCAAAGTCGGATTTGATCCTGATGGAGGAGCAGCCGAGTCGGGCGGTTCAGATAGTTGAACTGAATTGTTGACCTCGACTTGTGCCCGAGGTTGAGGTGGAGTTTGAGGAGTTTGTTCCTTCGCTTTAAGTTGAGCTCGAGGTGGTGGTAAGATTGGAGTGGTAGACTGAACGGCGGGTTTTGAGGGTGTGTATTTCTCTCGGCGGAAATCACTAGGCAATCCAGGAATAACAACCTCGATCTTAGAGTTGGGTCGAATCGGCGAGGGTCTAGGGGGTGTAACAAATTGCTCAGTTGGTCGAGAACTTGGTAACTGCACCGTTATTGTAGAATTCTCTTCATGTGCATTTTTGTTCGAGGCGATCCGCTTGCTTGGCTGTGATTTCGGTTTCGACTGAGTAGGTGATCTTGGTTTCTGCTTCGGGGAGGGTTTTGTGGGTGGAAGTGGCTTCTCAGTAGATGGGTATGTAAATTCTACCGCAGTATTGTCGTAGACCATCCGAGCAAATGGTGAAAGAGATATCTTTGGTTGTGTTTGCGATTGGAGATTGGTAGTGTTCTTGGGCGCAGTCTTGAATTTGCTAGAACCGGTCAGTACTTTTTTTTTGAAAGCGAGCACGTCCAACCCACAATTGAGCAATGCCTTCGGGCTTCAGGAGTTCTTTGAGATCGTTTAATGATTTCTGTAATCTTTCTGAGGTGTTGTGGGAGTCTTGCGCTTCGCGATTCAGACTCTCGAGGTCTTGTCGTCCAGTTTCGCACTCAGCGGGTGTTGAGTATATGGAGGTGGAAGAACGGAGGCCGATCGAAGGAAGTGGGATGGTGTCTGAAAGGTGAGTTATTAGCATCGACTTTGATGATGGGATGAAAGGGCTGAGAGAAAAGCTGAATGTACCAGAGTTGAATGGGACGACCGAGGAGAACGGTGAATAGGGAAGAGCCTCGTCCAAGGTGAGCACCTTGGCTCTTCTTCGCCTCGACCCATTCATTGGAGACGTGCCATTTGGACCGTTGGCGATGCCATTTTGGATGGTATACCCATTCGTCGCCATCTTGAATAGCCCAATTTGCTGTTCGAGGAAGACGCTAGAGACTGAAGCGTGGTTATCATGACCTAGAGGATTATGGTGGATTGCGAAAGCATATTTGTAAGGCCGGTAGGTGCTTCAATAGATTCTCGTGCGATCGGGGTTCGAGAGTATTATCGTTGTCGCATAGGAGATTGTCGCCGCGATATTTGAAGTCAAGTTGCAGCCTCGCGACCGGAAAAGGCAGGGACACTGACTGATGTACGCTTACTAAGCACGGCTACCAATCAGTTCTCTCGTTCAAAATTTTATCTTCAATGCTTCACCAGTCCCAACTCACACAAAATGTCTGCAATTGGATCTCTCGTCTTTTGTACAGACTGTGGTAATCTACTTGAACCTTCTAAAGGAATAAAAAATTCGATTCTGAAGTGTGAATGTTGTGGCACAGAGAACAAAGGTTTGTCCTCTCGATTTGTCCCCTCCCCCGATTCTAACACAAGCAGATACTGCCTCGACGACTATCACTACGACTACCAAAGCCTCTTCCTTTCCCTCAGTCCTACGACAAAAGCGATCAGCTATCCAGACCGTCGAGAGAAGTGATATGAAGAATGAGGCGGTCATCCAAGTTACATGCCCAGAATGCGGCAGGAAGGAGGTCAGGTACACCGCGGTACAGTTGAGAAGTGCGGATGAAGGAAGTACCATATTCTACAGCTGTGATTGTGGCCATAAGTACGTGGAGGCCGAGTTTCATTTATGTCTGATTGCTAACATCGGGAAGGTGGAATACAAACAACTGAGTGGAAAACTTGACACTGGATACGAAAAGCAACTCTTCACAACGTGGCCCAGAGAATTTGGTGTGATGAATGGTTGAGAGAAGGGTTTTATGTTGCTATTCCAGGGCCCAAGCACTTTGTACCCAGCAACTTATTCTAAGAACGACCAACGATGCCCACGAATCCTCGACTTTATGCAGTAGGCTCTGGAATCAGCGCATATTCCGTCTGGCCTCCCTTCTCAAACTCCGCCATATCCAGTGCCACAACCACACTATCTCGCACCACTTGCTCATTGTCGTTCAGAAACTGCTTCAGGATATCCTCGACACCTTCCTCCTCGCCCAAACTACCCAGAGCCTCGGCAGCCTCGTGTCTAACCATACTCGCCTCCTCCAAATTACCAAGTGCCGCAGATAGAGCTGGGATCGAAGCGGGATGTGATAATTGTCCGAAGACAAACGCAATTTCGTGTCTAAAGAGAGCAGACGGGTCCGTGAGGCCTTTGGCAAGGGCCAGGACAGCAGGAACAGCGGTAGGAAGATCAGGAGGAGAAGCCAGGTCCCTAAGGCCAAACATAGCTCTGTATCTCAAGAACAATGGAAGCTTCGTGTCCAGCAACGCCTTCTCCAAACTCTCAATCGATTCCGACAGTTCCATCGGCGGCGCAGGATCAATCGAAGCAAAATCACTAACCAGATCAGCATTTCCCTTACCTGTAAATGCAAAACATAAACCCACCTCTGCCTCAACTTCTCCCTCTTCCCCTCCTCCGAATTCTCCCACTCAATCCTCGCAACAGCAATCTCGCACGTCTCCTTAACAACCACCGCTTCCCCCTCCCTATCCCTAAACCCCCTTAGTACCCCAAGACTGCCCAGATCCCCAATCGCACCCAACGCCTCCGCAGCCTCATGTCTACACATCGCATCCTCGTGCACATCCTCCAACAGCGCTCGCAGATACGGCACCGCGGCAAGATTCTTCGTCTGGCCCAGGCAGTATGCTAGTTCGTGTTTCAGCAGCGCGGAGGGAGAGGTGAAGGCCGCAGCGATGGCGTGGATGGCGGGGAGGCAGGGGAGGGATGGGTTGCAGGCGAGGTGCTTGAGGGAGAAGAGGGCGCGGAAACGGAGGGCGAGGGGGGAGGATTCGCTGGTTAGGGTTTTACGGAGGGTGAGGACGGTGGGGTCTTCTTCTGCTGGTGGAGGGGAGGTTGCTGAGGGCGCCATGATTGTGTTCGTTGTGTTCGGAAGATGGTCGTGGTTGTGGTGTGGTGGAGAAATTTACTTGAGAGAAATCTCGCCTTTGGCGGGGTCGATTCCTCGGAGCCGTGCTGCCTCGCTATTGGCTGCAATTGTTTGGCATTCAGAAACGCCATCGAACTTCTTTCTTGAGTCTTTATCTGAGGGAACGATAATTCACTTCTCATAAGATACTTCTTAACTTCATCTTTAGGGTACTATTGCAGAGCTAATCTTGAAGTTTAATAAATTGGCGGTTCCTGACCCTGCATTCAGCCCCCCTGCCCCCTCCCTCCAAGTTGCAAAAATTACCTAAAGAATTCCAAGAATACAAAAGACCTATTTCCCCCAAAAATCCAAACCCATCTCTTTTGCAATTTGGAGAACACTGGCAAGATGGTGAGACTTTAGGATGTAAGGAGAGGCAAGAAAAAAAAACTTAGCTTCTCTTCGATTATGCGTGTCATCCTTAGTGCAGGGGCCATGCTAATCTTCTCTGTATCTTTACGATTTGACCGTATGCCTTTCGGCAGGGGAAAAGGTTTAATTTTGGGTTATATGGTGTGGGAGAGGGGTGTGGCTGGTGCCTGGCGGGCGAGGCAGATAGGTGAGTCATGTCTGTGAACATGGTTGAGGTTGGGTTTTCAGCCTCAGGTTTGATGAGAGGGAATGGAAAGGTGTGAGGATCTGTTGACTGAAGCCGGGAAAGAAGTCTGTTTCGATTTTGGATGGAATAAATGTTCTGGTTGGGGTTCCAGAATGATATTTGAACCCACACGCGCAGCGAACACTTCAAAGTTTGCCAAGGCAGTAGATTGGGATGTGAGAATGAAGGCTTGAGTTGCTAAGAGCTTGAAAATTGATATGGAAATGTTGAGAGAGGTACTGAAAATTGTCACACACCGTAGCAACACTTGCTTCCTGGATTGGCACTTTCGCTTAAGGAAGAAAAAGGGGGGAAGCGGAGTTCACTCGTCCCCGCCAATCAGAAAGCGGGAAAACATTCAACAGATGAATATTTAAGACGCAAAATATACTTCGCAGGACCTATAAACTTGGATTGCGCACAGTTTACTATTGTTATACATTCTGATTTAAGCTTCATTAGGTCAACAATGATGAAGATAAAGGCGGGGAGGTAGTTGAGAAGAAATTTCTATATCTCTAGTGGTATCGATGTCTAAAACCTACGCCGCGTTTAACCAACGTATCGCAATATATACACTCCCCCAATGCAACTCCATGCTTCCCATCTGGAAGACCCCAGCTCCACAACTCACTCAGGGTATCATCATCATCATCAACACCTCTCTTCTTTAAGAAGAGCGAGAAAGCTCAGCTTCCTCAACCTTAACGTCCTTAGGGGCATGGATTTCAACTACACCATCTACACCATAAGGAGCTGGGAAAGCACCAATGACATCCTTGACACGCTTGATGTTGCGGCCAGTTCGGAGCCAGTGGAAAGTGACGTATCCAAAGACGTAGACGAAGCCGACGAGAGGCACGACGTAAGAGATGCGAGTACCAGCTGAATCAGCGATGGCACCTTGGATGGGAGGGAAGACAGCACCGCCTGCAGTCGAATTAGCACGGAAGTTCTGTGGATGTAAAGAAGGAGCTCAGCTTACCAGAGACACCCATGACCAAGATACCTGCACCGCGGCGGGTGTGGCGGCCGAGGTTCGCAGTTCCGAGAGTGAAGAGAGTGGGGTACATCGGTGCCTCGAGGAAGAAGATGGCGATCAAGACACCGACTGCAGCGTTGCCTTTGGCTGCGCAAATGACTGCATTGAGAGCGATGGCAATGGCGGCATAGACCCTAGGTAACTGAATTAGCAACCGCTAGGATACAGATTGTTCCAGAGAACATGGGACAAAGTCTAGGGAGAACTTACATGAGAAGGAAGTCAGCCTGGAAGACTGTGGCAAGAGCAGTAGCAACAAATCTGCCAACGGTGAAAGTAATGAGGGCGTATGAGAGAAGGTTGGAGGCTTGAGCAGAAGTAAAGGTGGCGTTCTCAGTGGCGTAGTTTATGAAGAAAGAAGCGATCGTAACTTGAGCGCCGACATAGCAGAACTGAGCAATGAACCCGAAGATCATGTTGTATTGCTTGTAGATAGGCCCCTGGCCGAGTTCGTTGCCGAACTCGTCAGTACCGAAGTTCTCGGCAGTTGAACTGTTGAGCATTTCTTCAGAGACTTCTGGCAACTTGGTGACCAGGAAGAGAATGGCAATAGCAACACCAGCTGCGGAAACGGCAAGATATACAAATTGCACGTTGACCAAATTGTGAGCATTCTTGCCAGTGAAGAAGAACTTGGAGGCGATCAAGGGCCCGATGAAAGAAGCAACACCGTTCCATGACTGGCAGAATTGAAGACGGGCTGAGGCGCTGGCTGGATCACCAATGACCACAGCGTAGCTGTTTGCCGCGGTCTCCAAAGTAGCAAGACCGCAAGCAATGACGAGAGTGCATGCACAGAAGCCTGAATGTCCCAGTTAGTGTTGGTCGCTTTGGAAGTTTGAATGTACCACTTACCACCGAATGAAGCGATTCGGTGCTCGTAGGTAGAGAAGTGTGCTGTAGGCCAGAAGAAAATAGCACCCAAGCTGTAAAGCGAAAGTCCCATAAGAATAGTGATCTTGTACCCCTTCCGCTTCATAACCTCAGCGGCAATAGGCGAGAAGAGCAGGTAGCCGCCACCGAAGTAAACAACTTGAAGGCCGGTAGATTGAAGCTTGGTGATATCGAGGACCGTCTGGAAATGCTTGTTGAGGACATCTAAGAGGCCGTACGAGAAGCCCCAGAGAAAGAAGAGGGAGATGACGAGGGAGAGAGGGAAGATGAGCTGCTTTCCCCTCAGGAAGCCCTGTGCGAGCGTGGGAGCAACGATTGGAACTCCGCCAGCCATTGCGAAAGATTGTTAGGGCGAAGACGGTAGAATGGGAGGGGAAGACTGCAAATGTCTTATCGATTCTCCTGTTGAGTGTAGGGGGAAAGATGCGGTCGATGATGTTGTCGATGACGGTCATTTCTGCATACTGGGCACCATGTCTTTATACCTCACTCTCCATCAGAAGGTGCATCTCCAGACCCCAGCTCGCTCGAGTTCCATCTTCACGTCCTATTGACAAGGCAGGAGCTACCTGGCATCGAGACGAGACGCCCCAGGCCTTGTTAGTAACTCAGTAGACCTGGTGGTCGTCCCGGAGCTAAGACAATTTTGGCCCAACCCGCTGGCACTAAATTGGTCCAGGATCTGGAGCCCAAACCCGATCACTGAGCAAGCGGCTGGCCTTTGACGGACAGTTCAGCGCGCTGCCATTGGCTGGCTCTCCATCGTGGTCCGGGTTGAGCCCCCCGAGAGTCTGGCCGAAGCGAGATCAGAGACGCAGATCTGTTGAATCTTTTCCCACCAAGATAGCATATTCAGTGGCGAGCCAATCATGGCCTTGTTTTGCTCGCTCGCAAGATCTCTCGCTGGTGGCTTGCATGAGCTAGTCTTGATCTGGCTACGCCACTTCCCCGCAGCCAGTTGTGTCTCGCGCACCAACGACTTCCCCTTCCCTTCCCTGACTTGTCTCGGGGAATTTGTGGATCCCTGGAGAAACCCCATGTCCCGCATCACCTGATATCTGAGCTCGTCCTTTTCGCTACAGTACAGTAGATATCTGAAATCAAACATGAAGATATCCACAGAGCCGTTTTTGGCTTCTGGCGAGGTCTAGATGCTGTCACTTGAAAAGCTCTTCCCTGGTGTGGGGCAGGAGTACAGGAGGCGAGCACACGAGAGAGAAGGGGATTGGTGTTTCCACTGAGCTCCCTTGACATCCATGAAACTTCATGCATATCCAAAAATGATATCTCTCATGACAGCGGTGCCTGACTCGTCGGCGTCCCGTGCTAGGATCTCGATATCTATCGAAACCAGGAGCAATGAGCGTTAAGGACATGATCGCACCTCCTGCCAGAGTAAAGCTCGCTCACCAACTGGAACTCTATCTCGATGTCTCCCGCTCCTCGTCTCGCTATCAATTTCGATACTTGGACATTCAGCACCGGCATCTGCATGCATCTCCCGGACGCTCTCCCAACGTCATCAGCAAAAGGCGCAAGCAAATCCCGACATCCCCTCCCCGCCTCTTCAGCCATCACGCCATCTTCCTTGCTCCACAAACACCTCAAGCTTTGCCCAGACCAATCCCGCATCTCCACACCCCTCCATCTCGCTGAAATTCGAACGCTAGCGCGGGGAAATGGCCTTCTAGCGTGCTTCTAGAAGGAAGCAACTCACTCCGACCCACCCCTGTCAGTCGCCGACGGTGGCTTTCCCGTCGGCACCTCTTCCCCATCGTCCAACATCAGCTGCATCAAAAGAGGCAAAGGCAGGATGACTATTGTGCCACAAGGCGCCAATTCATGCAGGATAGAGTTGCATCAGCCATCTCTGGCTTCGAGTTATCCCGCAAAAGGAAGGCTTCTGGAAGACTTCTAGCGTGCTTCCCTGTGTGACGGGAGGGGAATGTCCGTTGGCAAGCCATCAACCTGGAGCTGTGTTATCAAAGCGTGCAGCTCAAGCTCTCAGAGCTGCATTAGTTATCGCTAGCTTCGAGTTATCCCGCGAAAGGAAGGCTTCTAGAAAGCTTCTAGCGTGTTTCTCTGTGTGACGGGAGAGGAATCTCCGCTAGCAAGCCGTCAACCTGGGAGTTTGTTATCAAATCGTGCAGCTCAAGCTCTCACAGTTGCATCAGCTATCTCTTGCCCCTCCTCGTCCCGCACCAGGAAACTTCTAGCGTGCTTCTAGCGTCCTTCTCTCTTCTGGGGGCTGGGAACCCCAGCTCTGTTGACAAAGAAGCTCAACTCTATTATTCTGTGGTACATTGCATTATCGCCTCCGGGGTAGTTTTGTGGAGAAATCCCTTTTATTGACATCACAAAATTGGTCGTTTCTTATCATTCATCCTCTCTTAGCATATGCGGCAGCCATCAGTCGCCTACTCATGTGATCCCATCTGTATTCTTAGCTTCAATATATCCGTCGACTTCACATCACCTGCCAAGTGCATGACTCGGGACGCACTGAAGATTCAAGACCTTAACAGTCTCGGCCCAAACTTGAATATACTCTGCTCATCCGAATCAAATCTGCAAATATCTCGTGATCTCGGCCCCCCTCCAATTTCTTGGTCCTATTATGCCATGATTTGTTTCTTCTTTGCTGTCTCGCATAAGCTTCGACCTCACAGGTTGAGTCGCAGTTGAAACTTACGGTACGCGGCAAAAGGGCTCAACCCTGTCTGTCCACTCCAACTTCCCCGTCCACCTTATCGAAGCTGGGGTCTCCGGCCACGTCCCACTCCTCGGACCTATTTCCTGCATCCTTGTCTCAAATCAGACCAACGAGCTTCGAGCTCAAGGGCCAAAATTGCCGCAGTAAGCCTTGAGAAGATGAAGCTGGCGCAAGCTTCCTACCAGGCGTCGTCAGTCATATTGCTCCCAAGTCGCCCGTGCGGCGATCTCCTCCAGTACGTTGCAGCCTCCTGTGTAGTCAAGAGTCTGCTAAAGTGATGTCCACTTGGTACATCTCATTGTTACAGACATCTGGTTGGAGAACTTTCCGTATAGAATGCGATATCCTCAACGTGGAGCCCCTTTCCTTTAAGACCACACTATCCTGCACTGGGATGCCAAACACATCCAGGTCACGCATTGCCGGAGGCATTCTGTTGTGTTGTTCATGCTCCACTCCCGCGATAAACTGAGATATCAAAATTGGGTCACAGCTACTCCCGTTGAAGAGGGTGGAAACTAGTTCTTGTGGCCGGCTGTTCCAGTTTATACACAAGAAGAAGCAAGACACGCTGATTGTTATTCCTTTGCGCAAACTTTCACCTTCGAATCGTATAAAACACCAACTCTGGCATGCGTTGCCTGTGGTGAAGAACAACTCGTCGTGTTCGTCGAAATGACTCGCTGGGCTGGCATCGTAGCTTCTAAAGCCTCGTGGGAGGAGAATCTGCATTGCAGAGGTGCGACAGCTGATGATAAGGTCGTTCTCTCGCTGGCGCATTTGGCTATGGGGCAGATGTGGGATTTCGGGAAGTTTTGAGAGTATATAGATGGTTCTATAAAGGGAAGCGTCCAATGGTACCGACGGGACAGTTACCAGCGAAGACTGTATATCCCGTACAAACATGTCTGGACCGCATTTCCTTAGCTGAACCCCAAGACGAGAGGACCCAGCGTATTTCATGGAGCAGCCGAGGTCTTGGACATGCAGATGGTCTTTGTAACCTATCCGGAATTTTAAGAGGCCAGTATGCATGCGGATTCCTCTGTTCGTGATCGAAAAGTCTGTGTGAAAAGTGGATTTATTCGCCTTGATGATGCCCCTACAGCCTGAGAACTCCTTTGGAGACTCCGCAAGAATGCCCGAATACCGACGGCCAGGTCGGCGACTCTGGCTCGGCTCCGCCTCCCAAGCGAAAATGCTGAGGTCGCAGTCAGCTTTGATGATCTCTTCTTGGAGGCGCCTGAAGGCTTTCGTTCCTTCTCCGTATAGCAACGACATATTCACATCAAATATGCCAAGTAAGCAATATGCGGCATCCTCCTCTCTTGTGGTCTTTCTGTCGGCTGCCCACGACAGTCTCGTTGCGACCGCAATTGAAGACAGTGGGGCAAGATGGTCCAAAACAGTTGAGCCAATACCCGTGATATCAGAGATTTCCTTCAAGAGACGGTTCTTGCAGCCCTTGAATTGCCAGTTCTGATCGAAGAAGTTGACCTTTTGGGGCGCGATGAGCTCTTGTAAAGTCCATCCCCGCCAGAACCACCTGCAGTCCTCCAGTGCCGTCGAGACATCCGCAGAAGATTTCAAGTCGGACAAGTAGACGTAGCAAACGGCCGCGCGCTTGTACCATACAAACATCGAGTTGATGGCCTCGGTGAGTTCAGCGCTACTGGATTTATCGATGCAGCACGTATCTACCCATACGTAGGCCAGCCCATCTCCCGAGGCTAGTTTGCAAGCCATCTCGATCTTGTGGAACGCCTCTTTGCTCCTCGCCGTTCCGACTCTCATCTCATCGTATGAGACTTCGCTGCCTTCCCACGTATGAGATAGGATGCCGTATGGAGGAATGTTCCGCCCGATGAACTCCTCGACGCTCATGGAAGACACATTGATAAGCCGCATGGTGGTAAAGACGCCAAAAACGGTATCTAGTCTGACGTGTAACGCGATATTCGCTTGAAAAGAGTCCCGAATTTGGTAGAAGCTCTAACAAGGGATAGGAACTTAGATCGAGGCTCTGGCTATGAACCCGAAAGCTTAGACGGGCGTGGAAAATCACAAGGCTGGGGAATTAAGCGGGCCACTGAACTTTCAGCCTTGGAGGGTTGGGGGGGGTGGGGGGGGGGGGAGCTCTTTGTACAGCCTCATTTCTTGGCACACCTTTATATAAACCGGGTGGGTATTTACTTCTTTCTGATTCCGTGCTGCTGATCTATAATTATCAAGCAGGCATCGCAGTTTCATGTCCAACACAACTATTTTTACACCAACATCTCCACTCGATGCACGCAACAGAGATGTATGCACCGATCAAATGCAATCATGCCTATGTTCAAATGCCCCAAACACCTTGACAAATGCAGTCAGACTTATCACTCAATTCTCAATGCGCAGCAAGAAATCTCGGACTCGGGCAAGCTCAACATCAGTCGGTTCACTCTCCACGGCGCGCAACAGATTGTCCAGTTGCTCATCGACCTTGGTATCCTCAACACCAGTGCACAGACCGATAATCGTCCGATACTTGTTGGCCAGCTCCGAGCTCTTACTTTGCAAACCACGAACGTTTGCTTCCAGAGCTTTGTTGTTTTCAGCGTAGGCATTGACTCTGGCCCGAAGGACAGCCAGTGGCGGGAGAGCAGAAGCCAGGAATTGACGGTCGGTACCACCAATTGTTAGGCCCTGGTGATCGGATGTGACCTTGGAGAGGACCGGACTTGCCTTTGGAGAAATGCCTAGACCAGTGTCTGCTTCCCCTACTTGCGCGTTAGAATCGCCGTTGACTTGGCCGTATTGTGCTTGCAGTTGTGAAAGACGTGACCCTTCCTCTTCGTATGCTCTCATGAGATTGGATGCCTTCCGCTTCCGTGACTCTCGCTCGTTCATCTCTGCTTGAAGAGCGTCCAAGCGTCGGCGTTGTTCACCCAACTCTCCGGAAGCATCCCGCAGTTGCATATGAAGATCATCGATCACAGCTTGCTTCTTGTCCATCTCCTTGCTGAATTCTTGTTCCGTCTCCGTTACCAAAGTCGTGATTGCTATACTTGTTAGGGAAGACCACAGTTCAAGGTTAGTAGTAACTTACCAGAGATGATCTCACTACTACTCTCCTTGACATCCGTGTCCATTGGCTTGCCTAGTACACGCGACTCCTCGCTAGATCGAGCTTCAAAATCCGCTGGATCGCCCACACCAAAATCAATAGGACTGAGGTTTGACTTGTTCGGGATCGAGGCGTCGGCCCCAACCTCCATGAGTTGGGAAACAATGCTGCGATTATTGATTCTGGCCGCGATGTTCAAAGCGGTGTCGCCTGACTTATCTTGAATATTGACAACTTCAGACATGAAACGACCAATGCCGATTGACCTCTGGGAAGAGGAGCCAAGGTTGAAGGACGTCTGGCTGTTTGGCGCGCTGCCCTGACGGACGACAAATTCAAGTAGAGACTCAAGATAGTACTTGCTGGATTGACTTCGGCCCTTGACCGCTGAAGTGACGGCTATGTGATGCAACACAGTTCGACCACGAGCATCTCGGAATTCGATTGTCGGGCCAAGAAGCTCCAGGATATCTGGGAAGCACATTTGTTGGTAGTTGTTTGTAACCAAGCAAGTACGCATCAACGCCGTCTCCCCAGTGGCATTTACACGGAAGATACTCGCACCGTGATCAATCAAGGCTTTCAGAAGAGGACCTCTAGCAAGCGTGGCAGCCCAGATGAGTGCAGTATTGCTGCTATTATCGATTGGCGCATCAAGTTCCCGAGCCGTCAAGGTAGTGAAGGCTTTGTGATTTGTGAAATCGTCTTCCGTGGTAAATAGTGACATCAAGAGATCCTTCGTGCGGTCCGTGGCGAGTGGGAGTGGAACAAGAGGCATGATTACATCGTCACCTTGGCCATGTTGCGAATGATAGACGAAAGACTCGTTGGGCTCCGTAGGAGACGCCTCCCGCATCGACATTCCATAGTAACCATCGTTCATGCCCTGTTGGCCATCATTCAAGCTTGGGGAAGGCCTCATCCTCTTCCTTGGGGGTTCTTCAAAGTCTCCATTGCGTGCGTCATCACGGCCTGTGTGTGAATATTGAGTTGCGTATGCGGAGTCTGCTCCATTTAGGGTGAAGCTGTCACCTGAGGCATAGCTCTGCATGCTTTGCTGAGAGCCTCCAGGGAATCCCGACTCTTGTGAACCAAGATGTTGTTGAGAAGATTGCCTGCTGAAGCTTGAAGGGCGAGTGGTATTGCCGTTCCGCATTCGTGGGCCGGGTGAATCGAAGCGTGCTTTGCTGATCGCCGCAACCGCATGTGATGCCGTACTCGAGATATTCTTGAAAAAGGTTCCGGATTGGCCGCTTGACCTGCTGTCAACCCCTGAATTATATAAACGCTTTCTCTGAGCAGCCATAGCTTGTTCTTTTGTGGGTGTGTCGATTCCACCTCTTCCTGCGACACCTCCATCTTGACCCATATCGTACGTTAAGAGAGGGCGCAACAACTCCTCGACGCCGTACTGCTTGCAGAACTCGACGCCTCTCTCAAATTTGATCCAGGTGCCTTGATATTTTCCATATCCCCCTTGAACCTTCTCATGTTCTCCTATCAAAATCTCCTTCTCCAGCACTTTTGTGCGCTTTCCCTTCTCAATGCCAGCAACCTTCAGGATCTGAGTTGCGTTCAACCAGCTATCCTTGCGCCGACGCATGACTGCGATACTATTGACTTCCATTTCGTAGACGTCAACTCCTGAGTATATAGCCTATTCCATTAATCAGCTGGGGTTTATGATGGATGTCAGAAAAGTGCGCACAGAGTATATTTGAGGAGCATCGTTTCTGCGATTGACTCCGCTATAGCTATCAGATTGTCGAAACGGGCCTCCGGGCTGCATCATCAAGCCGCTCCCTTGGGAGCCCTGGCTCATACTGAACGACATCGAGGGGTTGGGTCGGGTAATAGGCGAGTCCTGGTCCTCGTATACAACGTTGGCAGAGGAGAGCGAGCGAGCGTGGTTGAGGTGATTCTGACGGGAATGCGACGTGGTGGAAAGGGGTTGAGGGTTCGTAGTAATCGTCGTCGATGCCATAAGGGTGAATCTAGAATGGAAGCGCTTTGGAAAGGTGAGGGTATCGCGTCACCGGGTCGATTGAGGAAGAGGGCTGCGCGAGATAGAAGTCGTCGCAGTCGAGGACAGACTCTTCTTCTCCGCCCAAGGCAAAGCAATGGCGATAAGAGACGAACGCGCTGATTTGGGCCAGCAAGGGAAGAGGACGTGTTCGTGTATCGAGCGCGTAGAAGGTGTAAAGTGGTTTTGAGGGGTGGGGGGGATTGAAAGCCAATGAAATCTCGCCTGAGCCGAGGGAGGACGCGATTTTCGCGAGGACTAAAACGGTTCGATGCACGAAATATGCAGGCGTCGGTCCGTGAACAATCGAACAATGAGTTGTAGAGAGGCGGTGGATTGAGGATTTTGGGATTCAGTTGCAGTGCTTCATTTTTAAATCTTTCTTTGGACCCTTTACTAGCCAGACTGGAAACCTCAACCGACTGCAAACTTATGGCGCACACGCGTCTGAAGAGTAGGCTGGCGCGACTTTCATTAACATGCCTTAGATCTAAGGCAAACATAGTTATGCCAAGGAAACATAAATATTGTTCAACTTATTGTTTTCCAGCATCACAAACTTTCAAACGCAAACACAACACCGCCGGCCAATGGCACTGCCGTTTGTTGGCAACCGTCTGCTGTCATACACTTGATAGCAGATGCCGTGGTGATCTGAAATCCGCCAACTCCCAAAATGGTAGATTCGACCGAAGTTCTTCACATCTACAGAAGGCTTCTCCGAGCAATCACCTACCTCCCAGATTCTTATGCCCGGATCAATGTGCACAACGATGTTGTGGGACGATTCAGAAAGCACCGCCCGAGGTCCAGCCCCGAACACATCACAAAGAACAGAGTGAAGAGAGCCAGAACGACTGCGGTTTGTCTCGAAAGAGCAGGCCATGGGGATTTGGATGACCTCAAGAAGGTGCTCATGCAAACACATGGGCGTGCTGGGGGTCGAAGGCGTGAATTGATAAAGGACCTTCTTCGACCCGATGAAAGCGTTCTTCCGAAAGATGACTCTGCTGTGAAGGAGCTCATCGAGAGTCCAAAAGCCCAGGAAGTACTCAACCAGAACCCAAATCCTAAAGTGACTGCTTTCATTGAGAGCCAAAGGAGGAATCACCCGAAGGACAGCATCAAATCAAAAATCCGACAGCTCGAGATACCGAAGAAAACAATATGGGGTCATGCGCCGACACAGAAGCTCCAAGATTCGATGTGGCGGAAGTGGTGGGCCCAAACTCTCGATAAACTGCTGCCGCCAGTTCCCCAGCATGAGTGGGACCGTCTTCAAGATCTTGCTTTGGGGAAGATACCTCTGGATGAGTTTCCCAGGCGGCGCTCCAGGCCGGTGGAGGAGAAGGATGAGAAAGAAGATATGGCATACAGATACCTCCAACTTAAACTCAGAAGCGAAGCTGCACAGATTGAGGGCGCCACATTCGATCCACAACGAGGACTGAAGGTCCAAACCAAGACCCGGGAGGAAGTTCTCAACGAAAACTATAGAATTCCTCCTACTCGAGCCCGCCGTAGACTCTACGCCCTCATTTGGTCCTTAACACCGACCATATCACAAGACGAAGTTACAAAGAAGTGGACAGTAACATGGGGCTCCGGAAAATCATTAATCGCTAGCGGGACTCTTACACAACCCTCTACGAGCGATATGGAGCTTTTCGAAGGACTACCGAGCCTACCAGAACTACAACCAGTTGACCGTGAAAAATCGGTCAGGGAACGAAGGGAACGACAGGCCGCCAGGCAAGCAAGATTGCTGAAGGAAACAATGGCAACAAATGTATAAACTCTTCTCAAAAACTGCCAAACGCCATCACTTGTCTATATCTTTCTCTATCCTGCCTTCTTCGCCAATTCCTCCAATCCCTCCCGCTCAACCCTCATAGTCTGCCACTCCGTCAGAGCCTTTGCACCAACCCTCTCGTAAAACTCTATGCTCGGCGTATTCCACTTCAACACACTCCACTCTAACCTCCCTGCATCCATAGCCACGCACTCCTTTGCCAATTCCCCTAACAATCTCTGTCCATACCCCTTCCCTCTTACAGTCTCCCGAACAAACAGATCCTCCAAGTAAATCCCAGCTCTCGCCCTCCAAGTACTGTAATTATAGAAATAAAGAGCCATTCCGACAGCTTCGCCAGACGGCGTAAAGAGTAGCAGACATCGTGCAGGCCGTGTGGGGGAAATCGGATCGCCGGTTGACTGAGTCGTGTTGTCCGGAGAAACGAGGCCTGAGGGCGCAAAGGAGAGGGTATTGAGGAGTGATTCAGGCGTGGCTTCTACGGCATTAGGTTCATTTTCGTAGTCGGCGAGTTCTTGGATTAGTTGGAGGATTGTGTGGACATCTGCCGTACCTTGTGAGCTGTTGACGCGGGGAGGGGTGGAGGGGTAGTCTAACCTTCACGCCGTGCATGGCGGACGACGACGCCTTCGTGGGAGGGTGCCATTGTAGATTAGGACAAATGTTGAAGAGGAGAGGAAGGGGAAAGAAGGAAATGAGAGGGAATACCCTTTTATGTTTTCAATTAACGGTGGCGGTCAGATGAAAATTTTGTTGGTACAGTGGTATGCAAAAACTCCCTGTTTTAGCGCGTTTTTGACGAAAAGTGGTACCTTGAAAAAATGGTACTGAATTATATTCAACCACCAATTGCTCCACCAAACCACGTCCGAATTAGGTAAGAAGTAGATTAATTTACTCCCCTGAAGTAGCTCTTGCTAATGATATAATCAGATTACGATCCACCCCCTCCTTCCCTCACCCGAATTTGTAGCTATTGAGCCTGCACATCGAGCCGAATTCTTAGCAAACCCAACTTCTCCCCTGTCTACGAACCAATTCGCCCTTTTTTTATTAATATCGATGGGCAGATATTAGTAATTTGATATCTATAATATTAGAGGAGAAGGCTGAGCTAAAATAGCTAAAGGCGATGGAAAAATCGGGTACTAGTATGGGGATTTCTCCTTGTTATGAAGGCTAAAGTCTCCCTTTGGTATACTATATGGAATTCAGAAGCTAATTAGTGTTTTATATTGAATATAGGTACTTAGTAGCACCGATTGCTAATATAGTAGCCCCATTCGAAAGCCCCATTCGACAGCCCCATTCCAAAGCACTATTCCGGACATCCAAGCAGAAGACTCGATTCGACCAGATATTGCCTTTAGTACGTACCCTGAAGACGAAATTAGCTTCTACCAGGATATAGGCAACTTACAAAAGCAGGATTATTAAGAGTTTATAAGTTCTGGGCTATTGGATGACGATTACAAGGCGATTGGGGGGTAGGGAGAATGATATTTAGAATCGAGGTTAACGAGCTGCCCCCTTGATTTCCACGTATCACTGGTTTAGGGAGGCGAGGAATGGACCAATCAGATTACAGGATTTTAGGCTCTTTTGAAGAGAGTTATTACTGGTGTTGTGGTCATTGTTTTTAGTCGAGTTTGTCTATATTTGGAGTTTTTCCCTTATACTAAATATTTTTGCAACCATGCCGTAGGATTTTTTTATATTAGAATAATTAAAAGAGCTATTTCCCACGATTCTAAATCAGCTTTCGTTTTTTTAATAGCAGTTGTGGTTATTAAGAACCGTGGTATTTTTTAATTAGTATCAATGTCGGCTCTCTAGTAAAGTAACAAGTGATTTTGGAACCACCTTTTGTAATATTAAAATCACCAGAACTTTAAGTAATATTAAGTATGGCGATTTCATTGATTTCATACTAATTCTACAGGGAAATTCCGATATCCTGAATTATAGAAATGCCCTCCAGCCTTTCTAGCCCCCGTCCAAACCTCCAAACCTCCAAATGGTATTAATTAGGTAATTTCCAAAGTTTAGATACTTCCCATAGACTTTCCTGCAATTCCCTCGCATATTAGACTTAATATTGCGAAAGCCCCCCCTAATTGGGTTCAAAATTGGGCAATAGGGAAGCAACTAATATATCCAGATTCCCCCCCTCCCCACCCCCCTCCCACTTCTGGCACATATCAAGCACCCTCTGACTCCAGTGTATACCACAGTTATCCATTATAATAATCGAAGTCTTCCCCAGCCATAAAAACACTACGGGAGTACCCTGTTTCCCATCCAAAATCGAAATTATCGTACCACTGCTCAAGGAGCTCCCGGTTCTGCACGGGTTGTGCGAGAAGATCGTAGATGGCCGCGATGCGCGCGGGCTTAGGTAAGGAGCTATAATCTGCTCTTATCATTAGCAAGAGATACTTCAGGGGAGTAAATTGATCTACTTCTCATCTAATTTGGACGTGGTTTGGTGGAGCAATTGGTGGTTGAAAATGATTTAGGTAACTTTTGGTGCACCCATTTTTAAGTGTACCGCTTTTCGTCAAAAACGCGCTAAAACAGGGAGTTTTTGCATACCACTGTATTGACAGGGTGAAGGGCGCAGGCGGGGTTGAAACATTTCCCCAGGAACGAGCTTGGCACTTGAATCTTAAATCCAACTCCATCACTCTTCTCCCTTCAATGTCAACCAACATGATCACAAGAACACATCCATCAGTCAATGGGGATATCCTTCGACTTTTAGAAAAAGTTACAGGATTGCAATCCGGCACATTATATTACTTTGCCGGCGGGCCTGGGTCAAGTTCCTTTCCGAGACACCCAGCCATTGCTTCTTGTCTCCAGTGCTTTCTAATGAGTCTGTTCTTATCACCAAGATACCGCATGTCTTTGCCGTATACTTCAAATTGTTCAGCCTTATCCCAGCTAGGCTCTCTTCCAATCTTCGATCAACATGGGTCTCTTTATGGCTTACAGAGTCCTTTGGGACGAGGACTGTTCCAATCCTACTAATTTCCACCGGTCTCCTCAGCATTCCTTTTAATATGGAATGTTCTAAAAGCTTCGAATTCACAAGTGCAAATCCTCGACTGGAGGCAAGGTTGTACCTGCCTGATCGAGCGGCCCAAAGTGGGGTTCAAGACGCTGGGATCGTGCCCCACAATAGGTCGCCCTGGACTCCCTAATTTGGAACGGTATAACCAACCAAAATTGTTTTGACAGGTCGCCATTTCAAGCCACGCAGCCTTGTTTATAAGTGGAGGAAGATGGCATGATATTCTTTGCTTTGAATTTTGTCAACTTAGAAGAGCGTCAGAGTCATCTCCTTAGTTTTTCAGCTCATTCACAATCATTGCACTACTTATGAGTATTTCCTAAGGAAACCTTTCTTTCCTTCCTAAGCCCTCGCTCATCGTGCCCATCTGAATTTCAGAGTCTCGAAAATGGGGTTCGTCTGCTCAAGACAAACCAAAAGCCCGCCCGATACCATGTCCTCAAAAAAAGTCCATGTTGGTATTGTGGGTGCAGGAATTTCGGGGCTTAGATGTGCTGAGGTCCTCCTCGAGAATGGCTTCCAAGTTACCATTTTAGAGGCCAGAGATAGAATTGGTGGAAGAGCGAGTACCTTTACCTAAGCCTAAGTCAGAGAGCTAACAATCCTCGACAGATTTGCCAAAGTGATAAGCTGGGATATAGTGTTGATTTGTGAGTCGATCTAACGCTTCCCTCAAAAGGCTCAAGATTTGACAAGATATCAGAGGTCCAAATTGGATTCACACAGTAGGATCTCCTTGACCCCTCTTTTTGATTCCACCAGAGCTAATATGCGACTCACAGGCTGGAGGGAGACAACCTATGCTCGATCTGGCAAAGAAGACGAATACAACTCTTCACCGCTGGAACGACAAGCAAAGAATATATGATGCTTTCGGGAAACTCCTTCCAGACGAGAAATCAGAAAAGCTTTCAACTCTTCTGTGGGAGATCATCGCAGAAGGGTTTGAATATAGTCTAAAAGAAGGGAAGTCCATTCATGAAACCGAAAGTTTGTATGACTTCATCAAACAAAAGGCAAAAGCAAATTTGCCTGATGAGAAAGATCAGGCGTTATTGTTGCAAATGTCGCATGTGTGGGGTTGCTATATTGGTGAGCCGATTACCCAGCAGAGTTTGAGATACGCCTGGTTAGAAGAATGTTGTGGTGGAGGTGAGATATATGATCCTATCAAATTTTTGATGTGGTCACTGACTTTGCTACGAATTTGAAGAGGAAACTTTTGTAGAGGGTAATCACAAAGCTATTCTGGCGGAGATTGCAAGGATCCCGCTCGAGAAAGCAGTTGTAAAACTGGGGGTAAGAATTGTGGAAGTACTTACGGCTGAAAGAGAAACCCAGGATAGTCAGGTGGTTCTGAAAACAGAAAAAGGGGAGAGCTTCTCCTTCGATGAGGTGCTAATGACTACTCCTTTGGGATTTCTGAAGCGGAACAAGGAGATGTTCAAGCCCTCATTACCACCCAGACTTTTGGCAGGTATCGATGCAATCTCAGTGGGACATCTTGAGAAAGTAAGTTTGAGTAAGCTTACCTGATTCGGGGCGAACACTGACGGAGACTGTAGGTCTTCATCACCTTTCCAGAAGCCTTTTGGCTTGATCCTCCGACGAAGCAAATAAATTCAAGTCTCTCGCCCGATCAAAAAGCACACGCAGAAGACACCTTCGCAAGCAATATACATTGGCTTTCGCCCAGCTACTCTCCGGAAACAAATCCCAAACGCTGGCCTCAAGAATTCTGGGATCTCGCCGCCTTCTCACCTGCAAATCGACGGCCAACGATGCTCTTCTACATCTACGGCGAATGCTCAGAGTACATAGTCAACCTTGTGCACGGAAAATCCGATGAAGAACACTATAAGCTCCTCGATGAGTTCTACAAGCCTTATTACTCACTCCTGCCTCATTACTCCATTGAAAATTCAGCTTGCACACCGAAGGCTTTTCTATCGAGCGAGTGGCAGAAAGATGAACTGTCTGGATATGGAAGTTATTGTAATTTCCAGGTTGGAATTACGGATGCTGATGGCGACATGGAAGCTATAAGAAATGGGGTCCCAGAGAGGAGGTTATGGTTTGCAGGTGAGCATACAGCGCCGTTTGATGAGTGCGGGACTGCTGCCGGTGGGTATTTATCCGGCGAAGGAGTTGCGAAACGGATTCTGGAGGTGTATGGGATAAAACCAAACGAAGCCTCTCCATAATGGTGTCTTGATCTTAGGTGTGGAATTTTAGATCATCAATACTGACTCGGCTTGCTCCTGCTTCAAGCGCCCAGCGTAGACGCCAGCACAATACTTTACTATCCCATGTTCCTTCCATCGCGCCAGCCCTGGGTTCCCAAATTTCCAAACAATGCTAGAAGCAGCGAATAGCTCTACCTCTTCAAGATCCCGAATGTCCCTTTGGGAATAGAACAATCCCATCTCACAGATCTGAGGTTCACGGCATCCGGTAAACCCAATCTTGAGAAGAAATTTCAACAGATCTTCTCTCCAGTCGGGAGTTTCCCCAATCCCAGGTTTGAATATCCCGATCTGTATGTGGGTCGGATTATCGGGTTCATGGTAACCAAAGAGATATCTTTCGATCTGCTTAACCGCGTGTGGATCGATGCTCGCAGAGGGTCGGAGTCGAATCAAGTTGTCCAGCCAAAATCCACCCTCGTCCCCATGTGCATTCTGTGTCGTCCCAATGAGATCGAATGCTGGGATTGAGCTATACCAGTTGATAACGGGGATCAAATGTGCTGGTCCATTCGAATTTGGCCGCCACCTCAGCCCCATCTCGTCGCTCCTTTCATCTGATGTATAGATGAATGAGTAGTCATTCCTTGCTTCACACAATTCCATCAACTTATCTGCCAATTTTTCCAGACTATTAGATGCAGCACCCCAGGAGGCTTCCTTAGTCAATGCACCAAGGCAAGCCAGGAGCCTGTTCTGGGGGAAATTGACATCGAGATCTCGAAGCCCAATGTTGGAGAGAATACCCAAAGCAGTCCGCTCTAGATATCCGCTCATTAACATATCTCCTAATGCCTCTTCGAGGATGCTGAGATGAGGGAAGTTGTCCAAGACTCCCATCTCTCCCTGCTCATTCTCTTTCTTCCACCTGTTCAACGAGGCTCCAACGCAATTCAAGAATCGCTGTACCTGGACAACAGGAGTCCCAACGCCAGGATTGGTAGTAGTGAAGTAAGTGTCTGCTCCGTTGACGAGCTCTTGATACGTCCAAACTCGACTGATCCATTTATCTTGCTCGAGGGCTCGAAGCTCGGACGCTGGGAAGGGGGAAGGTGATTGCCCGGCAGCTGCTGTCTCGATGATATTCCAAATGGGCCCTTGGAGCACGATGATCACGGATACTGCCGAGCTGTAAATATAACCCATGCTATGGGAGATCAGCGAGTCCGCAAGAAGGGTTGGCCCTGTCCTGGACATACCTCTCAAGAGTAGCCTGTCGTGATTCTCCTTCCAACTGTGGGATACACAAGGCATCTATCCAGAAAGCCTCGACTTTCTCAATTTGGGGCCTGAAATCTTCACGTTTCAATAGCTCAGCAGCCTTGATCGCAGCCTCGAGAGCCAGACGAGTCCTGTCTGAGATCGGTCTCTTGCAATCGAAAAAATTTCCAGGTTCTTCAGTGCCTGACCCCCAAACATAGGAGATACAGTGAAATTTGAGGTGCTTGATTTGTTCAGGGCTGTGAGGGCCGGTCACGCGCCACAGCCTTCCCTTGATTTCTTCGTCTCCTTTCTCTCTCATTGCTCCGGGCTCGACTGGGACTACGAGGTTAAGCTCCATATCGCACTACAGGTAGGTAATATACCAGAACTTGTAAATAATAAGGATACGTAATAATACATAATAATTTGAAAGCAATCTCGTAGCTTTTGACTTGAAGAAAAGTGGTTACGCTTGCCATTTTCAGCTCATGCAGTGGAACTCGAAATGTTTGAAGGATTGGTTGCTGCCACACAACTTGCGCACTTGGCACTCCAATGGAAAGAAGTTTTCTTCTTTTGGAGGGAAATAACTTTTGAGAAGCTCTTAGATGAAGGATGAAGAAAATCAAACGCTGAAGACTTTCCCAGTGGCAGAAAACCTCGCTAATATTCACCGCTCTTCAGGGGCTTCGGTCGCAATTACCCCGCTGGAACCCCTCAGTTGCCTCACTGACGTAAAGACATGTCACTGCTTTTTAATTGGCGACGGTGATCTCTTTAACTCCGAAGCCTTAAAGCTCCCATAATTGGGGGTTTTCCGCAAAGAATTTCTAAATCCATTCAATTCTCCTTAGTTTGTGATTTTCAGAAATCTGTAAGATGTCGAACACCAACCCTACCGTGGCTAGTGGCAAGAAGATTGTGAGGGAGCACTGGGAGCCTGTGTAATCCTCGAGGAACGAAAGCTGACAAACTTCAGGTCTTTACAGGGGGAAGCGGTAAAGCTGGAAGACATGTGATAACCGTACCTCTTGAGTAAAGGCCACAAAGTCCTGAATCTCGACCTCGTGCCTTTCCCAGACCCATCAGCGGATGTCTATACCCTCAAGACAGACCTCACCGATTCCGGACAAGTTTTCAATGCTCTGACCAGTCATTTCAACATGTCTGGTTACGCAGATGGACCAGTTCCTGGACCTCCTGGTGTTGTCATCCATTTCGCCGGTACGTACCGTACACACAACAGCAGCAATAAGTCAAACCGACTGATATTTATAGCCTACGCACGCAACATGCTTGTACCAGATTCCGAGCTCTTCCAAGCCAATGTTCGAAGCACCTATAATGTGGTCGAAGCAGCTTGTAAGTTAGGCGTCAAGAAAATCATCATAGCCTCTTCCGAGACAACCTATGGTGTTTGCTTCGCCCAAGGTGATGCGGACTATCACTCCTTCCCTCTTGAAGAAGACTATGACGTTGATCCTGAAGACTCGTACGGCCACTTTTCAATATCACATGACTTCACCAACTGACAATCTTCCAGGTACGCACTCTCCAAGATCTGCGGTGAGAAAACAGCACGAACCTTCGCCAGACGCTTTAAAAACGACATTTACGCTCTTAGAATTGGAAATGTTACCGAACCACATGAGTATGCGAAAGACTTCCCCGCGTATCTCTCCAATCCCACTTCTCGTAAAAGAAATGCGTGGAGTTATATCGATGCCAGAGACTTGGGACAGATCTGTGACTTGGCGATCAAGAAGAGCGAGTTGGGATTCCAAGTCTTCAATGCTACCAATAATACGATTACGGTCAAGGGGATGACAACTAAGGAGTTCCTGGCGAAGGAGTGTCCGAATACGAAAATTACGAGAGAGATGGGGGAGCATGAGGCGCCGTTGAGCAATAGGAAGATCCGGGAGGTGTTGGGATACAAGGATGTTCATGACTGGAAGAAGTATGTCTAGATCTACGGTGTAAAATGGATACTACTCTGCACTTGTGAGGTTCACTGAAGTATCGTGCAGGCTAATAAAATATTTGTGACTGCATTTATGTGTTGATTCGTGAGGAACTTGAAGCACTTGCGGTGGACAACCCACCGACGCCACCATAACATTCTTCCCAGATTGACTAAAATATTCATATTCGCAACCATACATCTCCCCATTTTCCTCTTACAGCAATGACTGCCGTTTCGCCTGCCTCTTGGTGCTTACTTGATTTATAGTGTTGTGATCTTACAAGTAGAAATTGTACAGGCATCACGGAAGGAAATCGGGTGACGTCGCTATATCGTGACGTAAGAATTTTGAAAATAAGAGCACACTTCACTTCAAATATCTTAATTTTCCTCACTCAATTCTCATTCACAAATTGATTCAGATGATACACTTTCCCTCAGTATATCTCAATAATCAAAGTTTACAATGGCATTGAGTCAAGCAGCGGCGGTTCTGGAGAAGGTCATCGGCCATGACACTAATGCGACCACCGAGCAAGACATCACGAACCCGGCCCGAGACAGGGCCAAATATGCTGACCCTAGCGGCGAGACGATGAAGGCATTAGTCTGGATGGGCAAGAACAAAGTGGAAGTCCGTAAGTGTCTCTGTCTTAGATTCGTGTCTGTGACGCCGCGGAAGTCTCACGCAGTGCAGACGAGGTTCCAAAGCCCCGCGTCGTGGAAGACAGAGATGTCATCCTGAAGGTCACGGGAAGTACGGTCTGCGGGAGTGATTTGCACTTGCTGCATGGTACTGTGGTTGAGCTGGAGAAGGGAGATATCCTTGGCCATGAGTTTTGTGGTGTGGTCGAGTCTATGGGCCCCGCTGTCAAGGGACTGAAGCAAGGGGATCGAGTTGTTGCATCCTTCCAGATTGCATGTGGAGAAGTATGTGGACTTGAATCTCGGAACATCTCATCCACCATCGGAGCTGACTGTCGCAGTGCTATTACTGCAAAAAGAAGCAAAGCTCCCAATGCGAGAAGACCAATTCGAACACCTTGGAGAATGGCATGGTAAGTCATGCGTTTCCAAATAGTTCATTGGCTAACAGCGCCCAAAGTATGGAGGAAGAACTGCAGGCATGTTCGGATACAGCCATTTCACGGGAGGGTTCGCTGGTGGGCAGGCTGAGTACGTCCGAGTTCCATACGGAGACGTCAACCTTCTCAAGCTCCCAGCGAGTGTCCCTGATGAGAAGGGGCTCTACCTGTCAGATGTTTTGTGCACATCGTGGAACTGCGTTGTCGATACGGGCGTCGAGAAAGGAGATGTTGTCGCGATCTGGGGTGCTGGTAGGTCCCAACCTTTCCCCGTGTTTGATGCAAGACTGACACAAGTAAACAAGGTCCAATTGGGCAGATGTGTGCAGAGTTCGCTTTTATCAATGGTGCTTCAAGAGTCATCATGATTGACAACAATTGGAGGTTGGAATATGTCAAGTCCAAATACCCGAAGGTTGAACTTCTCGATTACAGCGGTCTGCCTCGTGGAACATCCGTCTCTACGAAGTTGAAGGAGATGGCACCAAGAGGTCCGGATATCGCTCTCGAGTGTGTGGCCGGCGAGTATGCCAAAGGATGGGCTCACTACTTTGAGCTTATGCTTGGTATGGAGACAGACACCTCGGAAATCGTCAACGAGATGATTACGTCTGTAAAGAATTTTGGCCGTTGTGGTATCACGGGTGTCTATGTTGGCTTTGTAAGTATAATCGGGGGCATCAAGTACAATGGGGTTCGGTGGCCTTTACTAACTTTTGATGCCAGACGAACCACTTCAACATTGGATCACTCATGGAACGAGGAATCAGATTGATTGGTAACGGCCAAGCGCCAGTTCACATGTATTGGGAAAAGCTCTGTGGCATGATCGAAAGCGGCGAGATCGATCCGCTTAAGATGGTCTCCCACAGAGTGAGCATGGAGGAGCTTGATCAGATCTACTACAAGTTCGAGAAAAAGGAAGACGGGATGCAGAAAGTCTTCGTCGAGACCAAGTTTTCCGCACCGCCATGCGCTGGTAGTCCCAGCTTAACAAGGTACAGCAAGTAGTTGTGGGGCTGAAAGGAATTGAAGAATGCAGTACAAGCAGGAGCAGGCGGTTGAGTATTCGGGAGCCAATGTAGTTTTGCTCTTTCCGTAAGACCTGACCAATGAGTTGAGCCTATATTTTAAGTTCTTGCATTTTTCCGGGGCAAAAATGGTTAGCAGTCCACTTGTGTCAAGACATTAGACATCAGCGTCACCAAATGAGCGATTTATTGGATCTGGACTCTATAGATTGTAGTCAGGTCATGGAGAACTCATCGCCTTCCGTGTATGCACATCGTGTTGTCTCATTGGCGTCCAAAACCTCGCCACTCAGCGAAGAGTTTGTCAGCCAATGGTTTGTAATTGCATTCATTGCAGAAGCGAGTGACCCTCAGAAGTGAACTCTCTCGCGATAAGGACTCCGCTACGTGCCTCTACCAAATGAGACTTGCAGAAACAACCACCCATGTCAAGCAGTGCAGGATCGTCCCAAGCAAAATGGGGCGTTCCCGCTTCTCGATGAAACCCCATGCCGACGGCTCGGTCCTCCCACTGACAAGCCTGCACGTGTCCCCAGCTCGGGACCACCAGTTCATCCCGGTGCCAGTAGTGCGGTACCATTGGCGCCTCGCTTTCGGGTTGACCCAAGGACCCATTGGCGAAGACACCCAACTTCCGATGGGCCCCAAAGGAGCGTAAGTGAAGACCAATGGAACTACGGGGCGTGGGGTATCTTTTCCCTGGGCGTCCAAACCGGTCCCCGATACGACAATTCCTTCCTTGAGAAGAAGTGGAGGACACTGAGGGCAGGAACTGCCTGCCAGCGCTACACAACTTTGAACTCGACAGGTATAAGTCCCGGTGTCCTATGCACAGCATAAAAATTTGTGCCTTCGAACTCTGCATCTTATAGACAATAATCAAGTCCCAATGGTTTCCTCCACAAAACCATATCTCTCGGAGAATAAGCAAGATGTAGCTCAGGCAAGAAAATGCACAAGGCTCGTAAAAACAAAAGCTGAAAGTTGTCTAGGATGTGTGCGAGAACGAAACACACGTCCACGTCATCGTTTACTCCTGCGATTCTTCGGCAGTCACTAAAGACCTGCGATTTCCTGGAGTAAAGATATACATCACTTCCCTCCCAGAGCTCCCGCACTTCAAAGACTTCATCTCCAATTTTATACCCTACAATTCCACGAATCTCAACCTCCCGAATCAGCAAAATTACCTCCAGCTACTCAGCCGAGGGCGCATGCTAGCCCGGGATATTGTACAGAGGTCGAAGAAGTACATCCGAAACCCATTGCGAATCTTCTGTCTTGCGAACAGAGTGCGAGCATACTCTTCGGGTCTCTTAAATCCACAACTCTGGTTCAACATTTTTGTCGTCATGGCTTGGCTTCTCATCCGCCGCACGCTCGAGATCTTTGGCATCCATTTGCCCGGCCTAGCCGTGGTACCTCAAAATCAACAGGTGCCGTCAGCAAAGAGCAACAAGAACAGAGATTCGGCAGTTGGCCAACCTCAGGAGAATGATTTCGTTCACTTGGAAGCCCCCTGAAGTCGAGATGGGTATTGAAGCGGGAGGCAGACACATGATTTGGATGAGACTATGATGAATATTTGGAGGCAAAAATATATGCGACTTGCGTCAAATATTCTCCTTAAGCATCGGTCGAAGTTGGATTGAATATCCCGAGGCGTTTGGGTTATGAGACACCTTTGTTTGCTTCCAGGGAATTACGTTCATTTGATAGTGAATTCCCAACTCTAGAATCGTCTGACTATAGAACACATCCGCAAATACAATTTCAATCTTTCTCCAAGCGGAAACAGCAGACCTCAACGCCGTTGACACATTGTGTCACGTGGGCTTCTCGGAAATTTCCTTCGCTGTGAAACCAGCACGAAAAGACAACTCGTCTCTCATTGCCTCAATCAACTTGATCAACGCAACTAGGAAGCCTCAAGGAAGCCTCAATCCCCCACTTGGGCATCACCGCCTTTCTCATGGCACCCATGAGACCATTGCAAGTGCAGCTACAACGCGTTCGACATTTGGGCTTCTTTTGCTTCCGAAGCGATTGTACCATGCCTTAGCTGACAGCGGCTGGGCGGCGATGGCTTATTGAGCACTCCAATAATCCACGGCGCCAATCTGCCATGTAGCAGTCGGTAAAGTTGCAAATATTGATGCCGCCAAGGTGTTTCGAGAGGCATCAGTGGTGAATGAGGTGGCGAAACTCTTCATTCGGCAAACAAAGACCACCCCAACATGATTGGCTCGTCTCGAGCCGAACCCCTGACTGTTTCGGCAGCTGTCAATGGCGGGAGTTTGCAGATCGCGGGGAGTGAGGTCAACGGCGCATATTTTTGGCCTCCGAGATTCAATTGAGCACCTTGTGATAGGTTGCATAGAGAATACCTTCCTTGATGAGAATTGGCAGGTGGGTCTTTTAGAACGGTTCGGTCTTTTATTTTCTGGGCATATGCTGTGAAGTCATGGAGACCCTGTTTCAAGCGCGGGGTAGTCGAGCAGAAGGACCTTGCTGATAAATTTCTATAAGATGAGTGGATTCTTTGACCCTTTGAGTTGCCAGCTTCGTTGGTGCGTTTTGGGTTTTCTACACATGTGCAACAATGTCATCCCCTGTCCGACCTCAGGTGTCCGAAGTCCTCCTCTCAAGCTCGGAGAAGTCCTTACCAACACAGGATGAAGGCTCAGACTCCCTCCCCGCACCCCCAATAGCTGCTACTGGCCAGATGCACCACACTTTTACCCATCACGATCCGAATTGGGCAGGCGACGATGTGGACTTCAGCCATGTCGATGAGAAAGCCGTGCTCCGGAAAATGGACCTGCGATTGCTCCCCATGCTTGCGCTCTTGTACCTTTTAAGTTTCTTGGACCGAGGAAATATTGGAAATGCGAAGATTGAGGGCCTCACGGAGACATTGCATATGACCGGACCGCAGTATAATTGGTGTTTGACTGTATTCTTCTTCACTTACTGTGCATTTGAAGTGCCCAGCAATCTGATGTCAGTTGAGCATCCTCATCGTTGAGAGTACTTGAAGCTTACCGATATTAAACAGGTTGAAGCGCCTTCGTCCTTCAATATGGCTGCCAAGTATCATGGTTGCTTGGGGAACTGTGATGACACTGATGGGTATCGTTCAGTCGTACCACGGCCTGCTTATTGCCCGAATATTCCTCGGTGTTACTGAAGCTGGTCTATTTCCTGGAGTGGCATACTATATTACAATGTGGTATTGCCGCAAAGAGGGTCAACTCCGACAAGCTTTGTTTTTCAGTGCTGCAAGTATCGCCGGTGCCTTCTCGGGTCTGCTAGCATTTGCTATTGCAAAGATGGATGGAGTTGGAGGCTTGGAAGGCTGGAGATGGATGTGAGTTACTTTCTGCAAAGTTTTTGATCATGAAACTAATCTCTACAGTTTCATCCTCGAGGGTATTGCAACTGTTCTGATCGCCATCTCAGCATACTTCGTCCTATTCGATTTCCCAGATACAGTTTCCTTCCTCACCATCGAAGAACGGGCATGGGTGGTACATCGACTCAAATATCAAGGTTCTGAAGGCTCTGGTCAAATGGTTGCCGAGACTGATTCCTTTCACTGGGACTTTGTGAAGGCTGCCTTCACTGACTGGCAAATTTACACGGGTTTATTAATGTACTGGGGAATCGTCTGTCCACTTTATGGGATCGCGCTTTTCCTCCCAACCATCATCAACGAGCTCGGCTATGTGTCATCAACAGCGCAACTTCTTACCGTCCCAATATATATCACCGCCGCCTGCCTGACTATCGTCACGGCATGGTACTCTGATCGCTCGAAAGTCGGCCGAGCATTCTATATATTCATCCCAATGTGCGCAATCCTGATCGGCTTCATCATCGCCATAGCAGCTAGTGCCCACGGCCATCTCCCCGGCCTTGTCTACGCCGGAGTATTCATCGCAACCTGTGGAATCTATCCCGCGTTCCCTGGTAACATTTGGTAAGTCCCCAATTTCTAGGTGGATTATTTTCTACTGCACATATTTTGCGAGCTCTTTACTCACCACCTGCTGTTGGGTGTAAACTACTCACAGGACACTGCCTCAATCCTAACTCTACCCTTAAAAGACAATACTAATCCGAGATTCTGGGTTTAGTTGGATGTCGAACAATCTCGCTGGTAGCTACAAAAGATCTGCTGGCATGGCCATTCACATTGGAGCAGGAAACTTGGCTGGTGCTATGGCCAGCAATTTTTACCGGGCTAATGATAAGCCGAAGTATATACTTGGGCACGCGTTCGAGATCGGCTTCGTTTCTGTGGGGATGATTGCCGTGTTGGTTTTGAGGTGGAAGTATGCGAGAATAAATGCTCAGAGGGATAGAGAGGGGAATGAGAAGGGTCACAGTCTCAAGGAGATGAGTGAAATGGGGGATAGAGCACCGACGTTCAGATATATACTTTGAATCACGAAGTAAGACAATCAAATTTTGCAGAAATGAAATTGATATTTTGGAATTCGGAAATTCTGAGCTGGAGAGCAATCTAGTTGGTGTCAACACTTGTTGCTTTGGCTGTCTGCTCAGATTTACCTCTATTTCTGCTGTACGTGACTGGATCGTACGTCTTGCTCAATCCCTCTCAATTTCGCAAATGAAGGGCCTTTAACACGGTATATATTGCAAGCCATGTGACCATTCGGTGCTGCACTCACAGGGTTTAACAAATAAAAGGCTGTGCCAGAAATAATATTCGTACTCAAACGTTCTCTACCCAAATATTTAGTCTCGACTTCATAATTGAAGTGTTGTGATTCATTTCAACTCCGCGCTTGGCACAAGGTATATATTCGAGAAGCTACTCGAGTTGAAGATGTGAGTCCACCATTTCTATACCATTCTCAAGAATTGAAGACTGAAAATATTGGACCGAGTCCCTAACGAGGGACGTGTTTCTGGACGAACATAGTGAGCTCTACAGTTTCCGGGTCTGTTGTTCCAACTCACACTTTCCAGATTGCTCTACCGCTTCACGTCTTGATTGTTCCAGGATGTATGGGTTCGCGAGGACCGCCTCCCACACTGAATGCTATGATCTCTCTCATGAAGGAGCGCTATCCAACCCTTTAGTACCTGACTACTGTCTGTACTGGGGTTGTGAATACAGCTAGAACCGGTGTTCTCCCTGGGGAGCATGCAACCACCAACAAGAGAGCTTGGGCTGAGACACCCGCATTAGGACCGAAGGTCAAATGCATTCCACAAGCAAGATGGGTGGCAGACGGGGGCATTCAGACAACGCCACAAATTGCAGCAGGAACTGATGGCTTCTTGGCATTCTTGGAGACAATAGAGGGGAGCGCAACTGCGAAGACCGTCTCCAATGGCATGGAGTCAGCGGCACAATTGCTTGAGTGTCCAACACATACTGACTTCTGAACCTCCTAGATATGAGAGGCATTTCGACTCCAAAGATGATCCTTTCGCTGCATTATACAATCTGGTCAATGCAAAGAACGGGACGAGCTCCTCTTGAGATGTGATTGAGTGGACGGAGGACGGAACAGCCAAGAGCGGAGATCGAGGGTCATTGATCTGAACTTGAGGCTGGCGGATAGCTTGTGTTGATTATTTATCGCAGTACGCTGCGCTTGGGGAACTGGCCCAACCAAGCGCTACAGAACGAACAAAACTTTGTTGCATTATGACCTGGCGTGGCGTGCTCGTGCTTATGTAGCGATGGCCGACTCTCACCACCCCCTTCCCCGCCCTCGCTTGGAATAGGGGGGAATGGAAATCGATATCACGGAGCCGATTTAATCCGCCCACAAAGATATTCACTTAATATACTAAAATAAGACTTTTTCAGTCAACTAACAAGCGAACAACGCTTGTAAGTTGGAACATCAACGTCCGCAATTGACGTTAAACTAAGAGGAAAACCTGCTTGTCCTGCCCTGTACGTACCTGGTTCGCCCACTGTACAGGAACGGAATACGCTGACTTGTTACGCACCTGGTTTCGCCCACTGTGCATGTTAGGGTAGCGCAGAATTTTCCTAAAAAAACTCAGTTCTTCTGGTTTTCCCTTATAAGACCACCAGCCCTGCTCCTCGGAGTTTGGGAAGGTGGCAAGGTTTTGCCGTTTAATTCTTTTGTTTGGCGTATCGCGTACAAAGACAAAGCAGCAATAAAAGAGATGGAGATGCGTGTCAAAACGTATTTAAATTATGGAAAACACTTCAAAGGACGAACCTTTTTTTGTTTTTTTTGTTTTGAGAAGCTCGCTTAACAAATAAATATCAATATCCAAACATCAAGGACATCGCACTGCGCTAGCAAATAACCTGGCGTGAGATATCAAGTACTCGTCATTTATTATCGTGAATTTTATCTATCGCCAATACAGTCCCTTCCTCACACCTCGATTGTACCTGTCCAAGCCCGGTGAAGTTGGTATTTTCGAGCTCGTTCCTCTCCCAAAATTACTATCACTCGTCCACGAGGCTCGCACCGCCATTCTATCTCTTTCCCAATCCCGTTCTTGCGACAACGATCTCCGCGAAGCCCCACTCATCATCGACCAACGTGTTGCTTGTCTCTCCACATCGCCGGAAGTAGGGAGTCCTGTCGGACCAGTCCGTGAATTGTTCGCTCCTCCCGGGTGATGATCAGGATTGCTGGGCTTGATATACTCCCCAACACCCCTTAAGAAACTTTCACTTCTGCTGACTGGCCTGGATGTTGTTGATCGCCCTGACGCTCGTCTTCCCACAGAAACCGGCTGATCCCTCAAAGTAGCATCCTGGTTTCCCTCTGTCTCCTTCATACCCACCCCCGACTCACTTGGCTTATAATATTCCCCAACCTTCTCGAAGAAACTCCCACTCCCGCTCACGTGTTTAGATGCTGAGGTGGTAGGGCGAGGACGGTCTGGTATCGCCGCGTGATAGCTCGCCTCAATCTCACCCATGATTTCCGCTGTATGGGGTGGAAGGATCTTGCTCGGTGAGCGGAGGCCAGAGGACTCGTAGGTTCTCGCTGCTTCGGCTCTTGATTGTGCGACGAAGTTCTGGTAGTCGCCCGATTCGCCGTCAGGCTCGAAGGCAACTGGCCGAACCGTGACTGGATGGCCAGGCTGGAGTGAAGCACTGCGTATCTCCTCGTCCAAGGAGGCATACCTCTCGAGTTGGGGTCCATAGTTGCTCATCCGCTTAAAGTCGGCTGCAGCATGTTGGGGTATATAAGCGGCGGTCGAGGGTCTTTGCAGTAAGGGTTCTCGTTCCACTGACTTCCGTGTTGGCACATAGACGGTGGAAATTGGCCTTGCTAAATCGGTGTGCCTTCTTTTATGCTGATGGGGCTGGACATCTTCCTTGCTTCCTTTCTTATGTCTCTTTGACTTTATTAACTTCCGCTTGAAGAAGTTATATCCCTTGGAGTCGTTCAGTTCTCGTGGAGTCTGCCGACGTTCCGGGGGAGGTGCGGTTTGGGACTCCTTTCTGAAATGCTTATACGTTGGATTTCTTGTCTCTCCCCCCTCCGTCGACTGCCAAGTTCGCTGGTTCAAGCGTTGTTGGTTGACTTCGTTGAGCAGCAACGATGGATTGGGAGAGATTATAGCAGGTTGGGGGGTTCCTTTACGAGAGAATATGCCGCGTCTGATTCTCCGCAGAGCAGGCCTCCAATTCGATTCTTTTCGTGGGTCATCTGGGCGGCATGCTGGCGGCAACTCTGGCTGTGGACGTCTGCTCGATTGGAACATTTTCAAGGATGGGACACTCCAAGTTCCTCGGAGCAGAAGCAAGACTCGGCGGATCGAGAGAGGGAACGAACAAACCCCCAACTTCCTGCAGACCACGAGAGATTATTAAGTTTGACCCACATCGTCTTTAAAATATAAGTTGAGTTTAGGTGGCAGAGGTGTTAGCGGGAAGAGGGTCCGAAGCACTACACCGGAAGACTTGTGCGAGTGAAGCTCATGCACGCGATGTCTAGCACTCCACCTTGGAGGCCGTTTGGAAAGCTACGGCCTGTATGCGCCAATCAATCTGCATAATCAATGCCCCAAAATTAAGAGAGTCATCCCAATGAAGGGCTTTAGGACTTTACCTGGGGTTTTTGAACCAATCGAGCAGGACTCCAACAGCGCAGGATGGGTCAAGCACCCAAATTTAGGGTTCGAGATTATCTAATGTGGCATCTGTGGCATCTCTGGCAGAGATCTACTGCAAGTTAGATCCGTAAAGAGTCAGGTACCATCGTGAGGATTGGTCACCGTGAGCGTGCAGTTGCACCGTCGACTCCTACACCAGTGGTTGTCCGAATTGATGGCGCACGGACCGGACACACTACCAAAAAGCCCCTATCTTTGCAACATTACAAATACGTAATCATCTTATAAAATAATACCAAATCAAAGATGACATGTATTTCGATGCCTGGTAATGACTTTAATAAGATGGTTTTATGCTAGAATTATATTCTAATCATAAAATTCTAGCGCAATATTGCTTAGTTATTAGGCTATAGTTTTACTTTATAAGATTGCTCGAACTCTGGAATTAATTTAACCCAAATAAATTAAGAAGAAAAATTCTATTATTCTTCCAAGAACTGAATTTCTTATGCCTTGCGTTACAGTTTTACAATTTCTTAAAGTAGGTGACTTTCGTTGGATTTTGGTGGGGATTTCTCGCTAAATTGAGCGTGCGCCATCAATTTGGACAACCACTGGTGCTAGTGCCGGACTTGGCTTTGGATCCTGAGAGAGGAAATTCTAGATTTCCGTAGTGCGGAACGTATGAGCTATGTAAGGCTGTGGCTGGAAACGCCACTTTGAACCTCGTATATGCTGAAGGCCAAGAGCGTTGGGCGAGGAGACCGGCATACCCCAGGAGGAACAATAGGAAATATCCCATATTTGTGGTATTGATTCTGCTCTGCTCTTCATCCACAAGAACACGAGGACAACCCAGCAATGCGAAACGCTGGATTTCGTTTCCCCGCAGTCGCAGAATCCTCATTGGAATGATCTAGCAGTTTGACGTTCTCATGAAGCTACTTGGTGAGAATATCAAGACCTCCTGCATCCTGTTGAGATTGAAGAAGAAAATTCGCCAAGGCGGGGTATTTTTAAGGGTGACGTCGAGGCACGTGATTACCTAGGAGGTTGAAAGTTTCCATGACCAAGAGAAGCAGAAATAGATCAGGTCAGACTGCATAATAACAAAAGAGTATCTGTGAGCTTTTGGAGAATTTCACTGAACCGACTTCTTTGTAAACTTTGCAAATATCGTTAGAGTTTACACTCGAGCTCTGGCCTAGTTCGTGGCCCATGCTCCCCACCACCTCCCACCACCTCCCCCATTTTTTTAACTTTCTTCTCGGCCTTGAGAAACTCTCCTTTCCCAGCTCTCTCACAAATTGCCTTTAGGGCCTTCCCGGCCCACTCAAAATCAACGAGCTCCAGATATATCTGAGCACTCAACCGAGCCCACCATTTCTCCTGAAAAAGGTAGATGGGAATGAAGGTCTTGAAATCTGCAATCAGTGTCTCCTGCATCCACTCCGTAGCAACCGTCCGATTTCTAGGATCAATGCAATTTTTGCCATGAACCTTGGTGGGACTTATCTCCAACGGGAGGAGAATGTTCACCATGCCGCAGCCCTTTGTCAATGTCTCTGTGCTGTTGTCCATGATGCTGGTTCCCAGTATCTTCGCAGCAGCTTTCCCACCGTCCTTGGCCAAGTGGACACAGTATTCCATGATAGCTTTCTCACCACCACATACCTTCTCCCGGAACTCGATAGCTTCAGGAATCACGAGGTAATTGGCATTATCGAGCGTGCCAACGAACTCGAAAGTGTTCACGAATTCGCTCTTGGAACTTGGAGGAAGAGGATTTCTGGATGCCATTCCAGTTTTCGAGACAAATCCATCAGAGGTGGGAAGAGAAGATCGGATCAGATGCTGATTTCTCTCCGGGACATACAGAACTGCACATCCTCGAGGCACGAAGAACCATTTGTGAGTATTAGAAGTGAAGAAATCTGGGTCCAGGGCTGATAAGTCGAGAGGAAGAAGCCCAATGCCGTGTGCTCCGTCGATAAGAGAGAATATGCCTTCTTGCTTGCAAATGGCAGTCAGGCTTTCAAATGGCATTCGTACCCCGGGAAGCGATGATACGGTGTCGAACATTGCAAGGCGAGGTCTCTTGCCACTGGCTCTGGAAGCTTTGATGGCGTCTTTGAACATCTTTAAGAGATCCTCGTCTTCGATTGGATAAGTGAGACTGATCTCTCGAGATCCCACCAGGTTTGGGTGGACTTCAGAGTTGTAGTCAATGGTATTGGAACACGAGCAATAAGCAGTTCTAGATTTGGTCAGAAAAACTCTCTTTTATCTGGATTGTGCATACGAGAAGTAAAGAACCTCATCCTTTCTATCCGCATTCCAGACGATATTTCGAATGATAGTATTAACTCCCGTTGTAGCGTTGGGTACACATACCACTGTGGAGAGTGGGGCATTGAGAACCTTTGCTAATGCTGCTCGAGACTCGTCAAGAAGCTTTGGATGTTCATAGCGGATGAATGGGTCTGGTCTGAGTTCGCAAGCTCTCTGGTACTGTTGCTGCTTCTCGCGGACAACACGGGGGAAGGAACCAAAGGAGCCTAGCAATGAGTGTCAATTACCGGTTGGAGCCGATTGAATGTGGGAAAATACCCTGATTGAGATTTTTGTAGTCGGGATCGAAGAGAAAATGTTTCAGCATCTCTTTGCCAAATGGGGTTCGTTCATTGTTAAGGGAAACTTCCTCCAACTTGATATTTAAAACCTCTCCCATTGTGGTTGAGTATAAGAGGAATTGAAATGAATGCGTTAAAAAAACGGAGATATCTAGACTTCTATTTGAAGCTTGAGAAGTTGAGAGATGGGGATAATGGGAAACCAGACCCAAGTCTGATAAGTAAACGCCCAGTCTTTTCGCTCTCGATATAGTATGATACAGAAGGAAGTCAATTACAAATATCCTGCGAGATCGGAGAAAATGTCAAAAGAAGGGCGGAAAGTAGCTTTGTTCAACTAACCGGACTTGTTGAGTGGCTCAAAGAAGCTCTGTCGAGTCGACGTCCGTCGGCTTGCATAGGTTCAAGGATGACGCATCCGAAGCTCCAACCAAAGAAACTGTACGTATTGGATATCTCCAAAAACGACAGTGATAGAATTGGCAAATCGACCTGCGAGAACGCACTTACCGTGCAAGTACCCACGATGTCTCTCGCGCAGCTATCAAAGCTTCTTCCTCTACCGGAGCCCGACCTGCAGCAAGTATTGGACTACGCAGCAACATTGTCGAAGCAGGATGCAGCCGATCACTTCAACAACCTTCTGGGCGAATCACCGCAATCGATAGAGTTTATCTCCTCCTTCAACTCCCGCCGACAAGACCTTGCCTCTACCTCGAAGTCACAAGCTACTCCAGCATCGAACGAGACCTCGGGAGTTCCCAGGAGCACCCGCAAACCAGCCAAAAAGAAAGCTCCCCTCCACACCCCCGCACCTCGACAGATACAAGATACCTACGCCGCGCAGGGCACAGCATACATCAAGAAGAACTCAGACGATGACTACATAACCAAGAAACCCATTCCATCAACTTCAGCTTCAACCTCAAGACCTCCCACGCAACCCAACAATGCCTTCACCTTGCAACCCAAACCCGTCGCGATCCAAGCCCCCACCCCCAAACCACCCCCCTCCGCAGCAGGACCCCTAATCTCCGACTTCAAGACCTCAAAATCGAATCCTACCTTCCGAACCTCGTCTCCCGCCCCCTCAGCCTCGAAAACAAAAGTGAACATCACCGGCGGGACGTCGATGCACGGGGCCTCAACCGTGCTCTCTGAGCTCGATGCCGCGATTCGAAGTCTGGAGATAAGCACGAATAGCAGTCTCCTCCTGCCTGCAGCACAAAGGGCATGTAATTGCATTGGTTCAAGACATCCGCTGCTTACTGCTGCGCCGAACTGTTTGAATTGCGGGAAAGTGATTTGTGTGAAAGAGGGTCTTGGGCCCTGTACATTCTGCGGGGAACCTCTGCTCAGTGCGGTCGAAGTTCAGGGTATGATTAGAGAACTACGAGAGGAGCGAGGGAGGGAGAAGATGCTGTTAGACAATGCTGGGAACCGGCGGGCAGAGGTTTCGAAGAAGCCTGCTCCGTTTACGGCACCAAGGAATATGGATATGAGTCCTGCGGAGCTGAAGGCGAAGGAGCATAGGGACAAGTTACTGAGTTTTCAGGCGCAGAATGCGAAGAGGACGACGGTGAGGGATGAGGCGGCGGATTTTGAGACGCCGGTTATGGCGGGGGTTAATATGTGGGCTAGTCCCGCTGAGAGGGCGAGGCAGTTGAAGAGGCAGCAAAACGTGCTGGCTGAGCAGGAGTGGAACGCTAGACCGGAGTATGAGAAAAGGAAGACAGTGTTGAGTATTGGGTTTGAGAAGGGGAAGGTGGTTAAGAGGATGGGTGTGGCGCCTGTGGAGAGGGAGAAGCCTAAGGTGGCGGAGAGTGATGAGGAGGGGGTTGAGGAGCTGCCGTTTAGTGATGTTAGTGGGAATAAAGGGGGTGGGACTTTTAGTCGGAATCCACTGCTGGGGGGTTTGATCAAGCCTATCTACAATAGTGGAAGGGGGAAGGAACCGGATACAGAGACATCAGAGATTAGAAAGAAAACTTGGAGGAGAGTACAGGATAGTTTAGAGGATAATGAGGCAATCATATTAGACGGCGGGGTGTTTGGTGGAACGTCTGATAGAATAGAGCAAGAAGAGCCCGCTTGTGGTTAGCCTGCGATTTTATAGAAGAATAAAGATGCGGTCACTTGCAAAGGATGGTTCAAAATATTCTGGAGAGCAGTGATATCATTTCCAATATCATTATTCATAAAAGTCGAAGCACTTCCAGTCCTCGATAAAATGCAAGGCATCAAAAGCCCAAAAACATAACCCTGCCAGCCGTAGTATCAAAACAAATCCTGTCCCCTATATCCGAATCCGAAGGTTCCCAAGTATCCTCGATCATTCAGTCCCTAATCTCCCACGTATCCAAAATACATCATCTAATCACTATCACCATCCAGTCCGCGAGACCGGCTTCTTGATCTCGAGTGGTGTCTGTGATGATGGTGGTGGTGATGTCCGTGATGACTTCCAGAGTCACTTTCAGCATATCCGGGGTAGAGACCTGGCTGCTGTCCACCATATTGGCTCCCCTGCACCGAGTGCTCATACTTCTTCTCTTCCTTATGCTTCTTGTGCTTCCCTTATCCTCCAAGTTAGTATGGGCTTTTCCTGATTTTGGAGCTCGGGAGCTGAGGAGATATAAGCTTACCTTCCAATACGTTGGCTCCGATCGCACCCACAACTGAACCTAACACTGTACCTAGTGCTCCACCACCACTAGAACAAATTAGCACATATTTCTTTAGGAAGCCAGGAACGAGCCGGGACACTGAAATCCTCCCGGCCAGTGGCATAGGAAGCTTGGAGTATGAGATAAATAAAAAGGCTCCTTACACTTTGTGCCCGAGAAACCCGCCGCTTGCTCCTCCAATTAGCGTTGCTCCAAGGCCCTTCTCTCCGTCAGGGCCTGGTGCGCCATCAGGGCCGTAACCGGCACGGTCGTCGTTGTACGGAGGTTGGTTGGGATAAGCTTGTGCGGCTCCGTACGGAGGTTGAGGGGATGGAGGTTGGTATGGTGCCTGACCCTGCTGAGGGTATGGAGAACCTTGTTGTTGGTATGGAGGTTGCTGTTGATGCGGAGCTGGGGAGTGTGCCGGAGAATGACCTCCGTAATTCGGCTGAGGCGGGTATTGATTTTGATAGCCACCCTGCTGTTGTGTGTAATTCGGGGCGGAAGGATATTGGGATTGAGGAGGATATTGTCCTTGAGGAGGGTATTGTTGTTGACCGTAAGGTGGTTGTTGAGGCTGGCCTGCGTAGTAGTCGTTGTTCGACATGATGTCTGTACTGTGTGGTGATGTGATGTGGAAAGTCACAAAGGTTCTGATGTTGATGAAGAGGGGAGGAGAAGGGTACGAGAGACGACAGATGGGAGATTAAATACCTTGCCACGGCTGTCCTCAGTGAATGTGTGCTGTGCTGACTTACGTGCTTCAGTGGGGAAGAGGGGCTGGCGAGCTCTTCGTTTCCCACCTAATCAGAACGGCAGGCCTGGCATCTCGCACCTGCAGGTCAGACTCCCACCAAATGACACTGGAGCTTCGTGAATGGATGCTTGCAAAGTCCGGGTGATGAAGGTTGCGCTGTCGCGAATCAGAGGGCCATGTGCCGTTGCGCATCATGGGGCTGTGGCTGTGATGTTCTGATGGCGAGCACTTGAGCTTCCATGAACCTGAACCGAGACATTCACGGAAGGCTGAGCCTTCTGACGTATGGCGAGTGGATTGCGAGTCCCCGGACCCGCCGAGAGCCTCTGCAGCGATTCCGATGCCGAGGATTGGGAGTTGCGAGCTTGTGCGAGGCGGTGGAGGAGTCGTTGCCAGTGTAGTGCGCCACCATCGTTGAGCTGCAGAGTGCCTTGTGGCGAAGCAGCTACACAGCCCTAACAGAACATTCTCCATACTCTTTCAAGAATCATCCTTTTGCGTTGCAATGAAGCGTTACCAATCCAGCAAAATTTCCATCCTGTTCTATTCTTCAACGAGCTCTTGACGCAATCGAGTTACTTGTCTCGATCGCAACTCCCTACAACTTGCACAAAGCCAATAGGCAAGTCGGTAACTCGGCATGAAACGAGGCAAAATATTATCAAAGGCAGAGTATAACAGCTGGGAGAGGACACAAACTTGGTACACACTCTGTTGGAGATGAAGGGTGTCTTGTGAAATTTCTGAAATGGCAAGAACGACATTTTGAATTCGTGTCTTGGCAAGCAAAGGAAAAGCACGAAACACTCCCGCGAGTTGAGGCATTCCAGTTGTTCAGTAAGCTTTCGGTATTTTCCACATGCATATCTCAAAGTTCGAGCTTTACATTTCTTGATTCTCTAGCTACCTGTGCAAAGAAGCTCCTTTCTTCTGTCCAAGAGATGAACATACCACGTGATAACCACGTGATTTTATATCAATCACACCGAATGACTCAACCTTCGGACTTTCATAACAAGGTACTTAAAGGGAAGCAGATTCGGTTTTGTCTTCTCTCTCTAGCGACCTAATGTCATCCACACTAGAAAGCCTCCTCGCTTCCCCTACTGCATTAGTCTCAACCAGCATCCTCTCCTTCATCCTCGCACGTGCAATAATCTCACGCGTCAGGAAAAATGGCCCAATCCCCTATGCACCAAAGGTGATAAAATACAACAGCTACGCATATTCAATCTTCTCACTCTTCCTGTGCATGAGTGTCACAGCTTCAACATGGGACGAAATATTACGCTCATCAGATCCTTCAATCACGGCCCTGATCTGTTCATCTTCCTCATCAGAGTTTGACAGAAAGCTGAGATACTTTTACCATGCGTCGAAGATATATGAGTATGTGGATATCTTCAACGTCCTTGCTGCGGGAGGGGTGGTTAATGCACATTTTGCGATTCATCATTTCACTGTGGGTGTGCTCAATTATTCCCATTCGAATCCAAACCGGTCGCCGCGATTGTACTTATAACGTCACAGACAATGTACCTCACCTATGCACGTGTCCTACTCTACCCAGCAGGATGGAAGATCTTCGCCGGACTCAACACGATGCACCACGCATTTATGTATGCCTACTTTGGCGGAGCAGCTATTTTCTCGGATATGCTTCCTTGGACGGGGACTTTGCAGTTGGTGGCCGGGATGCTGGGGGAGTTGTATGTTATCAGGGATGTGTGGAGTGGAGGGAGAGAGTGTGGGAACATGGCGTCGTTGTGGGCCAATTGGTTGGCGCTGGGGCTGCTATCGACGTATTTGGTGCTGTTTACTGGGGATTTGAGGGCGAGGGGGGAGAATGGGAAGGAGTAGATCTGATGCAGCTTTATACGTTATTTGGACACGCTATGGGAGGGGTCGATCGAGGAACTTGCTTATTCATGTACAGGAATTGATGGGGAGAACATTATTGCGAGAATTCTAAACAAAATGTAACATTTCCCTGCCCGAAATCAAAATTTTAACACATCATTCAGAGCCACCTCACCAAATAAGACCCTCGTACGGATCATCGAACCAAAAGCCGCCAAGGCCCATTCGCTCCATTCGCTCCATTTCTTCCCTGAGAAGTAATTCGTTGGAGTCAATTTCGCTGAAGTAATCCTCGACGTAAGGCGAACGATAGTTGGAAAGGCGGGGAAGAGGCCCATACGGCATTCGGGGCCGATCGAGGGCCTGCAAGTCAAAGATGCTTCCAGCTCTGGATGATGCCCGTGAGCCTCCTCCGAGAAGACCACCTCCTCCTAGCAATCCTGCTCTTCCTCCGAGAAGGCTGTCTCGAGAGCCAAGGCCATCCATACCCATCCCCATACCCCGCCCGTGTAACCCTCCACGACGGCCACCCAAACCACCGAACGGGTCATCATCCAAAGGCGATCTTCCGGCAAACAAAGATGCACCACGAGATCCCAGTGGGCTTCGTCCACCACCACCGAGATTCAAACCTCCAATCCCATCCATGAGTTCGCTCATCGATCCTCGTCTTCGTCGAAGCATGGGCGTATCGTCAAATCGGGTACCTCCTTCTCGACCAAATCCCATGCCTCTGCCACCCCTGTTTCGACCCAAAAGGGATGATCGACCACCGAACATCATGTCATCGAACCGTCCCCCTGAACACCCTAAACTACCAAGTCCGTGAGAACGGCCACCGCGGGAATGGAACCCGTTACCTGGGTGGTAATGACTGGATCGATCTGAGAACATGTTTTGAAGATGAGAGCTCTGGAGCGGCAAGCATAGGGCCTACATGCGTTTGGTAGCGCCGTACAATGAAGGATCTGGAATGTTGTAAAGTGGTGAGATAGATGTAGGACAAACAATGTGACCGAAATTTTTTTTTCTCGAACGATCGAGTGGAAAGCAGAATATGAGAGCAAAGGATCTTAATAAGGATATCGGGAAGGACAAGAATCCATGGTGGCAAGGTACAAACACAGACGGCTAGAATGAACTGCCAACAACATGTGTAATGTGAACCTCCCACCAGACTTGTTATGTTCATAGGTGGCTAATCAATACGGAGAAAGAAAATGTTTGCCTGCTCTGGAAGCTTACACAGGCTGTCATCTCTTTGACGCGTCAGGTTGAAGAGCTGTGTGACTGCGATACATCACAGGTTCAGTGGTACCTCCATGCTGCGCTGGCAAGCCAAAGAAGTCCAATGCGGGAACAGATTGCCGCCTCAAACATGCAGATGTGTCTGAAAGTGGTTAAATTGAGGCAACTATGCAGCAAACAATTAAAGATAGGGCCTTGTCATCCGCCATGGCAAACCTTCTCCACCTTTGGGTCGGAAAACATGCATGATTGGAACCCGTCTGTTCAGTCCCGGCGGACTCGGAGGCCTTGAGATATTGCTCTGAATGGCAGTCAGGGCAAGTGAAGATAAATGAAGACACATCGACCCCTGTCTCCTTGGCCTGACAGTCCTGTGCGATAATGCGAGGTACTAGCGCGTCTCCTCGTCAGCACCTGATGAGCCCCCATTCTCAAAAGTTGACTCTGGATATTGCTACGCGTGAAGTGAGGATATAATCAAAGCAGTCGAGTGTATTGTGAAAGCAATGAACGTGAACAACGTTACGAAGTGACGTTCGTCTAGTTGACGATGAGATGAGATGAGAAGTCCGATCGTGCCTGCCGCTTTACCTAAACGAGCGTTAGCATCGCAAAAAGAAGTGTGTGAGCTTGGTGCTCCTGGAAGTTCTCAACTTTGCCTCGAACCTCTCGTTGATCACCACCACCACCTCTACACCTACGTTACTACGTTACCACTATTCAACATACACTCGCGCGCAATCCCAGGCTTGATTTCGAAGCCGTCCAGATCCGACAGTCCACCTGAAATCCTTACTAAGCAAAAGCTTCTCGCGTCTTTGTTCACGCGACTCCTTCTCTGTTGCGGCAAGAGTTCTCTGTGTTATCTCTAGCAAGCCAGCGATCAATTATGCCTTCACACATGCCCTCTAGCTTTGCATCTGCTGCGGCAGGCCAAGGTTCGAGTCGCGATCCCCGGAGTGCGAGGGGTGACGGACGAGGTAGCGGGGACTGGTACGTACGATCCTGAACCATAATGTTCACTTCTTTCCAAAATATTGCACTGGTCTCGATCGTTGCCTAATCGAAGTTGTGCCGAGTTTCCCGATTCTTGCATTTCTGCTTGGACCTGCAGAAGTGGAGTTGCCAGGATTCATTTCTGGAGTTCTGCATTTGGCAACACACAACCAAGATGCCCGGCCTTGGTGGGAATACTGGCCCTGTGCCCCCTCCACCGAGGACAACTATTGAAGATTACATCACTAACGCGAGACCCTCACGAAACAGGGCGCGCAGAGAAAATAGGCCTTCTAATGGCACCGTAACCCTACGACGGTCCTCTACAACCCCAGTGGCGCAACCCGCTTCTCAAGGGGAACCACCACTTCCAACACCAAGTGCGGAGACCCTTGCATCATATCAACCGTCGACCTCCACCTACGATCACTCTACAGAGTTTCGCTACTCTAAGAATCAACTAATAGACATTTACAAGGCTCAAATGGAGTCGGGGGTATCAAACGGAGATATCTCGCACCTCTTTGAAAATGGCTGGGACCCTAAACAATCGAACGGAGCAAATGGTCGAAGCAGTTGGGGAAAGAGCAGCGATGGTAGAGATGCTCAGGGTCCTAATATTGCCTGGGAGCCAAAGGGTAATATTCAACCAATTTGTCTAGAGGAAATGTCAGAAGAGGAGAAACTTGTAGGCCCACCAACCTGTCTCCCACCGCTATCCAACTGACTCCGAATAGATATTCTCTGGCGATGTTAACTCTCCAATGAAACCTCCGCCACAGAGCTCGAACAAAGATCCTAATGCCCCAGGGGGCATGAACGGTCGCAAGACTTCCTTTTCGCAGGGCCCAGCCCCATACCTTTCGTCTCCCGCATCGAGCAGACCAGGCACGCGCCGACAGCAAACCAGTGACTCCATATCTCTGGCCTCTCCAGGCGCAAGCCGATTTTCCAGGGATGAGCCCTCCCCCTTTTTCACTCGCAAGCTCAACGAATCAAAAGACAGCCAAGACGATCGAGTTGAAGATTCGAAGAGCAATTTGCCATTTGGTGGTTTAATGCGTAGCAACACAGCTGGGAGTGCATTGGGCAATGGCCCAACTTCGCCGTGGGGTCGTGATGGAACCATGGGAACATTTGGAAGTTTCGCTCTCGGCGGATCTTCTACAAACCCAACTCCCATGGAAAAGCGGCCGGGATTGCCAACGCGTGAAAGCCGCTTGGCGTCTTTGATGCCAAAGGAAAGCACAGAGGACATGTCGAAGGCTGCTGAGAGACCATGGAGACCTAGACAGCGTACAGATACCGACCCATTTTCCGATGATACCCCTACTGGAAGTGCTGCTTTAGGCGGTGGCCAAGACACAAGCCCGCCACAAAACTCGCAACGTAGGGCTCCTGGATTAGATACTCCTATGAGAGCAGCGCCCAGCGACTTTGGAATGTCTGACATGCCAAGCTTTCGTGACGCTCCTCAACGTGGACAGAGTCACCAGACTCCCCAAGGCCGTCATGATGAGCATGAACCTCTCAGTCCCGCCGATACCAACCCCTATCGCAGTCCACCTGAGGATAGAAATGATGGAGACAATGATAGCTATGACGGCGAATCCATGCAACATAGTCGAGTTCAAGGACTCGGCGGTATTCCTGAGCATCCTAATACATTTGGGAACTTGCCTCGCGGCTTCGCCAACGCGGGTTTTGACGGAAGCGATCGCAGTCAAACATCCAGCGCCGGTGCTTCTAAAGGATTTCCTACTTTGGGCGGCCTCTCTTCCGTTGGTGCTGGGCTTGGCAGCATGGGCGGATGGCCAACAGGCGGTAATCCCATCGGGACTCCTGATCGTGAGAATCGACCTGCCTTCTCCTCCGCGCCGTTTGGGAACTCTATCTTTGGACCCATGGGCGATCTTCAATCTCCATCCTTGAGTGGTCTAGGGGGTGTTTTCGGGCAAGGTCAAGGTAGTAATCTCTCTGGGACTGGCACAGCCGGCCGTGGCAGTAAACTCGGATCTCTATTCCCTGCAGCCATGCAAGCACAAATGCAGAATGTTGATGCGGAAAACACAGCAGAGGGTGGGGACCTCAGGCATAGCAGCGCATATGGGGCTATTGGCAGAAGTGCCTTCCCTCCCTCCCGCGATACTGATAGCCCTATGCGAGCTGGCAGACATGCCTTTGAAGACTTGTTCCCGCCGACAGACAGCTCTCGCAACCAAGGTCCCTTCTCAACATCTGACAACGCTCCTGGACAGACAGCCACTTCATTCTCCCAAGCTACTACGGCCCAGTCCAACTATCAACAGTCACAAGCCAGTTCGGATTCCGCAGCTAATCAACTGCCCACCGCTCAACAGCGGGTTATGGTCATGCCAGATAGGATGAGATGGGTCTACCTCGATCCACAAGGCATGGTACAAGGACCTTGGTCCGGCCTCGAAATGCACGATTGGTACAAAGCATCATTCTTCACGCCTGATCTATCTGTGAAGAAGCTCGAGGATGCCGAATTTGAACCCCTCGGTCAACTGATCCGACGTATTGGAAACTCCCGAGAGCCTTTCCTTGTGCCCCAGATCGGAATTCCCCATGGCCCGCCAACAACCCAGGCTGGCGCTCCGTTTACTCCTGCAGCCACCGGTCCTGGAAGCGCCTCAGGTCAACCTGGTGCTGTCCAACCTCCATTTGCAGGAGCCTTTCCAAGCTTTGGCACGACTTTGACTGCAGAACAGCAGAACAATCTAGAACGCCGGAAGCAGGAGGAACAGTTCTTAATGGCTCGTCAACGAGAGTATTTGGCTCAACAGCAAGTCAGTATGAAGCAAATGCAAATGAGCGGAATCCCCGGAGCCCTTCATCATCATTCAAGTGCTCACAGTCTGCAAAGCCAGCCAAGCTTTGGAAGTATGACTTCTCCAATCGGCATGCCGCCGCAACCCCCCTTGCAAGGCGTATCCGGCTTCTTCGACGGTCCACCTAGACAAGTCCCTCCCCCACAAGTTGGTGGAATGGCACCTGACCATTTTCGCGCGGAAGACATCGCACGGTTGAGTCTCCAGGATCGACAACAACTCTTCGGTGCTGCTGCACCTGGCTCTCAACCGTCCCAGCCAAAGGCCACAACAGTCGGCTCACTCTTCACACACCCGGATGCCCAACGCCAAGCTGCAATGACGGAGCAGGATGATCCCCAGGGATTTAAAGCCCGTCTTCATGAGTTCAACCAGTTGAGAGCTGAGCATGATGCTGCCGAAGCCGCTCAAGCTTCGTTGGACCAATCTAATGATCCAATTGGACCACCCCAGCAAGTTCAGCAACAACACCAACAATATGATGAGCCGCCCCAACCTCGTCAGGACGAGGAGCCTAAGGCCGTCGTTCCCGAGGTACTTTCGCTTACTCAACAAGTTCAGAAAGCAGCTTCAGCTAAACAGTCACCCGTCACCGCCGTTCAACCAGAGTCCGCATGGGGGAAGGCCAACTCCGGTCTGCCAATGCCATTTCCTCCACCAAGGGAGTCGAACACTCCACTTCCGGCGCCAACTGCGCAGAGAGGACGGTCTAATCTACCCGAAGCTCTGAATGTGGACACAAGATCTCGTTCAGAGACACCTGAAATGGCAGCCACAACACCATCTCTTGCCCCATGGGCAAAGGAACCAGCGGAGGGTCCGAAGGGTCCGTCGTTGAAGGAAATACAGGAAGCTGAAGCGAAGAAGATGGCTAAAGCCGAGGAAATCGCGGCAGCCAATCGTCGTGTCCAACTCGAGCAAGAGATGAGGTTGCTTGCGAATCAGCCCGCTGCTCCTGCTCCAGGTCTCCCAACCTCTTCTACCTGGGGTAGTGGTGTTTCACCGGCAACGCCCACAACCGCACCATTGGCGTGGGCCAAACCAGTTATCACCACTCAAGCTGCTAGTGTCAGTAAGAGGACTTTGGCCGACATCCAGAGAGAGGAAGAGCTTCGCAAGCAGAAGATTGCTGCCCAAGTAGCGCAGACATCTTCTGGAGTCTCTAGTGGTAAGCGTTATGCAGATCTGGCAAGCAAGCCCACCGCGCCTAGCCAACCCCTTGGCGGCTCGGCTTGGTCTACAGTCGGCGCAGGTGGTAAAGTCAAGATTCCCACTGGTCCGTCCGTTGCGGCGCCCCAAGCTGTTCGGTCTGTCAGCAGTGCAAATAATGCCACCACATCAGTCTCTCGCGCTCCACGACCAGCTCCTACTGTCCGCAGTGCTACAACTGGGCAGAGCAATATCAATGCTGCTAATGAGGAGTTTACCAAATGGGCTAAGGGAGAGTTGACCAGAGGCTTGAACACGGGCATCAACGGTGAGAACACATGCTGTTGTAATCGAAAGCACTTTTACTAATGGTCCCTAGTTACCAACTTTTTTAACGGTCTCTTGAATTTTCCTGCAGATGAGGAGCTTATCGCGGATACCATCTATGGTAGCTCTACGCTAATGGATGGTCGCCGCTTCGCAGAAGAATTCCTCCGACGTCGTAAGCAAGCCGAAAAGGGTATCATTGAACCAGCCAATACTGCGCCTGTCAGCAGCGTGTCAACCGGTGGTGATATGTCAGCGGGTTGGAGTCAAGTTGCCAAGAAAGGTCCGCCAAAGGAAGAGACACCTGCCGGCTTCAAGGTCGTCCCCAACAAGAAGAAAGGCAAGAAATGAACGCAATATCGGAGCATTGTATCAATATGTATGAGTAGACGCGTCAACGTCACAGCTCTGTTTTACCTAGCATAGCGATCTTCATGGATGGGTATATGCATGAGCAAGCATTGGTCTCTCTCCCGCAGCTGATGCGGATTGTATACTGTACAGCATATAAATGAGAAGCGTTTTATGAAATCTCTAGACTTACCAATGACACACTGTGATGAAATAAAATGTGCTTGGCCAACTGTGCAAAACCACGAGTGCAGCACCCACCTTCAAGATCCCAGCCTCACTGGCGAGCTGGAGTGCAGAAGCTCGGACTTACAACAATGAATGTGCCAGTTCAATCGATGTTTTTTGAAGTCTGGGGCAATTCATATGCTGACTTCTCTTCTCTAAGACTCCCAATGGCAGGAGGCCATTCGATGGCTCAAACATCAAGACACTGTAGACAATTTCTGCATCTTCTCCGAGCTGCTGCCCTAGGGAGCCGAGACAACTGCGTTTGGACTCAAAGTGACACCCTGCAGCTTGCAGTGCATCGTTGTGACTGCACGCAATTAAGCTACTCCTAGAATGGGGCGCTGATCCCAATGCGCTTCGAGACAGTGATGATGAAGTCGAGGGGGTCCGACAAACGCAGCCAACCCTGGCTTGTGACATTGGCGTCACCGTGTACCCACCCCACTTCAGGTCTTGAAAAATGGCAGAGTATCAGGAAACGGAAGGGGTATGAAAACAGAGCGACTGTTGATAGAGAATGGAGCATGGGGTGATGGATATGACCAGATAGCTGGGGTATTGGTTGCGCTATAGTCGAGAAAATCACTCCATTCTAAAACTCCGTCTCTGCTCATCGTGAATGTTGACCACTCCTTGGATTCCTTACATATCCTCGCTTCACCCCATCCGAAGATTCGTTGGTTGAAAGCGCAAACCCATGAGCATGGGAATGTTTCTGGCTTTGGGTACATCGGCCCTGTTCCAGGATTGTCGAATCTTCAGCCTCAAGCCCTAAGCTACTGCGGAGTTGGTGTCAACACGATATCTAGCAAGGCTGTGCTAAGACACCGCGAGTCATAGACAAACTTGTCCTTCACTCTAGTTTATGACGATGCAGATGCAAACAGCAATCTTGAGGGTGCAGTTCCATGAACGACAACACTCTCGTCGAATCGAATCCGTCTCAGTCCAAATCTTTAAGAAGCGAAATGTCCCAGACAAGGAAAATGGGTAAGATAGTCAATGAAGATAAATCTCAGCAACAGATTCAGATATTCAAAAATCCAAGGGACTTTTCCACTCATCTTCCTCGTCATTTAGTCCTTCAAGACTAGAACGTCGTGGCTGATTTCTGCCATACGCCTTTGCTGCGGTCGTAGACCGGCCTTCGCGATCATAAATTTCCTCTCTCCCTCTGCTCTTCCACTCCCTCTCTCCGGTCCCAAAACCGCCCTTCTTGACAGTCAGAGCCCCAGCTTGACCCCCATCGCCCTGTTTCTTAAAATGCATATCAAGTGACTTGACAGACGTGGGATTCATACTGCCCGGGGACATCGGGTCCCAACTCTCCCTAATTTTCTCCTGGACGACGTTCCGGTGCTGTCGTCTGAAATGCTGAATACGATCCGGAATCGAGACTTTGAGTCTGTCGTCCGGGGATTCAGAGCCGCTGTCATCCTCCCATCCCTCATCTTGGGCCTTTGCCGTCTCTTTCCAATAGTGGTCTCCATCGAGATACTCCTCATCGTAGAGCTCAGTATCTTCTCCGCCGAGGTTGAAGAAGTCAAGAATACGTTGGAACTTTTCTTCCTCGCTGTACATGTCCGGTGGTCCGATGGTGCTTTTGTTGCCGATATCCACAATCTGCTGCGCACTGATGGGCATACCTGATGTGTGTTTTGGAGAACGGTTTGCGTCCTCGCGGGACCAGCCCAAGTATCTCGAGCTCCAAATCTTGAACCGTATAAACTTGGGGTTGAACATGAAATCGAAACAATTACGCAGATCTTTTCGCAGCTCGCGGTAATGCTCAACCCAGTAAACGGACGCGTAGGTCAATAATGCCCACTCCGGTTCGTCGCTGTGCGTTTCGAGGTACTTGGAGACTGTCATACCGAGTTTGAAGGCTTCCTCTCTGCTGGTGTCGAACAGTTGGATGTAGTCAACACAGACTTGGAGCAGATAACGCGTTGCAACATCTAGTCGGATAGAGTGCTCCCATTGTGGCGGCTGGTCTTGAGTTGCCAGGTTCTGGTGCTTCAAATACTTGAGCTCAGCGACTGTAGGCCGCTCAATTTTCCATCCAAAAGGCCGAAGATAATGACCAAGACCAAACTCAATCAATGGTTGCGTGTCCAGGAGGAACTTTTTGGCAGTCTGATGGACTAAATACACCCGATTGGCTCGGATTCTAATGAAATGACCACATAAGAGCCGCAGGTGATTTGCGAACGGTTTGCAAAGCTTCGAGCTCAGGATCTCCAATTCCAGGACTTTCCCATATGATTGTGAAGGTCCTGCCGAGTGCATGTCTGCCGCGGAAAGCGCGGTAGAGTACCCAACTCTATCCGAACCTGCTCCTTCGGAGTCTCGTGGGTAGTAGTCTTGATGCACCTCAACAGCCACACACATCTCTTCTAACGTGAGAGGTCGTGCCGCAGCGATGACGATATATAATATCTTCCTTGTTTTCAAAGGGAACTTCCTTGCTGTTAAAAGCCGCCGATATACATCGTCCAAGTTAGTCGTCCGTAAGATAGCTTCGAGCTGCTCTTTAGATATCCCGTCAACTTCTGCGTCCTCAAGGAGCTTGACAACCAAGGATACCCAAAGGAAAGTAAAATCAGCACCATCAATCAATCTGTTCTCAACTTTTGCTAGAACGTCTTCCGAGAGTTCAGACTTAGGTCCGAACTCTTCAATTTTGGCCCGAATGAATAGGTTGATGTCCTTTGCTATTGCTATCACTTCGTCCTCAGCCATAAGCCTTGATTTTCTTTGCAGGCCAGGGTAATTCTTCTCGGTCGTATCCTTGCCGAAAAGTTGGAGTCGTCGTTGAATCAAGTTATCCGGCCTGCTAAGGATGACCATTTTGAAAGGACCTTGGCCGCCGGGATTTGATTGTACCGGGATTGTGAAATATGTCGCTAGACATTTTACCAGTAGATCCCGGGACTTTGGTTCACACTCATCCAGACCATCGATAATGCAAAGCGTATCTCGAAAACTTTCGTCTTCGATGGTACTCATCAACATTGACTGCAGGCATGCGAACTGCTTAAACGTCCGTTTCGGGGTCGTGTCATGCTTGGCCATCGCATGTTTTAACAAGGAAGGCTGGAAGCAATAAATCTGGTGAAGTATGGCAGATAAGGCAGACTGTGCATTGTTTTGATACTCGAAACCATCTTTGAAGAAGAAATAACACACATTCCTTCTGCTCTTATGGTGTTCAAATAGGTGTTTGGCAGCCACCGACTTCCCACATCCAGCATCAGCAGTAATCCAGAGGAGAGTTGAAGCTGGGGTAGAGTCGAATTGAACCCACTTCTCATGGTTCAATATCCAACCGCAAGTTCCGGGAATAGGGTCGTCGACTTGGCTGAGATGAGATTCATAGCCGGAATCGAACTCTCTCAAACACGATCGTTCTTCTTCGGTGAGTGCTAGGTTGTGGGACTTAGTCTTCACTCAGAAAACTTGTCCTTATGTGACTTACATATTTTCTCCGGTGCTTCTTCTCTTTCGATTATCTCACCGATATTGTGCCACGCAGTCTTATATCGTGAGTCGCCTACTCTAGGGAACTTGCAGATAGAAGAGTGATTGGCTGATGCTGCAATATCAATTTCATTCGGCCAATTGAGAATCGATGAGCTCCGTTGAACGACCTAGTCGAGTCAGTCAAGTTGTCTCTGGAGTTGCCCGTCTACTTACAAGACTATTGAGTCCCTTCATAAACTCCGTCTCATAGAAGCTTCGGATCTTCAGTTGTGCGCCTCGGTACGCAAAAGACTCGGTTATACGCCTTAGCATCTCCGAATCAATCTTCAAATCCTTCGAGAGTTGTACATTCGTGGAGTATCCCAAGGTCGCTGCCCGAATCAACATTGTACCAACATGGTCCCAGAACGCCAGGTCCGAGCCGTGGTGTGGTGTACCGAAAAAAGCAACGCCTCGTATGTTTTCGAGGATATTCGAGTAGTGCTCGTTTTGCTCGTGTGCGCGGACAACTGCCTGCTAGGTGATTAGCTTTTTTCTCTCGAAGAGCAGGGAATGTTCACCTGCTTGAAGACGATTCCTCCCAGACTATGGCAGATGAAGACAATGGGTCTTTTCTTCTCCACGGAGCCCCTCCTACTCGATTTGATGGATGCTAGGAGCTCCGAAGCGAAGTCTCGAACGTTTGCATTGGACGTGCTGAAGTAGGAGACTGAATTGTAACCAAAGGACTGTATTCGTGCGTTTGGGATGTCCTTGCGCAGGAACTCAGGGTCCTTCAGCCAATTGGCACCTGTAGTACGATCCGTCCATGTTGCCTCATAGTGCCCATTCAGGCCATGGATGGCGATGATATCGACACATCGCTCTTTCCCAGCTGGCTGTGGAACCAGAACCTTCAACCCGAACCGCGTTGGATCGTCCTCGGGACTCGACTTGCTTTTCGCACCCTCAATAGGCTGGTCCTGCGAGTTCTCACAGAGGGTATCCGAGTGGTTTGGGATGACCACATTTTGCTCCGTGTGAGTCTTGTCAACTTCGGCCTTGGAATCTCCAGAGGTGCCAGTCTTCCAAAAGTGGAAGCGCTTGGACGGTCCCATGACTAATCAATCGGGAGCTTCACTGATTTTTTCACTGCATCTGAGCATTCTCTCTACAGGAAAAAAAGAATTTCAAACGCTTCGATTTCGATATTGTCATGGGTGGTTGAGATACCAGTGACGAGGCACTCGAGGTTGGTGGTTCCAGTTCCACATCAGGATGCGCTGAGCGGGGTGCACAGCCTCGCAGGCAGCAAGAACCGGGAGGCTCCCAGACTCCACAAACCAAAACTCATTCATCATCTACAAATCACCGCTGGCTGGTAATCGAAGAAATTCCTGCAAGGGCGATTCTGCTTGACTACGAGACGCATAGACAGACTCTTCCTTTCCTGTCTTGCAACAATTTCTGTATGCCAGCATCCTCCCGTCTATTGCCCCTCCCTTACCTCTCTCCTTTGAGCTCAGGTCTCAATTCTTTCATTTCATAATCAAAACAATCCCTAGTCATCCCATACTACCAAATTCGCACTACATCCCATTCATTACATCGAGGGGGATCTGACAACGGGGAGGCCTATTCCAGTTCATGGGAAGGGAATTACAATACACTCCCTTCTAAAGTGCATATCTGGCTGCAATATCTCACTCGAGCCCATCTCTTGCTCTCTTCCTTAGCATCTCTCATTTTCCCACACGCCCAAATAAATTACATAGAGGATAAAGTATGCATTTTCACTTTATTCCTCTCCTCAGGTACCAACTAGCAACGCAATGCACCACTCCACCGACCCCTGTAAAGGAACCCATTGACTCCCCCATCAACAACGCAAATGTAATGCAAGGTAACTCAGCACAGAAAAAATAGGGGACCTTTAAGAATATCAAAACGAAGTGGTGGTCATGGCAAAAGCAGCAATGAAATTTGGACCGGTTGAGAATAAGGAGAAGGGTCCGCGCTTGCAGAATGTTTCGGATTGAAAAGAACAGAAGTTATGAAATCGATGCTGTGCATTAGATGAAAACTCGAAGCTTTGGATAAAAGAGGTTGGTAAAAGAAAGTAGTTGGGAAGTTGCAGCGCTGTGACTCAGGGGCTGGTGGGATTCTTAGCCAGGCATCCGTGGGGCCTAAAAGAAAGCCCAACGCTTCGCCACCACCGTCTTCCCGCCATCCCCATGCTCTCGTTTCTCTAAAACATCGTGACTCAAGCCTCTCTATGTCACTTTTCGGGTTTCCGCTTCTTTTGATGGACATGGCCTTGTCTACTGAGGCCATTAGCGGGCTAGCGGACAAATCCGAGAAGCGAAAAGTGATTTTCTGATTTTCTGATTTTCGCGCCCACCCCCCCCACACCTCACTAAAAAAAAAAAAGTACAGCATACACGCCTTATTCTCGACTACTCCTAACCCCCCCTTAGCTTGCGTGGTCCGTAAGGCAAATCCCATGGATTACGAGGCACATCTCCATCTCCCTCACTCTCTATATCCTCCGTACTACCTATATTACTCGAATTATCTATATCTCCTTCGTCCCCTTCTCCTCCAGTATCCTTACCCTCCTCTACTATAACCTCCTTCCCCATTGCCTTCTGACCTTATATCTGTCTTTGTATTTGCTTTCTATATCTTATAGGCAGTCAAGGCTTTGGTATAAAGGGTTTTATAGATACGGAGCGAGGCTTTCCAGACTTGGTAGAATTAGTATTAAGTTAATAGAAAGTATAGACTTTACCGTTATTATTATATCTGTAATTTATATAAGTACTATTAAATTCGCCTTCTATAACTATATAGTATTTAAAAGGGCCTCTCGGTCTCTTCTTATTATATAAGTAGTATAAGCTTAAGAGGATCCGGTTCCGCAAGTATATACCAAGCTTACCTCCAGATTTACCTTTGCCTTTCTCTAATTCCTTTAGCTTCCTGCCCTAGTATAGCTCTATCTCTCTCTAACTTTAGTCTTATTAATTAATTCGCTTTACTACTTTAGTAAATATTATCGGATAGTATAAGGAGATTAAAAGTATTATTACGGAAGAGGGAAGAGGAGGTTATATATAAGGAAAAGGTGTATATATATAAGGAGAAGGTCAAAAAATAGAGAGGTTTATTAATTAAACATATTAACGGAGAGGATATTATAAACTAAAGTCTGGATTTAGAGGATATATTATAAATATTATCTTTCCGCTTATTTATAGCTTTATTATCTTTTCTACTACTTTTGCCTTTACTAGAGCTATTACCTAAAGCCATATTTAATATATCTTTAATAAAAGAGAGCTTTAATAATAGTATTATATATCGGAATTAAAGTTATTTTCGGAAGGAGGTTAAGATTAAGGTTAAGGCTAAGGTTAAAGCTAGTATAGCTATGTTTTTATTATTTACTTTTGGGATATAAAAATATATATTTAATATAATTATTTAAATCCGAATAAATTTATAATAAATAATATCTGAAAATGAAAATATTAGTATTTAATAGCTCTAGGTTAAATATATTTAAATATTAAAAAAATTATAATTTTAGGTATTATAGTTATAAAAATAAAAATAAAAATATTCTTTCTCTTACTAACTCATAAAAGCTAAGATATACTAATAATAATTAAATTATACTCGACCCGTATAATTAGCTAATTTACTTTACTAATTATAAATAATTCGAAATAATTTAAATTTCCTTAAATTTCTATATATAGCTTATTATATAAACTTCTATATCTCTATATTTAGTAATACTATAATTATAATTTTTGGATAAGAAGAATTCTCTTATTCTAGTATATATAATTATATTTATTTCTTATTTTTTAAATATATAGTTATTAAATTAGAGAGGCTTAAAAATTCTAAGTAATACTTTCTTCTAAAAAATATATATTCTTAATAAATAATAAAAGTAAATATAGAATTATATAATAATATAACTATCTCATACTAGTAATTTTATTTTCTATAAAACTATAACTCTATTCTATCTTTATTCTAAAACCTCTATTTTTCTTCTATATTTTTTCGACTTTACTATTAATACTAAGAGCTTCTGCCCTCTACTAATATCTTCTTTATTAATACCTTTATTAATACCTTTATTAATACCTTTATTAATACCAAGAGCTAGTATTTAACTGCCTTATAACCTTTTTCTTCTCCTCCTTACTTCTCTAAACCCCTCCTCCGAATCCCTTTTCTGAACCCCTCTTTCAAACCTCTCTTCCTTTAATACTTCTTCTATTAATACCAAGAGCTAGTATCTAACTACCTTATAACCTTCCTCTTTTCTTTCAAACCTCTCTAAACCCCTCCTCCAAACCCCTCCTCCTTTAATACTTTTACTAATAATACTAAAAGCTAATATCTAATTACTACTTCCGGGTTACTTTTATCCAGAACTCTTATACCATAAGTCTTTAACTTACTTACTTCTTAGAAAGCTAAATTTTAGATCCCTCCTTTCTTTCTCTAATATCTCCTTCTTTCCTTTTCCGATATCTCTTATATCTTCGGGCTCTTTAGGAGTATCCTCTCTCGAACTTCCAAAAAAGAGGCTAATTCCTATTTAGATTCCTCCGAACTTTAATATCTTCTCTCCTTTTTTAATACTTATAAAAGCCTTCGGGCTACTACTAAGTACCCCTATTCTTTATCTTGAAATATATACTAACTTATTCTTATAGGAAATAGCCCTTCTCTCTCTAATCTTAACTCTTTTAATATATACTTCTTATCTTTAGGCTATTTAGATATCTCTTTATTTACTTTTATAAAATATATACTAATTTACTTTTTAGTTCCCCTTATTTTACCTCTCCTTTAATATTACCGTATATATATCTAGTTAGTACTAGTTCTTATAACCTATAGTTAGGCTTTCTATTTATTAAATACCCAGGTATTTTATTTTACTTTTGCTTTATATATTTTGTTTTATATACTTTACTTTTCTTTTATTATAGGTTAGGACTCAAATAGTATTTACCTTAAATACTTGTATTCTCGGATATATAAAACTCCTATAAATCTTTCGGGATTATAAACCAGCCTATTTTAGTTCGGGAAAGCTTTCTCGAAAGTATTCCAGGAGTTATAGTATTTACTATAACCCCTTCTAAAGATTAATATAGTATAGGTATTTCTGGTTTATTCTCTCTCTATAAAGCAAACCGCTACCCTAAGTTTATATAAAAGTCCTAATTATCTCTCGAATTAAAATATAAATATTTCTTATTCCTATTAAATTAGGTATAAAGAATAATAGGCGCCTTTGGGCTAGACTATAGTACTAGTTAAATACTAAGACTCCCTATACCTATCTTATAAACTTATAGTTCGAGATATATTATATTTAATAGGGCTTCCATATTTAATTACTTTATACTATAGTAAAACGTTTTAGTATTATAATTAGGGGAATTCTATTTTATAATCTTATTTATTACTTATAGATTTTCTAGCTAATAAGTCTTAGCTAATAGCTAAGAAACTTATTAGCTACTCTATCTAAAGTCTCTAGGAGCGGGAAGTTGCCTTAATAAAGACTTAGTATTAAAAATAGGTTTAACTAATTAATCCAAACGAGAAGTTTATAGCAGGAATCTCTATATATAGGTAATTCTATATAATAAACTCAAGTCCCTATCCCTAGTTATATAAGTAAGTCATATAAGAAACTCTTTCTGGCCTATTAGAATAGTCCCTATCTCTGGTTATACGAGTTATAATATATAATAAACTTAAACTTTTCTTGAATTATCTTTGGAAGAATTAGTAAGCTTTTCTAAATAAACTTATTAAAGCCTTGGTTTTTAAAGATATTAGTCCAGTCTTCTTATTTCTTTCTTAGGTAATAGTTCGGCTCTCAGGAATTATATATAAATATTAGAATAAATAAAGAAATATATTATATATACTTTCTAGATAGATTAGGATAGAACCTATAGGATTCCTATAATATTTTTATTAAATCTATAGTACTAGCTAGTAAAGACTTTAATAACCTTAATAAGACTTGAATTACAAGTCCGGCCCTCAGATTTCCTGCTTAATTTAAAGA